CTATTTTAGATAAAATGTTCATAGTGATAGAATCTCACCGCAAGTCCATCTCTCACACAACTATTCAAATCCGCAAAGGTCAATCTCGAAAACTGATCTTCTTTATGTACATCAAGAATATTCCATCTTCGTTATAATTCTGGTGTGTTTATAAAAACTTTGAATTAACAGTCAAATGATAAGTCTTGTTTCTAAAATGAAATCTCGATTAAGGTAGCTGTTGTGATTCCTCACCTTCTAATCAAATCAGTATGTTTCTTTGAAGAGGGAGCGATGCGTATATGTATTCACTGAGTTACGAGTGTCTCACGTTCGACGAGAAAAAACAACAGCGTGATTTAAGAGAATCATCGATGTTTCAGGCTGAATGTGAGTATCATATTCGCCTAGTACTTACACTCGCCCTCGTTTTTCGAGATAATTAAATGATCCATGGATGACTTCTGTTATAACCTACACTTTGATTGGGCCATAAAACTGCCCCATCTACAGTATCGGTTCTTTTCTACCTACATCTCTCTCTCTTGCCTATATATAGGAGAGATTTATGTAGTCTCAGTATCAGGTGTTTAGTGTGATGGATATACATAGTGATCAAGGACGATAACAGGATTCTCACAACTTTCTTTAGAAAGATGTTTACAGAGACCAATATGTTTCTTGCAGTGTCCAATTTTGTTATATTTCCTATTCTATACTTTTCGACTACGATTAATTGAAATCTTTGCATCGAATTTCGCAAATTTATAATGCAAAATATTACCAAAATTTATCTCATTCTTATTGTGACGTAACATGAATGGTGATTGCCTTCTTTAAAAAAGTATATTATTTCTAGGCATAGAGGTCAGTACAGAATCAATTTAGGGAAGACTATAGAATTATTTTAGTTTTTTTTGTCTAAGTCATAAGATATTTGTTGTTTTCTTCATAATAATCAGTTATTATTAATTATTGATCTTTATTATCGAATATGGTTAATACGTATAACAATAGAATCTTAATACATTATATTCATAATATAATACCTAATAAATCAAAATGTTAACATAAAATACATATCATATGCATGATACCAGAGAAAAGATTTGGTGATATATTATTTTGAAATAAATATCACAGTAAGAAGAAGAAAACAATTATTACGGAATGATATTAGTACTGTTCACAATAAACAAAAGAGTAATGGAATTTTTCTATAAGTATATCATTTTGAATAATGTTTAAATAACCATTGTTGCGATAGTTTATTAGGTTCACATTTTTTTAATTTAATTTGATCATTACTTGAAAGACCTTCAACATCAAGACAAAGATTGCTTGTATGATGGACAAGTGTTCCATTCTATGATAAACGAAAAAATATGTAAATTCTATTTAAATTTTTTCTATTACATTAGCATGTGTCCATGTTTGATTATGATCACTATGATTACAATTAATTAAAACAATTGATATGGAATCTGAAGTAACTGCACATCCATCTTCTCGACGTAATTGATAATCTTTCGTTAATGAAAGATATTGATTAGCTGATCCAGTACTTTGACATGAATAAATTGATAATGGTATTGTTCCTTTTTCATCTTTACCTAGCGTATCCAAACATAAATGTGAATTCGAATTTTTCACCTAATAAATAACAATATTTCTAGGATAAATTTTCTTGAAAATAAATTTCTTTACTTCTCCATATGCAAGAACATTTTCATCTGGAATGAATTTTTCTGGAAATACATTCTCGAGATACCATTTAAATGAATGACAATTCAAACGAGTACGAATTGCTCGACGATCTTCAACATCACCATAGTCTTTTCCCTAAATCAAAAACAGCCTCTTATTAAATCCTATGAATCGATCTTACTTTAAGGTCTCCTCGATGCACATAATATAAACGTTTATATTCATCCATCCAAACTTCAGCTAAACGCATAGAATTTCGACCATGAACATCATCTTTACCTTTTGCTCCAGTCATATTATATGGATGACCTGGTCGATAGATATGACCAACACGAGAACATGGAACAAATTCAAGACTACCACCACACATCCATGTACGAAATGATAATTCTAAATTCTCACCTCCCCATACCTATTTATTCAATGGAAATCATCAGAATAATTTCGAAAATCTTACTTCCATATCTTCATCTAAATAAATCATAGAATGAAAATTCTTAAATTAATCATATATAAAAAATCTTACCATAACCACCGATTTCAAAGAAGTATTCTCTATTTGCAGCTAGAAGTCCACCCGCCATTGTTGGTGATCTAATAATGAATAATACAATTTTTTATTTCATTACAGATAACTATTATCGTACGGATACGGATCAATTTTGGATTTTTGTGTATCACGTATTCGTTTTGGAATCGGGATCCATTGGAAATGCAATGACCACCAAAAACCACCTACACTTCCTAAACCTGAATTCTATAAAAACAAACTTAAATTACATGATTTATCAACAGCAATACTCACGCCGTATGCCATATTCTGATCACTAATCGAATCAATGCTTGGACATAAAACTGCAGAGCGTTTTTCTTTTATTCGAGCAAGAATAGGTTCTAACCTATACAAAAGAAATATTTCAATCAAAATAATCAAAATTTTTACCATCCAGTATTAGCTTCACAATGAGCATCAAGAAAAACAACAACATCACCTGTAGCTATATAAATAAAAGCCAGATTTTTTTCTATTTTATTATTTTTGAAACTAAACTAACCATGTTTTGCTCCATAACTTTTCGCTTTAATTAATCCAAGTCTACTAGGTGCTCGTAAAACTCGAACTAATTCACCAAAATGTTCTTCACAATAATCATCTAATTTTTGACCCATTTCCTCTAAATAAAAACGATACAATTATTTTTTTTACAAAAATGTATCCGAACCAATATCTGATTGATCGTCAACTAAAATAACTTCTTTTAAAAACTTTTTCGGTGAACGATTTAAAACTGAATAAACAGTTCGAAGTACTGGTGACCAACGTTCATTTTTAAATACTATTACAACGGATGCACTTGGTAAATCATCTGGATATTTTACTATTTTACATCTATTTTAAGAAGAAAAAAAAAGAATTAAACTAAAAACTAATTAAATAACATACAATTCATGTCGAGTATCAGGTATTGATCTCCACAATGAGATTTTATCACTTGCACGTAAATTAAAAAATTCTTTTTTCATAACCGCATCTAAATCTTTTGATTCATTTGCCTAAATGAAATACTGAAACTAGATAAAGAATTTTTTCTTATATATATATTTTCAATTACTGTTAATGATACACCTCCTCCATTTTCACCAGGACAATCTTTACATTGTTCGGGTATTGTATAAGTTTCTCGATTAATACGTTTTCTAATTACAATCGAATCTGCTTTTGGTCTTTCATTTAAAGTAATAAGTTCTGATGGGGAGTTATTTTTACTTTCATAAGAGAACAATAGAATAGTAAAAATAATACAAAGAAATATTATAAATTTATTGCGACGGCGATATATATTCCAATAGAGATATCGATATCTAGGAAACATCTGAAATAAATCAAAAATAATTTTCTTTGTTTCTAATTTTAATTGTTATGTTGTAAGGTTGAGAAAAAAATATTATTAATCATATGCAGCCATATAGAAATGACATTGAAGAATATTTTTATTTTCTACATTTTTGAATTCATTGCAAAATGATAAGACGAAATATTTTCTATGAAATACAGATACAAAAAAAAATGCTGACGTATCAAGTTTAGAATGCGAAATTATATCTAGAAAGAGAAGGAATTTATTGTTTTTTTTTATTTGTGAATAATGATTAGAAAGTTATGCCTGAGTAAAAATACTATTACAATGATGAAATAGCTGATTCTTTTGTTTGTTGTTTATTTTTAACAATATTTTCCGGTACGATAAAATGATCTGACAAGTGGTCCAGTTGCTACGTAAAGAAATCCAATTGATTCTCCATATTCTTGTAATTGTTGAAAAATTTCTGATCGAATATATTCTTTAACTTTTAAATGTTGTCTTGTTGGTTGCATATATAAGAACACTTAATGATTGTTCACAATTAGCACGATGATCACGTACAGTTTCTATATGATGTGCATAAACACCTAGATTTGGTTTTTGTTGTTTTATTAAACTTATATATTGCAATAGCCGTATTTTGTGGTTCATTTGGATCAAGTGCTGCAGGTTTACCTGACGTTTTAACTGAACAAAAACGACAACCACGAAGTACATTCATCACGTAATAACATAATTATAGCTGTTGAATTACAATCTTCACCTAAATATTAAATCATTTTTTAAAAATAAATACGAAATCAGTATCATCTGATTTATTTTCGAGAAACCGAAATTATTATATAGAGTTATTTAATATACAAAATAACTTCAATATGATAAGGATAAAGTAAGATTTTTAACATTTTTTCTTCAAATTCCGGTAACATCATTTCTTTTTCTCTCACTTAACCTGTGATAATGCTCAATATTTCTTTTTTCTTCTTAACATTCGATCTATTCATATATATGTTGTAGGAAAAATTAAAATCCAGAAGAATTTAAAATTCTCCTAGGACAAATTAAAATGGGGACCTTCCGTCGTAAATAAGTCATTTAGCGATAAGTGTATTCCCATCAGTTATGAATAACTTGAAAAGCAACATTGAAACGGTCAATATCTATTTCCTGAAGTCTAATCGTAGCATCACATGATTTTAAACTATAATGATGCTTATTAGTTGGATGAGAATGATACACCATTTTTTCATCATTCTATTAGATGATCCTTCTATTTACTGCAGCACCCATTTTTCCTTAGGCTATCATTTTCAAGGATTTTCTCTGATGAGATATATGTTATTCAAGATAGTACAATAAATAAAATGTAGAATTCCAAATACTCGATGAACAACGAGTAAGAATAGTATTGTCAAAATTTAACTGAAAACAGATCGAACAAACAGTGCATAAGAATAAGAATAACAAAAGTGTCATTTTTTAATACTCTACTAAAATCTACCGATTACAAAAAGATGAAGTCTAAACAACTTAATCGTCTAAAACTTCTCACTTGTGTTAGTACATATTATAATATACACTAAACTTAGCTTAGATTTTAAAGTAGTTTATTTCAAATTTTTAAATAATTTTTAATATGAAATTTATTTCTCTATGAATATAACACAATTGATAAAAAAAATTATTGTTATTTCAAATGTTTCATCTACTATAGTTCAAACATTGTACTCTCTTAATTAAAAAATTGTTTATTCTAACTATGATTTCTCTGACATCTTTCTTTTTCTACATGCCGGTATCATTATATTTGACTACTCCAATAATTCTATATATAGAAACAAATGGCACGATTGTTTTATCGATCTAATCAATCGATGAAATCTCATCTTGCATATGTATACACTCCTCCCATTCTTCCGTCACAGTTATTTATTCTTTCGTTTGGGAACAGTAGTATATATGATATCATCGTATGAACAACAACAATTATAAAATTTCACAGTTTATATAAATATTTCGAATTTTAATGAAAACGAATTCATCGTCTTATATTGCAATTTTTCAGGTGAAACGAATAGAAAATTTATACTCTATTGAATGACATTTCCTATCGTATTTTCTTTTCTCAATCTAATGAAAGACGTTTCTTTCGTCCCAGATGGTTAACACAAGCAAGAAAAAGAGAAGAAGAAGAAACAACAACAACAACATAGAAAAAGTCGGCGCAATCGACTCGATTAGCAAGAAAGCTTTGACATTTGACGTTCATCATCTGTTATTTCAATCACTGAAGATCATAGATACCTAAATAAAGAATCATTTATTGCGCCTCATTTTCACCTCAGAAAAAAAAGACAAAATTACTTTCTCTGTTCTTGTTCCACATCATTGACAAGCAAAAGAAATCCATGGAGATTAAACATATAACATCTGAAATTCACTTGAGCACTTGCTTTTACTCGGTATATTGTATATACAAAAGACATTGATTAAACAAATATATATATATATTGATGATTCCGTTATGTGTCTCCGTAAAGTGCTGCTCTTCATGTATAATAGCAGAGATGTAAATAATACAAACGTCTTTTTTCGTCCATCTGGACACCATTGGACTCGTGTGCATCTAGTTAATTAGGGCAAAAAGAAAACGATGACGACTCGCTAAGTTCAATAAGCCGGAAATGTAAACAAGAAGAAGAAGACGACATAAATGCCGTAGGAGAGAATTTGTTTTGTCGTCCTTTTTCTTTTAGCAATCGTTTATGTTTATTTATACAGCAACAAAAAAAAAGAAAAGAAAAGAGAAAAAAAAGAACTCTAGTGGCTAGCAATGCTTTCATCATCTTCAGAATCTCCATCTTGTTCTTCATTATTTGAATGGTAACATGTTTTTTGATTAACTTTATCAACTTTAGCTAAAACAGCACCACGAACACGTTTAAATTTCATACGACGATTTTGAAACCATACCTTAAAAAAAGATAAAAAATTTCTTCTTTTTTTTTTTTTTAATTTACTTTCACTTGTCGTTCGGTTAAACTAAGTGCAACAGCTATTTCATAACGACGTAAACGTGTTAAATAATTATGTTTTAAAAATTCACGTTCTAATTCACGTATTTGATTTTTTGTAAAAGCTGTACGTTCTTTACGTGGTTTTGAATTGACAGGAACTGATTGAGCTGGACTTATACCATTATTCATCGATAAAGATTCATTTGATGATGACGCTAAATAGAAAAAATATATATATATGTTTTATATTTTAAGTTCCTAATTAATACAAACCACCAGAAGATGAAGCTTTTGGACTTAATCGTATTGTTGATGATAAATCATTTTTATTTATTTGTTGTTTATAACTATTTGGAGAAATTAATTGAGATGATGATGGTGTTGTTGGTCCTCCTCCTATTGAAGGATTGTCTGCAAATAAATGATGATGATGATTATGAGCTTGTTCGCAATTGAAATTAAAATTAAAATAAGCAGCTACGGTAGCTTTAGTTGATGCTGATGTATTTGATTTATAATCAAGATCAGTTGTTGGATTTGTTTGTTGAGGATTATAAGTAACATAAGGATGAGAATGATAATCAAATGTTGGATCATATTTTGAATTTGATGTTGGTGGTGCTGTAGGATGTGATGGTTGTGGGAACCAACAATCAGATTGATTTGAATATGTACCTGTAGGATGATGATAAGGACGTATTGGGTATGTGGATTGAAATCGATGATAATCCATTGGTGAATAATGTTGTATATGTGAAGAAAATGCATGTAAACGTTGTTGTTCTTCCATACTATTTCAATTCTCACTTGATTCAAATGATATTATTAACTATTTTAGTAGAAAGAAAATGTAGATGTGAAACAAAAATAATTAGCAAAAGTCGATCGAAGATTAGTAGAAGAAGAAGTCAGTCAATTTTCCTTTCATCTCTCCTTTTTTTGTTGCTGGATCGTTAGTTGTAGAGAGAAAAAGAGAAGGAGAAGAAAAATATCATTCTATTTCCATATCTATTTTTTCCATTGGTTTATCTATGTACTGCTAGACCAATCAATAATTCTTCTTACGTTAAAAGAGATATGCAACATGTCAAACAGCATGATACTTTCACGATCAAGCCACTTGAAAACTTATTGAAACATTTTCTTGTTTAAAAATGAGAAAATCTAATGTATGCTCGCGAGAAGAAAGATACGTGTTGTTGTTCTTTTATCTTTTTATTTAATGACAAAAAAAAATGATCAAAAAAAATGATATCATACTGTACACAATCAACATAATGTTTGCATCAGTATTTATAGGTCACAGAGAGAGAAAAAAGATTCCTCTTGGAAAGAGTAGTATTTTTTGATCAAGGATAAAATCCTTCATCTAATATTATATATATAAAATTGATATAGAACTCCTATTTATTCGATTACGTTATATAATAAAATATGTTTTGTTACTCTTACTAAACAAATAAGAATTCTTTGATACTTAATTATAATAGACAGATGTTTAATGAATTATTAAGGAAAAAAATGATTCAATTTTTGCAGAATATTGTTACCAAATGATACTGATTTCGAAGGACAAATGTATTGATGAATCATACTTCGTTAGTACATATATTCTTTTACAAAAATCATCACAATATGATGCTATCATAATAATAGTTAAATTCAATAAACTTCTTTTTTAAGATAATCAAATTGAATTTTTTCTTGTTGTTCGGAAATAATGATTTATATATGTTGGAGTCAAAACTAGAATTGGCTCAATTTAGAATTCAGATGAAAATAAACAAATACGATTAAAATTTAAAATATCTGAATATATGAACTATTTTTATTCAACAAAGTTTTTTTAATCTTGATAAGTACTTCAAAAATCGAAGTACTTTAGTTTTATTCACCCATATTTTTGCACCCAGCACGTTTCGAATGACATTTTGTTAAGCAAAATACTTACATTCTAATATGTATATCTATATTTATACCATTTATCAACATGACATCGTGATTAATTTTTTTTTTTTATTTTACTCGTATAGAAAAGTATGTCACTTTATTTGTTTACCTTTATCTGAATTCTAATTCTGTTTGGTCAAAACTAGAATTCCATTTTTGTCTGGTCAAATTCTAAATTTGACCCAATTTCAATTTTGACCCCTACATATATATTGAATATTACTGTAGTCATCTCTTTATCACTCACTTGTTATTTGCCAATGCTTACTTTGTACTTCACACTACCCGTAAGAAACTTTTCTGTACATTTCCTAAACAATCTCTATTCAAAGTGGAATGAAAGTATTAGTTTTTGAGTTAGAAGGTTATATAAGTACAAACAAAATTGTTATGAAACATGTTTATACATAAAAATTCAACGAAATCTATAATTAAAATATGTGTCATCATTTTTCTATTCTATATATCAGAAAAAAAATTAATGACAGACAAATGGCAGAACTAGGTGTGCTTAGTATTGAATGGTAGCGTAGATGAATCCATTCAATGTCGGAAATAAGGACTTGCATTTATGTAAAGTTATTTCTATTATAAATTTTAATATGAATAGTACATCATTCAATATATATATGATTTTATCAAGTCCACATAAATTTTTGTGCTATCATATGAACTATATAAATTTGAAAACATCCATTATTAGTTTAGAAAATATCTAATTATTACATAACATTTTAATTCATGATGAAGTCTGATAATATCTTTCTAATTTTTAGTATGTATTGAATAATACTACGACTTATACTGTATAACTTTTTCATCAATTAATTGTTTTAAAAATCAGTAATTGAAATATCTTTACAAAATCTACCTAGATCAATAAATCTTTATTTTTATATTATCATGAAACTGTGTTGAACCTTTTGTCCTAATCAACTCCTCGAGTTTCATTTACTACTTGTTTAACAATTTGATGAATATTCTTATATATTTCATCGTTTCTGATCATTCAAATTACACGAAGAAAATTGAATACGTTTAAAATAAACTTCTTTATGTTTATCTAATATAAAAATTCCTATAAATAGTTAAATAAAAGTTTGTTTATATATATATAACGGCAGTTTCTAACTTCTTTAGAAAAACAATGATTCATAGAAAAAAATGATGTCGTAATAATCTTTAATACATGTCCTATGTCATTTTTAAATTTCTATTGTTTTATCTTATTTATTGAAGCAAAAAAAAATGTTTTGTGTACAGAAAAAAACAATGATTACTGATCGACAGAAGATGGTTTAGCTTTCCATAGACGATATTCAGTCATTTGATTAGGAAATTGTGAACTTAATTCAACAGCTAATGTATCAGCAAATTTTGCTAATGTTTCATTTTTACCATTTATTTCTTCATTTCGTTCAAGTGTACGTTGTAAACAATCACGTGTAAACATTTGTGGATTTTTAAGATCATCAACATAACTAAATAAATATATAAACATGTAATAGAATAAAGTATAAATTATTTTATTTTTACTTTAATAATTGTCCAGGTATTTGTATTTCTTGAAATTGTCCTTTCATTTGATCAACATCTTTTAATAAACCAATAATTTCATTAAGAACTTGATCAACACGAGGTTGAGATTGAGCTTGAAAATCAGTAACAGTTACATATAAATTCCAAGTTTTTTCAATTAAATATTCTAAATCTGTCTTTAATTTTGGCAAAGAATCACTCATATTTATTTCCCAATTCTAATTTATTATAGGTAAATGTAATGCAAGTGTTCTTTTTTTTTCTTTCTTCAATCTAATCCATCATCTATCTTTCCTACTTTGAAAGATTATGGTTGACATGACAAGCCAATCAGATAAGATAACGAATAGAGTTCGCTCGATGTCTGCACATATATTCTATATTTATGTAGATGTATATTTAAATTCGTTGTCTTATCTGTAATTATAAAAAAATACTTCGAATTTTGCAATATAAAAGATAAAATTAGAAAATATGTTATAACTGTAGATGGTGTATTAATACTAGGACATTTTTCTTAAATTAGAAATGAATAGATCGAGTTTTTATTTATCTGAGCGATCTTCTATACTGAACTGCAAAGCTATCAATTTCATTTGAAATATAAAACTTTCTTTCTTTGTATTGCCAGAAAACCTTATCTATTCACCATAGCCTTTTGTGGTATAGTTTTCTGTTAATTCCACATTAGAAAAAAAGCTTTAAAATTTGTTCAATCTACATATTCTTATTAAATTCGATGAAGTCTAACCTCCTATATGAAAACATCGAAGAAAAAAACTTGAGTAGGTTATTTCTGAAAGATGTTGTATATTTTCGTTTATAGTAATCTGCTTTAACTATGGTGAATCTCGTATCATACGGACGAATTCAATATCAAATATATTTTCTTGAATACTGTGACACTTTGAAAATGATTCAAATTATAATACTTGTTGTCCTTAATGTCTTCAGAAGAATCCTGAACATTCGCAGTCAGTAGATCGATTTTAATTTTTTCAAATAATCATTTAAAACGGCATATTCAGCATTCTATATAGCCGATTGTACATTCAAAGTCGGAGTTATATCAGATCATTCTTACATTACTGTCAATATCCATACGAAAAGTATAACGACTGAGGATAAGAATTAAAATAATTAGACAAAAAGATTTTTATATTAGACTATTTACTATGATCGCATATTTGATTTCGAGATTTCTTGCTTACACACTATATTTAAGTATAATTACTGTTTGTTCATTTTTAATTGCAATGAAAACAATTTTGAAATTATATGAATTTTCAATCCACCAAGTGGTTTATATATTGATTACTGTTTCACTCATTTCAATAAATCTACAGCAATTTATAAAGATGCTAGACGTTACTAAAGATAATCTTATTAATTGTTATTATATATTTACTTTCGAAATAATTCTTAATTAATATGTCTAAGTATCTGGTTGTGCCTTTAATCGTAAGAAATCTAACAATAATTCTTTTCAGGTATAAATACTAACATGAAGGGGTATGCGTGGGAATGGGTACCTGTTACCACATACGATTTATTTTATATTAAAATTGTCCACAAAATAATTTCTCTATATACGTGTTTCTTAATGTCCATGAATAGTTAATATGTATGAAAATTAGAGTCATGCATCTAACAGATAATTATGAACACAAAAGAGCAACCGACAAAAATATTATTTCTATAATTTTCAATTACATTTATTTATACTCTATATATACATAATTATAAAATTTAGTTCATGACTCTCCACACTCTCATTTAATTTTTTTCAAGATCTTTCTTCTATACACAACATAATTATTTAATTCAAGATAGACTGTATCAAGTATGTTTATAGTTTTAATTGCTGTTATTTATAAGACTGACTTAAATATTAATGATCTTCTTGAAAAAATCCAAATTATTATTAAGTAAGAAGAGAAATATATTACGCATATTAGTTTTTTAAAATTAAACGTATTAAAATGTTATCTCCATCAACTATCGATTCAATAAATTTTCTAGCAAAACAAATCAATATTTATTTTGGATTATTTATTTTAATTCTTGGTATAATTGGTGGTTTAATAAATATTATCATTTTTACTACATTAAAAACATTTCGAAAAACCAGTTGTGCTTTTTATCTAATGATGGCATCAATATTTAATGTAGGAGAATTGATTTCAGGTGCATTTACTACTATTCTTAAGATTGGTTTTGATATTGATCCAACAGAATTATCATATCTATGTAAAATTCGTATGTTTTTAGTACAATGGTTTAGTTTACTTTCAGTTACTAGTATGTGTTTAGCAAGTATTGATCAATTTCTTTTAGTTAAATATCAATATTTAACTAGTTTAAAATTAGCAATTAGTTTTATTACTATTGCTTGTTTAATATGGTCTATTCATGGTATATTTTTTGTTCTATTTTGGAATTCAATTGATGGTGTTTGTAGTATAACTAATATTACATTTGATATGTATATAACTTATTTTCATTTTCCAATTCTTCTTGGATTTTTACCACTTACAATTATGATTCTATGTTCTTTTCCTGCTTTTATTAATGCAAGAAAATTAGCTAGTCGACAAATAAATATCATACGTTTAAGTTGTGATCGACAATTAACAGCAATGACACTTAGTCAAATAGCATTTATTGTTATAACAACTATTCCATTTATAACAAATTATATATTCTTATTAAATATGAACTCTACCGATAAGGAATCTAATGCTCGAATGTATCTTGTTCATACAATTACAACTTATGTGTATTATACAACTTACACAGTAGGTTTTTTAATTTAACAAATATAATATTTATTCTGATGTTTAGAATTCATTTTACATTTATTGTTTTGTATCAAAACGTTTTCGTAAACAATTTATCTATGTTCTTATCAATGTTCATCTTCAACGATACAATCAACAAAGAAATCGTTTGAATAATAATCAAGTACAACCTACGAAAGTCGGAACAAGTATTGAACAAATTCCAAAGAAAAATGATGATATTACATTATATTAACTGCTAATCGATAACAGTGGTGGATCCAGGATTTTGGAAGGTGGGATGGGGCGATAACTGGGGAGGGGGGCGATTTTGGGTAAAAGCTATTTTTTGAGTCCAATCGAGGTAGTGTGAATCTATTTTTTCGTTCATTTTGCTGAAAAAATTTCGGAAGGGGGGCAATCGCCCTCCCCCTCTAAATCTGCCACTGATTAATAAGTCACTTTTGTCTGAATCATTGTTTTTTCTTCTCGAATAAATATTAGTTTGCACTAGTAGTCATATACTGATTAATGCAATTCTCTCCTCCTTCCCAGCTTATCTCAGAAACATAATTAAAATTTTATTCATATATAAAATCAGATAGCTGAATATGTATAGGAATAACAAGAAACAGATTGCTGTCGTCTGTAGTTATATTACACACGAATAGACTCATATTAATTTTCAATGAGTTGTCATTACAATTAGTTTGAATAATTTCAACAAAAAAAAAATAGTCTTGACATCCTTAAGTAGATAAATAAAATCGACAAGAGAAATCTGGTAGTGTAATCGAAGCATTACTGTTTCAATTTGTTATCTATGAAACACTGTATTCATTCGTTTGACACCCTCAAGTCATTTATTCGTGTCAATATATGCGGTTCATTTAGCAAGCAAGCAAAACTATTCTACTAGTTCATATTCTATTGTATTTTTTTAGCCTATCACAATTTTGTCGTTTACTTCATCGTGTCAATCAAGTGAAGTGTGTAAGTATACTGATATAATCTCTTTCCTGAATGCACTGCATATAATGAGAAGTGAAAGCGATTATTTCAGCTGATCGAATGAAGAAAAAAAAATTATTACACTTTCATTCTTCAATCTAAATAGGAAGACATATTTTATTAAACGATCCTTTTATATGTGTATATAAATAATATAATCATCATCGATCAATGTCTTGGGAATCTACAAGACCTTGACGTAAAAATCTCATCTATAATGAGGAGAAGAATAACAAAAAATTAATTCAAACTATCTGCTCCATATACTTCTACCCTCCTGTCGCGTTGAGTGATTCTTGTATTATCAAGTATGCGCATCTTTTTTCTTCAGTGATAAACATCGTCGTTCGATTACACGTGTGATGAATATGGATGTTTCTAATTACTTCTTGTTTAAATATCATCTTATGCACGAATGATTTCTTAACAATTCAAGATTCTCTATTTGTTTTAATATCAACAATTCTATTGCATATAATTCTTGAAGAATGATAATACATTTGGGAAATGACGTTTTGCTTTTTCTTGTTATTGTTATTAGTAATATATTGATGGATGAGAAACACAAAAAAAATCTTATCTGTTGTCTCAACGATGAGATCAATATGGTAATTTTTGAATGGAATAGTCAAGTAAAACATGCAATAAGCTCATTTTCATTGCATGACTCGTGTATTTCAACAACAGAAAAAAAATGAAACTTTTTTTTTTGTTTTAATGAATTGATTATAGAGTATTCTTTAATGTCTATGATGAGAAAAGAATTGATTCTATTTATTTTTTTGCTGATGACATTTGCATGGATTTTTTCTATTGGTAAGAAAAAGACATGTTATCTGATTGGTCACTTGGGAGGAGAAGAAAAAGAATGCGTGCATGTGCATGAGAGAGTGAAAGAAGAATAATTAGAAAGATGAAGCAGATATATATTTGTTACCTCTTCTATCAATGATGATTGAATAAAATTTAGTCGAAACGAAATTATGTTATGTCCAACAAATAATTTTGCTCTTCAACTTAATAAATATCTTGTTGAAAAAGTTATACCGCGAAAGAATTCAATTTATAAAGCTGTACGAGAAGTATCCAAAGTTGTTACAGAAGTATTACGTGAAGTTGAAGCACAAGAACCAAGATTTATTTCATCACTTACTGAACTTAATGGACGTTTTGAAGGTCTTAGTGTTGTATCACATACAGAATTTGAGGTAAGAAATATTCTCATAGAAAATTAATCAATATAATTTATTTAGATAGATAAATGATGCGTATAGAGATCAATCATTCTTAAAAAGAATACCTAGATAATTTTTCTCTATGCTAAGAATAATAAATAGAAATCATTTGTCTATATTTAGGTTGTTTTATATTTAAATCAAATGGGTGTATTTAATTTTGTTGATGATGGAACTATTCCAGGTTGTGCTGTACTTAAATTATCTGATGGACGAAAACGTTCAATGTCACTTTGGGTTGAATTTATAACTGCAAGTGGTTATTTATCAGCACGTAAAATTCGTTCACGTTTTCAAGCACTTGTTGCTCAAGCTTGTGAAAAATGTTCATGTCGTGATTATGTTAAATTATTAACTGATACATCAGAAGTACGTCTTCGTATACGTGAAAAATTTATTGTACATATTGTACCAGCATTTCGTTGTGCTGGTTTATGGCCACGTTCAGCTGCACATTGGCCATTTTCTCCAACACAATTTTCTGTTTGGCCAAATCCAAATCAAATCAATGATGTTAAAAATGAAGGTTTTAATATCTTATCAAAAGAATCAATTTATATGAAAGATAAACAAGCAAGTTCAGAAGGTGATGCATGGGTTATGTCATTTACTGAAGCTGAAGATCGTCTTTTACAGGATGGTACAAGACGTAAATGTCTTTCAATATTAAAAACATTACGTGATCGTAATTTTGATTCAACACCAATAACAAATTATGTTTTAAAATGTTTAGTTTTATATGAATGTGAAAAACATCCAAATGAACATGAATGGTCTGATGATATAACATTAGGAGATCGTCTTAATGGAATATTATTACAATTAATATCTTGTTTACAATGTCGAAAATGTCCACATTATTTTTTACCTAATGTCGATTTATTTAAAGGCAAATCTCTTCAATCACTTGATAATACAGCTAAACAATGTTGGCGTTTAACTCGTGAAATGCTCATTAATAGTCATTGTCTTGATAGGTTATAAAGATCAAACGAGTAATTACAAGAGATATTCTGTTCCTCTTCTCTTTTTTTTTGTTGTTGAATGTTTATTTTATATATAAACATACCATCACGTATTCTCGTTTCACACTTTTCTTTTTTTTTATAATGTAAACAATAACATTTTCTTTTGTCTGTCTGTTGTGTATGTATTTCATTTAATAGCCCATAAAAATCATTTTTAGTAAACAAAAAATATAAGAAGAAGAAGAAGATGAAAGCTTATAAATGTCTGGCTACTGTTCAATTTCTATTAGAGAGTATTTATCATAAATGAGTAAGATTGTGTGACATAGACCAAAAGTAGGTGTTAAAGGTAATCAAGATGATAGTCTTATACTGACAGACATGCAAGCGGAAGGAGATCGATTACATACGCTACTACGATTGCGTCAAATTGAAAATGATGCCATCTCATATTTCAATCGCACAGCTTGCTCAATTTTAGTATCATTATCGATAAAATTTCTTCACATATCGACATCAAACGAAGCTCAAGTTAAATGTATATATCAATACGAAAGAGAAGAAGAAAAAAAAATGTAATGTCGTTGACTTGATCAAGAGAAAAAAAAAAGAGAAGAAAATTGATCTTGACAGTATGTCACATTGAATCAAGATACCATTTATCAAATGAAACACTATAGGAGTCATTTTTTTCCTTCTTTCTTTTTCTTTCAACATATGTATGTACAATGTAGTAAGATCGATTGCACACTAGATGTTCTCAATTGAATTAGTCATTCCATCACCATAACTATCAGATTCAACGGGTATAAGATATTCAGGTTTTTGCCAACACATTGGACAAAGTTGATTACGTTTAGAAGATGAACGCATCCATATAATAAAATTATATCGTTCACCAGATGTTATTGGTTCAGAACCATGAAGATGTTGACCGCGATGCAAGATACCAAAAGTAGGCATATGTTCAACAACTAAAGAAATAAAACATTTATTCCAATCAAGATCTATATATTCTCTATGTTGTTTTACATGTGAAATTTGAAAATACTGTACGATTAGCTTTCGCCATAGTACCAAAATATAAGTCACCACCTTCAAATTGTGCTCCTTAAAAATAAATTTCATAAATAAAATTTCAATCTATTAAATATACCAAGTGATACATTCAGTGTAACTTCGGCATTATCATAATGATAACCAAGATCAATATCTTGACCAATTTTATATGAAACAACAAATGCTTTATGTGAATCTAATCCTGTATCACCTACATATTCATCACTATATAAAGCTTTAACAAGAGGATTTAAATATTGATTACGTAATTCATCAATAAAATTTGAAAATCCTAATTCATCTAAAAGAACCTAAAATAATCAATTAATAGAATAAAATAGATTAATTCTTGACATTTTTTCTACGCCATAATTATTCATAGTATTTGGTCTTCCTTTCGGCATTGGTGATGCTTCAAAATGTTTTAATTCATCAATAAATTTTGTACAAAATTCTGTTGTAAATACTGGTATTGAATAAATTCCATCTATATATATATATATGAATAAATCAAATCAAAATATCTTTTATATACTTACTATTAAATTTTTTCAAATATTCATTAGAAGATTTTGGTTGTGCACATATTTGTTTGAAATGTTCAGATAAAAATTTCGACTAGAAATTAAATTTTTTGAAAAAATTATTCATTTCTAAATATTTCTATACTTGAAATTGATAAAGTTCGGGATATAATGGTTGATATTCTTTACGAATTTTTTCTTTACGTATACGTGCATCTGTATCAAGTGTTTGTCGACGATTAATTTCTTTATGTACAGAATTTAATAATTGTTCAATATCATTTTTATCCGAAGCTAACTGAAAAAATCAAAATTTTTCTAAAAACTAAAAAAAATCTAATATTACTTGTTGATGTTCTTTTCGAAATTGCTCATCATCTATATAATGTACATGAGCACCAATTTGTTCCAAATAGATATTACTTTTAAAAAAACATGAACATCGACAAAAAGTTTTTTTCATAATTATCTTAAAGTAAAATACAAAATATTTTTCTTTTCATGTTCGTATGGTAATTTCATAGTTCAATTCGAAATTATTCATTTCATATGAATCATTATTAATTGGTATTCTTATATATCATCATTTATCAAATATGTTTTTCTTTGTCTCGTATGGTAAAAATCTGATCATGTTAACGACAAAGTCTATCTGTCCTTCATAAATCATTTCACGTGATAATCGATGAGTGTCACGTGTATAAAGACAAGGTTATTATAGAATGGATGGTAATAACCAGCCTGTATATTACACATCTGTCGTCACTCATTATTAACATGTTCTATCCTTGAAATCTAAATTTCTATTGTAAACATATAAATCATCTAATAGATATTAATAAAATAAAACTAGATAAGTCCTCCTATGCGAATCATATGTTGATATATGAAACAAACAAAAAATAATATTTATCAATCAAAAGAAGAAAAGAAAAAAAATGTATTCTTGAAGAGAAAAGAAAAAAAAAGAAAAGAAAAAAAAAGAGAATGAAGAAACATCATAAAATTTGAATCAAGAACGAAAAAATGCATTTAGATACAACTTTATTTATAATGAAGAGAGTATATATTAACCGAGAGACACAGTCACATTGATAGCTAGATTTCCATTTTCACTAAATAATAATGCCGTTGCTCCATCAAATACGAGACAATCACTAAGAAGTATTGCTTGTTGAATACCTTCATGAATAGATTTCGGTGTACTTTCCCATGTTAATCGTCGTTTATTACCATTTAATTCTAATCGATAGACGAATTTTTCTGCTTGTTGCCGTGTACCTATCAATTGTACAATAGCAAAAAATTGTTGTTCTTGTTTTTCCAATACAAGCATAAAATGATGACCAAAACATGATTGCATCATAACCTAGAATAGTTTTCGATCTGTAAACATCACATTCGAATTCTCTCTTACCCAATCAACAGCTCCAGGTAATGTAATATCCGTAGCTAAGAAAACAATATCTTCGCCTTGTAATGTCGTTATTGATTTATGTCCAAGCCATAAATGTTGCATGACACTTTCCAAACTACCTTGCCATTTGCATGATGCACCAGGACACGGACATACATACTTTAAGAAAAAATATAAAAATAGAACTTTTTTCATTTGAAAATAAAATGTTTACTGGACGAAAATCACAGCAATCTTCATGTTCTAATTTATGTTTATGCATTAAACTTAATAAACAACCATTTGTTTGATATTTACAAGGAAATAATATTGTATCAGCAACTTTTTCCATTCCTAAATTACGGATATTACCTAATGGTCCACGACAAGTTGGACATGATGAGAGTTTTTGTCGACATTGTGAACAAACAATATGTCCTGATTGACATTGAAGTATAGGTGGTAATGCATAATCGAAACAAACAGGACATTCAAATAAATTAACTAAATCTTGATGTTGATTTGATCCAGTAGATGTTGTGAGATTACATGAAGCTGCTGTTGCTGATGATAAACTTCCAGCTGGCATTAGATTTGTATTTGTTGTAATGATTTGTTGACAATTTGTGGTTGAAATATTAATTGAACAAGTTGTTGTGGTTGTTGTTGTTGTCGGATTTATTGTAACGTTTGAATTTGTATTTGGTGCAATAGCTGCTGCAAGACGATCGTGAACAGTAAATGTTGTTGAATTACTATTACTCTTCATCATTAATTACAGATATTTTACAAAAAAGAAGTTGGCGAAACAAACAAAAAAAGAAGGAATTTGACAATAACAAAAAAACAATTTTTTGGAGAAAAAAAGAAACTTTTTTTTTTTTGTTTTTAATTTACTGTTTTTGTTTAAAAACTATCGGTAGATAATATGATCAAATCCACATCGAAACCTTTGCAATTTAATAAATAATAGCATCGCAAATATATCTTTGAATTTCATTGTAAACCTTTTTTTTGTTCCAATAATAAATAGGTAGTAAGTTTTTTATTTAATAGTATACTAACTAACCGAAACTCTTTCAAATACAAGGACAGAATAAAAAAATAAATAAATAAGATTTATAGCCAATAAAAATATTTTCAACTGCCATCTATCTTATTGATTGAGTATTGACTTTTTTTTTTGATTTATTCTGTTCTATGATATGGTGAGAAAAACAATTATTGTCACCGGTGCTTACGGTGGTATAGGAAGAGCAATATGTGAGATTTTAGCAAAAGATCATAATAATCAAATAATATTAACTGGTCGAAATCAACGAGATTTACAAACAACAGTTGAACATATTCAATCAACAACAAAGAATCCATCAATACAAGCATATGTTGTTGATTTTTCATCAAAAGATTCGATTGAAAAATTTGCATCGCAATTAAATGATCAACCAGTTGATGTATTAATTAATAATCATGCAACAGGACCTAAAAAACGTGAAGTTAATCAAAATGGAATTGAATTACAATTTGCAACAAATGTTTTAGGATATATTTGGATGATAAATTCATTGGAAAAAAATCTTAAGAAATGTTCACCACATGCACGTATTGTTAATGTTGCAAGTTATTGGGCAGGTGGTCTTGATATAGATGATCTTGAATTTAAAAAACGTTCGTATACAACCGATGCTGCTTATCGACAAGCTAAACAAGCAAATCGAATGTTAACATTAGCATATGCAGAAAAATTTAAAAATGATGGAATAACGGTTAATGTTTGTCATCCAGGTGATTCAAATACAAAATTAAGTAATTCAATGGGTTTTGGTGGTCATGAAACACCTGAAGAAAGTGCAAAAACACCAGTTTATTTAGCTATATCTAATGATGTTGCGAATATAACAGGAAAATATTTTCGAGATTGTCATGTAGAAGATGATTCGTTCATGAAAGATAAAGATTTAATTAAAAAACTATATAATATATGTCAACAATATTAAATTACGAATTCTAATTTTTCTAGATAAGCATATATAAATGTAAAATCATGTCTTTATCATCTATGACACCATTTACTCGTGGTCATCATGCGACTAAACGATTTAATAATAGTGCTCGTTTAAAAATGGCTAATCATCATCCTATGGTTACAAGTACTATTACAGCATCGTCTGATATAAATAATAATACAAGTAATCCAGGTGCTGTTTTTGCACATTATGAACATGGTCATTCAGATTCTCTTTTGGAAGCACTTAATGATCTTCGTTTAAGTAGACAATTATGTGATGTAACTATTATTGTTGGTCAACATGAATATCCGTGCCATAAAGTACGAGACCAAAAACAAAAAGCTTCTCTAATACATATGACTAATCGTTAATTTAAACTTTTAGAACGTCCTTGCTGCTGCTAGTCCTTATTTTCGAGCTATGTTTACAACATCTGAAATGTGTGAATCATCTCAACCAACAGTTACTCTTAATGGAGTTGATCCTGATGCAATGTTTGAACTTATTGAATATGCATATACATGTAAAGTTTTAATTTTGATTGATTCTATTTTTACTTTTATTTTTCTAGCGGAAATAACTATTTGTGAGAATAATGTTCAATCATTACTTTCTGCCGCTAATTTACTTATGATGCAACCTGTTCGTGATGCATGCAGTTCATTTTTTGAACGTTTTCTTGATGAAACAAATGCAATTGGTATAAATTGTTTTGCAGAATTACATGGAACACAAGAATTAACAAAAAAAGCAAAACGATTTGTATTAAAAAAATTCTCACAAGTATTATTTTATATTTTTGGGAGAAAAATATGATTTACTATATATTTTAAAGGTTGTACAACAAGATGAATGGCTTCAAGTTTCATCACCGAAAATTATTGAATTTATAAGTAAGAATAAAATTTAATTCCAATATAAATTTGTTATTTTTGAATAATCATCTAATAGAAGAAGACGATCTTCGAATAGGAAGTGAAGATGAAGTATATGATGCATGTTTACGTTGGTTAAATCATGCACCTGAACAACGTAAAAATGATTTTCATACAGTATGTTAAACTTGCATCTCGTGATTCTATGAAAATAATAAATCTATAATTGATTCTAGATCTTACAACACATTCGATTAGCTTTTCTTAGTCCTGTAAGATAAACAAATGTATATATGTCATTTATTATTATTGTTTATATATATATGTTTAGTATACATTGATGGATAAAGTTGCTACATGTAAAGTTGTACAAGAAGATACGGCATGTCGGGAATTATTTCACGAAGCATTACGATATCATTTACTTGTTGATAGACGTTCTGAAATGTCAACAACTAATTCTCGATTGAAACCACGCACATGTTCAGGTAAATATTGTTTGATTATTAAATTTTTTTTTGAAATCTATTCTTTTAGAATTAACGGAAGCATTAGTCTTTTTGGGTGGAGAAGATGAACGAGTTGTTGTACGTGGTGTTGAAGTTTATAATCCAGAAAGGTATTTTATTTTTAATGAGTCTTATTAATCGAATAATTGACATGCAAAAGAAACTCATTATTTATTGTAATTTTATTTAAAGAGATGAATGGAAAAAACTTTGTTGTTTACCGTATGCGATATCTAAACATGCAATTGTTGCATCAGGTATATAAAATCGATATTGTATTCTATTATTTATATATATTATATTAGGGGCATCGACACTTTACTTATGCGGTGGAGATTTTCCGAATGGTATGTTTAAAGTTTCTAATTAAGAAAGAAAATTTTCATTGAGAAATAAATTTATTTAGGACGGCCAAGTTCAGAAGTTTGGAAGTATGATCAAAAAGTTGATACATGGTATCAATTGTCAGATATGTTAACACCACGATCGGAATTGGGTTTAGCATTAATTGATGGTTATATATATGCTTGTGGTGGATCGAATGGAGATGTTCGTCTTAATAGTATAGAAAGATATTCAATTGCTGATAATAAATGGACTTTAGTATGTATTAAAATGAGAAGAAAAAAAATTAATTAATTGATTTTATTTAGATTGCATCAATGCAAGTTGGTATGACAAGTCCTGCTTGTTGTGCTTTGAATGGATATTTGTATATAACGGGTAGAGAATAAATTTTATAGAATTTAATTTTCTTATAATTGTATTTAGGTGGAGCGGTTCTTGAAGAAGGAGATGCAGTTGATCTAGTCATGAAATTTGATCCACGAACATTTGAATGGAGTACAGATGTTGCTCCAATGCGTATTGCTCGTTCAGGTTCAGTATCTGTTGTACTTCGACGTAAAATTTATGTTTGTGGTGGTTTACAATCGAATACAGAAAATACAAATTTAGCTGAAGTTTATGATCCAACTACAAATCAATGGCAATTTATAGCACCAATGCGTGAACATCGTTATCGACCTGGTGCTGCAATTGTTAATGAGAAAATATTTGTTTGTGGTGGACAAGATGAACAACCCGGAAAATATCATGAAAGTGTTGAATGTTACTGTCCTGAAACCGATCAATGGACATTAGTAACCGAATTAATATGTGGTCGAAGTTTTCTAGCGTGTGCCATGCTTTTACTTAAATGGTCCGATATTGTTTGGGATCATATGTGTGAAGGGGAAACAAATTCATTACCCGATATAAATTAATCATTCATTCCAGCAGATTATATTATGTAGCACTTCTTTTTTCTCTTTTGAATGAAATTTTCTTTTCTTTTGCATGTATGACTATTTGTACTTTTAATTTTCTTGAATTTTTTGCGAAAAACGTAATAAAACTTTTAAATAAAACTTATAAATATTAATTATGACAGTTTCTTTTTTTGAGATTTAAGTTTAGTATATGTTTTCAACGAATAAGTTGCTGAACAAACTTCATCTAACCAACGTGTTATATAATCATATTTTGTTTTATCAAAATAAGACATTTGCTGTTGTTGTTGATTATTAATAATTTCAGTTTGATTATTATTTGATAATTGTTTTCCTGATGGATTAAGTTTGGTTGTATAAGATAAATCCGTTGAAAAATTTTGTCGAAATGGTTTCGGTTTTTCTTTTCGATGATTTAATAAAGGATTGTTTAATATAGGATTCGATCCATGTTGAGAATGAGTACGTTTATGTTCATCACTGACAGTACTTGATGAAGGAGCATTTGATATTGATTGTGTATTTGTTCGAATTAACGATATTGGTGTTGATAAAGGACTTGCTTGTGGGCGATGTATTGGAATAAATGATGATGATCGACGAGGACTATTAGGAAATTGAATAAATGCTGAACTATTATTTGTAGCTATGAGTGCACGAGATTTCCGTAATGATATTGGTGATGATGCTGATGATGAAGATATTGTTGAAGGTGTTACAATCGGTAAATTTTGATCAACCGCCATTGAGAATGAATAGTTATGTAAAACTACGTTGTTAAGATATAATAATAATAGTATAGAGACAAAACGAAAAAGCAATGCTTAATTTCTATGATTTCATCTATTATCGATTATACGAATAAAAAAACAGTACGTCATTTACACGAATGTTCTTCTCTTTTTTTTGCTTCTTTTTGAATTAACAACAATTACAAATATGTCTTCATTGTCTACCCACCTACATGCACTTTGCCATTAATTTTTATATTAAGATGAAAAGGTTTTCTTTTTTTTATTGTAAGGTCAATATTATCGTAATAACTCAGATGTAAAAATAGAAAAAGAACGAAATTTCTTTTTTTTCTCGAAATTGTGCTCGACTTTCCTTTTCATTTATCAACGTTAACATACATATTTCAATTTCTGATCGAACAATTAATAAAAGCTCGTTTTTTTATTCTATTAATAAAAAAAGACAGTTTTTTTTATCAAGCAAGTTTAATAATTGAAACATTCGCTGTATCATCATTTTCGTCAACATCCATTAAAAATTGATCGGATGCTTTGTAACCTGCTTGAGTTCGTGTAAGTCGTTGTCGAAGTCGTAAAATTTCTTGTTGATTGTTATGTATTTCTTTCATAAGTTCATTATCTCGATGACGTATAGCATAATTACCTATCGTCGAAAGAAAAACAATTTTCTTCTTATAAGAAAAATATCGTTAACTACCTGCATCAGCATTAAGTGTTTGTATAAGAGCTTCTGTACTATGCACGCCCCGTTCACCAAATGTCTGTCTTGCTACTTCATAATCTTGAAGTCTACCTCGAACAATTCGTAATTCTTCACGTAAATTATTTAATTCTTGTAATAAAAGTGAATTTTCCTATAGAAAAGAAAATAATAGAATAAATTCGAAATTTTGTTTTGAATTCTATTTACATTCATAATTCTCATTCGATTTGCTTTCGTTGCGCTTAAATCACTACTTAATTTTGTTTTTAAATTTGCTGTTGTTCGTTCAAGAAACATTCGTTGACGATCTTGAGCTATTGCTTCTTCAGACATACCATCATTTGGATCTGATGATGTATAAATACTTCTTGCCTATTTAAAAAATATTGATTCTATTTGAAAATTAAATTTTAACTAACATTATCATTTTCAACATGTTTTTGATATAAATGTCCAACAGCATCTTTCGTTCGTTTTGGATCACTAACATCAGAGAATTCAGTTAAAATATCATTTTTTATACGTCGCATTGCAGAATCATATTCTTTTCGCTATAAAAAAAACATAAAATATCTTTCTAGATATATGATTTGTTTTTACCTTTCGACGTTCTCGTTCAATTTGTTCTTCAATCGCATGTAATGTTCGTCTTTGTCCAACATTAACAAAACGATTTTGACTTAATTCATTCTCTTTTTTCTCACGTTCACTAGTCATCTTAATATGAATATATGATTTTAATCATTTGTTGATAGAGTATAGACACACATATTAAATGGTTAGAAAACTAAAATTAAGAATAAATAACAACAACAATAAATGAGACGTAAACTGTTTTAGAATAAAAATTCAGTTTTCGTTCATTTGTGAAAAATAAATAAATTTAACAATATAAATTACTAAAAAAAATATTTTTATATTGTAAATTTGTTTTATTCACTACAAAACGAAGAACTATTAATATACCTTAAGTAATTGATTTTGCATACGTGCTATTTCTTCTTCACGTGGTTTTATTAAACGTGTTAATTCATCAATTTTATAATTAAGTACATATTGAAATTTTTCAAGTTCTTGATTTTTCAATCCAAGATCATTAATACGATCAAGCTTAAGTAAAATTTTATTTGAAAAAAATATTAATTCATACGAAAGAAATCTAATTACTTTATCATGTACAGTATGATTTCGTTCAGTTATTTCATTTTTTAATGCAGCAATTTCTTGTGTCATACCTTGAACACGATTGTTATGTTCTTGGATCTTTTTCTTATAGGTTTGAGCAGTTGTATTTTGTTCAGTTTTTTTAGCCTCTAAAGCGTGAACCTAATTTTAACAAAAAATATTCATACAAATATTTTATAAATAAAAGATTTTTCGGCTATCCAACATTCTGCGTATAATTTATTCGAAAAGAAGGGTGTGGTGTGGGTGGGTATGGGCAAGAGTGTGGGTGACAGTGTGAGTAAGAATGGAAAGGATAGTACCCGCGCCCACCCACACCCAAACCCACCCGAGCGTCTTCGTCAGAGTTCGGACTCGGTACATCACTATAACAGTGATGACATCATTCATAAAAGAAATAGCATTCCTTCTATCAATGAACTGGATTTTTAGGAAGTTTATACTTTCTATAGAATAGTTCTCTCGTATTTATTCGCGAAAATGGTAAATAATTGTTTTGATTAAGAAAGCTTACTTGATGTTCGAGTGTTTCCTTAAACGTTTTTGTTAATTGTGCATTATGTTCAAGCTAAAAATAAGTCAATGAAATTTATAAATATAAATGAAATTTATTAAACTTACAAGACGTTTTTTTTCTTCTTCATATTCAAGTTTATGTTTTAATTGTTCATCTTCAACATCATGTTCAATATTTTGTTTTTCAATTTCGAATTTTTTAAGATTATCTTTGTTTAATATTTTTAACTAAATGAATTAGAAAAAAATAATTCCTGTTTTTTCACAAATCAATATAACTTACAGAAGCTAATTCTTTTTCGGTTTCTTTTATTTTTCCTTGATAAAATTCTTTTACATCACGTACTTCATTATCACCTGCTTCTTCCGTTGATTTAAGACGAAATTCATTATCTTCCATCATTTTTTGTGATAAATGAATTAATTCTTCTTCTTTATGAAATTCTCGACCCATACGTTCTCTATCTTCTTTTTCTATAATAAAAATGGTATATACATAAAATAAAACTAATCTTTCTTACATACCGATACGGTGTTTTTCACTGTCAAAATTTTCTCTCATATGAGTATGTTTTGTTTCAAAATCTCGATGTTCTTTTTCTTTTTCACTTAATTGAATATCAATTTGATTTTCATGATGACGTCGTTCATTTTCAGACATATCCGTACGACGTTGTAAATCACCCAAATAAGTTGTTTCCATTTGTTGTAAACGATATTCATGATCACGTTTGAGTTCTTCTTCTTCAGTTTGAAGTTCTCGAATTTTTTGTGGCTAAACACAAATTAAAACAGACGTATAATTAATAAAGGTCTTTTTTTCAAAACTTACTAAACTAAGAAATCTCTTTTGATTTTGAAGTACAACCGATGTCCATTTATCAGTTTTATTTGTTGATTTGATATGTGTTCCCCATAACATTAAAACACCATCTTCACAACTACTAATAACAAGTTCTTCATGAAATGCAACAACAATCTATAGATAAAAACTAATATAACATCATAGGAAAGAAAAAAGAACAATAAACAAACATGTGTAACTCTTGCTGAATGAGCTAAATAATGAAATATTCCATGTGGTGCATTTCCAAATGGAGTTCTAATCACATAAATTGAACCACGATGTGTACCACATAATATTGTTCCATTACTTTCAAACATTTCTAAATAACTTGGTTTATCATCATTCGGTAATTTTACTTCATATTTGATCTTTGAAAAAAAAGAAAATCATTTTTCATAAACAATAATATGAAACAAGAAAATCTCTACTTTTTCATTTTGAATTTCACGAATAAGTCCATCATCTGAAGCTATATAAACAAATCTGTCATCTTTATCAATTGCAAGACCACCATCAAGACGATAATTTGTTTTTAATTCATATGTTCTCGATTGAGTTTCTAAATTCCATATAATAAAGCAATTTGATGATTGAGAATAAAGACCAAGATCATTTTGTTTCCATACGATAGTTTTAATCTAAATAAGAAATTTCTTTATTTATAATAAAAAAGAAAAAATTCTATACAGTTTGTCCATGATTAAGTCGATGAAAAACTTTAAGATAAAGTGGAGAAATAACTTGAATTATATCAGAATCAATTACTGCAAAAAGTTGACCACCATGACTAAAAAAGAATTCATAAAATAATTTTATAAGATTTTAAAAATTTTACCTAAATTTTATTTGATGTGCTGCACGTATAGCAAATTCTTTCACGGTTGAAAATCCATCAACTAATATATTCATAAGTGAAACTCGAGAAGCAAAAGCAACAACAATTTGAAGTGCATTTGGATGTATTGATATAGCATAGACAGGTTCAGTATATAATCTCATTTGTTCAAGTGCATTTGTTTCATAGTTCCAAAGACGAACAGTATGATCTTCACCTGATGAAACAAATAATGGTTTATGTACACCAATATCTAAACCACGTATTGATGATTGATGATAAGAATTAAAAACTAGTTCTAATACAAAAGCTTCCTTGAAAAAGAAAAAATAATAAATATATATATAGAAATTAATTGAATAAATTTACTCCTGATTCAGCTGAATGATCTTTTGCTATATCCGATACGGAATAAATTTGTTGTTTACTTGTTAATACTAAAGTATGTTCTTCTTTTGGACTAACAGCAACTTTCCACATGACTTGTTCATTATTCATTTGTTGTTTATCATTTAATGTTTGTGAAGGAGCTAATTCGTCATCTAATGAACGAGCTGTACCACCTTCACTAGCAGGTACAACATATTCACGAGTTTTAGCAAAATCCCAACTATCCGCAATTTTCGAATAATGAACTAATCGTTTGCCTCCAACAAGACAATAGAAACCTTTATTAACAGTATTAATTGAAGTAACTTCTTCACCCGATGGACGTGATGTATCAAGATGTTCTTGTTGATGCTGATGAAGTGCTGATCGTGCACCACTTTTAGTTGCTGATGACATTGTTGATAAAGTACGTGGAAGTCTAAATTGAATAAATTTATATTATATTCTTTTAGAAAAACTAGATTTTTTCTTCCTGTAGCCTTTTCTTTCTCATCATGATGCCGCGACACTCATTAGTGGCAACAGTTGATGTGCGTCAGCAAGATGTTTTTAATCACAATAACTATATCTTTGATGTGATATATGTTTTGTCTGTGTTTATTAAGAAGAAAAAAAATCTTTTCTTTCCTTACGTTGTTGTTGCTCCTTCTCGTCCTTCAACAACATCAATTAATATTTGAACATCACCATTAAATAGAACACAGACTTGACCATTACTTGTTCCAGCAATTAAACGAGTTGGATCATACCATGCTTTAAAAGAAAATATTAGAAAAAAAAAGTAAATCGATAATTTGTATTATTTTTATTACCATGTGAAATAAAATCATATTGATCAAGTTTAGCGGATGATGGTTGAATTCTTATATTTCCTTCAGTATGTCGTGCAAAACGACAATATCGTCTTCCAATAATCGATAAATAATTATGATCTGATGGATCAAATAATATTTGTGATAAAACAGTTACACCTTCAACTTGACCTAATTTAATGGATGCTAAAAGACGTGATTTTTGCCATTGCCAAATTGAAAGTGTATATTCACGATTTCCACATTCAAGAACCGCGAAATGTTTAGCATCATGTGATAAAGCTATGGATGTGATTGTTGTTGGTCCATCATGTATTGTAAATGTTCGTTTTTTCTTTCCAATTGTTGAATGTAAGTCATAAAACGAAACTGTCGTACTTTCTTTATCACCATGCGTTGCAGTAGCAACAACTGCAATAATAGCTGCATCACTATGTACAAGCATCGCTTCGATATGTTCTAATTCATGACATCGAAAAATTCGTTGACTTTTTGTTTCAACATTAGCAAGAACAAATTGATTTCCAGCTGGATAAATAACTGTATGTTCATCAGCAAAAAATAAACTTGATTCAAGTTTTGATCGTACACCAAAAATCGTTTGAACTTGAAGAGTAACGGGTGAAACTGTATTCGTTGTACTCATAATTTTAGCATTCAATAAAAAAAAAGGAAAGTATAAAAAAGTATTCGTTTGATTCTAATGATTGCTAGAAATCATCCATTTTGCTTGACATTTACCATGACATAAAACTCTTATTTGATTCTTTAAATAAAATTTAAAAAAGATGTCGTCAGTCAACACTTCGAAGATTTTCCTTTTCATCATCGTTAAATACCCATTTTATTAAAAGGAAAAGATTTGCAATAATATTCTTTATTTTCTATCATATGAATTTTCATGAGACATTGTTTGTTATAAATCCAATTGCAATTGTATAAAGAAAGATTAACTGATACTATTTTGATTATCCTATATTTTTTTTTACTCGCATTCGATAGACATCATTATCTTTGTCTTGTTTTCTTTCAAAGATTATAATCCTTTTTTTTTATCAGAAGACAAATCTTAGGTTTAATGGTTTATTATCTTTTTTTTCTTCTTCTATTGCTAACTAATTATAAATTCATATCGGATTTCAGAAGTCAAACATATCTGATAGCCTAGGGTTATATTAAAAAGTGTACCTTTTTCTTTATCTGATGTCCTTTTCTACTTCTTCTTCCTTTTCTCACTCATTGAACACATGTGTTAAGTACGGTGAAAAGGTCACTTTTCTTCTTCTTCTTATTCTGCTCAAAACAATTTCGATTTCAGCCAGCTTCCAAGTTCATCTGAGCACATTAAACACTACCGCAAACGAGAAGAAGAAGACGAAGAAGAAAAAGTGGAGAAAAGAAATGGGCGGGTATACAAAAGAGAAAGAATAAGAGAGAATAGTGTATAAAGAACGAACATTCTCGCTTCGTCGCGCTCTCCGGTCACGTCTGAACACGTCCTTTCTCTCTACCTGTTTAGTGAAAATGAAAAAGTGAAAAAAAAAAGATGGAGAAAAAACCAGCAATCGATCATTAATAGGCAAGAGAGAAATTCATTAGAAAAATGCAAACGATAACAAGATAACTGTACCATAATAGAAACGCATGATAAAACACATTCATAAACGCATATAATTATTATTGAAACGGTGATCCAATTTATTCATTGTGTGTATCTGGCTTTTAACGTCAAGGTGAGACTTCTGTTTTCTCTTATATTTACTTTTATGTTCTCTTAAGAGAATTCTCTAAAGGTTAGACTTACATGTATATATATATATATATGTAAATATCTACTCTAGCGATCATAATCTTCAAATCTGAATACAATCTTTATTTGAATTATTTTGTAAACAATCAAATAATGTGTATGTTGAAAGCCTAACTGGATTTAATATAAATTCAAGTTTGTAAACATACTATTTCTTTTTTTAACCTTGTTCTTAGCTTATATTGTTAGTTAAGGTTTCTCTCTTAACTTAAACTAATAGTCTAGACTCATAGTGTAGATGAAAAAAACGAACGTGTAAATGCAGTACATTATATATTTGCATCAAGTACGCGAATATATTAAATCTTATAAGGTTTTGTTACCCTTAGGTTATATTTGTTGAACGTGTCAATGTTTATTCAAACTTTGAAAATGTTCGACAACAATGACATATAACAGTAAATTGTTGAATTGACCCATATTAACATTTGTTAGATGAAAGGCCATGATAGATATGAAACAAAAAAAGAAGAAGAAGAAGTTCATGGTCTTTGAAAGATACTACTACTGTGAACATCTTGTTACTTGTTTGTCTAATACTAATCAATATGTTTCATATTTTCAATCTATATTCTTTCTTCAGAATCTAATCCTTTAGATGAATTCTCTAGGCAATTATCAAATGTATATGATAATGTAAAAGAGAGATGACGACATTTGTTATTATTTTGTGTATATTCCATCTGCTTATTGCAAATCAGAAAGAATACCATATATATATATATATATATACACATATTCAGATACCCTACTTTTAAGCATTACAAATGAGCAGTCAATTCATATGGAAGAAATGGTAAGAAAACCCCTATGATTATTTTTTTTCTTAAATTGTAGTTTCTTTTCAATAGTCAGATGAATAGATTTTGATAATTATTGAACAGAAATTTTTATTTCGTACTTAATGCAACCAAATCGACAATGATTCGATTTCATGCAGTGATAGGACATATCATTGATAACAAGGTTAGAACTAAATTACCTAAGTTTTTTCAATTCATAACGAAACAACGATAAAAGAGAGAATCTTATGATATAATCAATATTATATAGTTAACTTATAACGTAACTGATTTCAATTAATCAATCATTTCTAATTAAAACTTATGTTTCTCTCTCTAGCATATGTCGATGTTAGCGTCACTTGACGTCGGTATACAAGCTCTATTTCATTTTATTTCTCTTGAGAAGAAACGACTGCTGCTAGATGTAAAAGTTCTGTAAGAACAAAATTACAGCAGTGAACACAAGGCTGTATATACTCATATATGCATGATGTAATTGAATATCGATCTAACGTTTATATGTATGTGCCTAAGAACAAGAAAAAAAAGGAAATCATTGCTGTTGAATGTGTATGCTAGAGGGATTAATACACGCCAAGCGCGAAGAACATTCGATATCATCGACATACATACATAGAAAGCAATTATCTTTTGTCTTCATCTTTTCTATATATTTGACAGTTTCAATCATTTATCTTCTACAAACCATGAAACTTATATGATGATCACAAGCAAACAGGCGAGTCGTGTCCTTTTACAGTGAGCTTTATTTCCTGTTCTTCCCATTAGTAACAACCTATACTACTACATACTTACATACTTACATACGTACATACATACATACATACATACATACATATTAGTTAGTAAAAAAAACTCCGGATGTTCATATTGTTGATTGAATCAAACACACACTTTCGTTTCCGTTATCGCCGGTAGACAGACATACTTCTAATAGATGCACATGTAGCTTTTTGTCTTTTTCTCTTTTGTTCATATCTATGTGGCATTGAACAAGTATACTTTTTACATACATCATCCTGTTCTCGTTTTTATTTCACAATAGATATGTATATATATACATCTCGAACCATATAATGCTACTTCCTGTTACTTTGCTTTATCTTTAATGTAAATTGGTTCTTAATCGCGTCTCAGTCCTCGCGTATTACGCAAACATAAGCAATTATATTCAAGTGCACCAGACAACAATTAGGCTTGCCTAGTGAAAGAATATGAATGACACATTGAAAAAAAAAAGTTTATTCTTGCTTCTTTTTTCTTCTTCTTCTCCTCTCTGCCTTTTTATTGAATACTTTTGAATATACGATCTATATTCTTAAGAACCGTAATGCTCCTTTTTTTCTTATTCATTTATCAAAATTAGGCATAACGATTCATTCAATCATGTTATAGAATGACCTAGAAATAACGAGAAAAAAAAAGCGAGCAGGAACCAATGTGTATATGTTCACCTCTCTGTCTAACCGACGAGAGAAGAGCGGGACATGTCGATATATATGAACATCGGACGTATAACGAAGAAAGAAGAGAAAAAAAGAAGAGAATAACGTCGACTGTGATTGTTAGTCTCTCATATCGTTCTACTCTTCGTTTATGCACGCGTATATGGGTGATATTGGCAAAATAAGAGTTGTATATTAGAGACGAGAAAGAAAAAAGATTGAGCAGCGTATGTCTGTCTTACATCTGACCAACAACCGAGTAGACATCAGACGAGGTAGATCATTGTGTATAGGAAGATATAAAGGACTTACATCGTGATAATGAGTGTAAACAGTAGTATTGAACTCTAATAGCTAGCATCTCTCTAAACAGATATATAGAGAAAACGATGACGAAGAAAAAAAAGAGGAGGTAAGCTTCTATAAACAAGAAAAGGAGCATGTTGCTTAGATTTGATTAGAACGATGATGAGAACAGAAGTGTATAGGGACCGATTACAGCATCATATCAGCACAGCTGTCTTTATGTTCTACTAAAAAAATAAGCAAATCAGACAAAAAGGGGAAGAAAAAGCTTATATTAGAGAATTTTTATAGAAGGTACGTATATCTCTGCGTTTGATCTAGTTTGTTTATTTGTGTCCGTTTTTCTCTCTCTCTCTCTCTCTCTCTCTTTATTCATATGTGTATATACATACACATAAGAAAGAAATAAGTGAAATCGTGTGGATAGACATGTATCAGCTTATATTCTATTGTTATTGCCTAGCCGCCTTCTGTTCTAAACGTTTCAAATATCAGTTTCATGCTTTTGATTTAAAGCAATAATGTTGACCTAACATTCATCCATCGATATATATATTGAGCTTATTCCCACAAGTGTTCTCTCTCTCTCCCTCTTTTTTATTTATGCATCCTACCTTGCAATCAAGGTTTATTCGTTTTTTTATTCATTCATTCATTCATTCATTCAATCATTCTTCTAGCCTAGTGATTGTATAGAGCAAACGTACGAGTATTATCTCTAATCAAACATCTTTTTTTTTAGACAAATATATAGTAAATATGTCGACAACAGCAACAACTAGTAATAATACGTCGTCGGATAATAATACTGAATTGACACTTGAAATACCTGTATGGGTATATGGTAAACGTAAATGGGTAACCGGTATAACAAAAAAGACAACATTCGATGATCTTATCTATGCATTATTAGCACAAGCTGATCTACTTAAAACATCAGGAATAACGAATTCATCATCAAATACTATCACAGGTTATGCTATAGCTGAATGTATTCAATTAACAGCAGCAACATCATCAAATAATAATGAATCCGAACCACCATCACTTATTACTCAACGTATTATAAAAGGACGTGGTAAAGTAATTAAATCATATAAGAATTGGCAATTTGATAAATTACCATTAACAATACTTCATCTTATATCAACAACATCATTAATTGATAATAATTCTTCAACATCAAAATTTCGTTCGAAGATCTTTCGTCGTTTTCTATCAGCTAAATCACAATCGTTTTCATCAATATCATCATCATTACTATCATCGTCACAATCGGATTCATCATTAATATCTATTGCTAATAATCAATGCCAATCTCAGTTATCATCATCATCATCATCACCACATCGTCAAAAATCTCTAAATGATTTTCATGAAAATATGAATATTATCGAACGACAAAAACGTTTACTTGATTATCTTGATGAAAAAATTCATCAAACAGAAACTATATCTTCACCTATATCGAAAACAACCACAACAACAACAACACTACCACGAAATATTTATTCACAAGATCCAGCATCTCTATTAAATAATGAAGTTTCATTAAACGATGTATCACGTTTATTTTCACATCAAATTGATCAACAAGATCAACTTGTATTTGCTACACAATTATGTAATTCAATATTAAATATGCAAGAACGTATAGATGAAAAAACAAATATTCTATATGCTGTTGAACAAGCAATATCAAATGAATTAAATCAAGTTTTACATCAACAACATTATGATACATTACCAAGTACATTACCAACAAATTTAAATGAAAATAATTCTCAAATATCAAATGATTTAATATCATTAAAAAATTCGATATATCGTAGTAGAGAATTATCTAGAATACAATCGAAAGAAATGCATGATTTAGATTTATCATTACGTGAAATAGAAATTTTACTTGCGTCAAAATATGATGAATTAAAATATCTTGAATATGAAACATCATCAAATGTAATGACAACATCAAGATGTGTAACACCAAATTATTTAGCACAACAACAACAGCCACAACAACAAAATTTTCGAACAAATATTGATGAACAATCGACATATGATACACTTGATATTGCAACAACAACTAATGTTGCATTTACGTCTATAAAAGAAGCTGATGAAGATTCAGGAATAAATTCTTTAACAAGTGATGATAGTAATCATCATACAATGTCTCTTATTCATCAAAAAAATTATATGCAGAATACTCAACTCGAAACACTTGTCTAAAAATAGTTTTCTTTTTTCGTTTGTCTTGTATTTTTAGCAATTCTTTTTCTCTTTTCCTTTCTTTTTTTGTTTGACAATATGTACACATCGAGTTGTTATATTCTCTCTCTCTCTCTGTTCTTCTTATTTAATAATTGGATCTGACAAAAAAAAAAAGAATAAGAACAATTTATGCGCCTGAAATATTTCGATTTTGTATTATATAAGAATGAATTAATATATCGTTATTTTCGATGAAGTCAATGATATTACAAAATTCGATTAATAAAACAAACAATGGTCAGTAAAATATTCATTTAGTAGGTCTTCGTGAATGAGACGTATGTTGAGAATTAACGATGAGAATGTGAAAGTAAAATGCCTTACTTTTTGTTGTTTTAATAGAATGAGAAAATTATTCTCTTTCTCGTAACGAAGAGTCTTGCAAACATAAGTTGTCTGTTTTTGTGTCGGCACTTTACTGATTGGTCCTAGAGTTAGGTAGAGATATAAAAAGGACTTTTTATAAGGATCGAGAAACTCAACTCTTAAGTTGGTTTTTGAAATTGTTTGAATAGATAATGTACTGGTAGCTAAGACACATTGGTTCTACGAGAAAGAGCTGAGCGTCACTTGTTAATATTCGTCTAGCGGATAGATTCAAAGAAATATAATTGTTTTGTTAGAATTATTATCAAGAAGTTCAACATCGACGAATATTTATGCTAGTGGAGATGAATATTCTAAATCGATTAAAAGTAAAAAAATTCATTGTTGGTTTATAAAAAGAAGACGAAATGAGATAGATAATTATTCAAGTGATTCTCTTAAAGTTAATATTAATGATTTGGCTGATATTGAAGAATTGAAGAAAATTTCTATTCATCCACAACAAACCGATTTTTCATCATCATCTATTAGCCATCTACATATTCTTAATGAATTCCGTATGAATTCTACAGAAATTCTTAGGATTCTTAGTCAAAAAAATATAGAACCATATTTATCTCAATATTGTGAACAAGATACCGGTCGAAAATTACTTTCTATTGCTGCTGAAACAGGTTGGTATGAAGGTGTTCTTTTTCTACTGAATCGTGATGTAAATATTAACGAAACTGATCGAGAAAATCGTACAGCTCTAATGGATTGTCTTACATCCATCAACATACATATTATGAATGCTCTTGTTAAAAAACGTGGATGTAATCTTGATATACAAACATTAAGTGGACATACAGCTGCCCATTATGCAGTTATGATGAATGTGAGATGAAATTTATCTAAATTCAGATTTGTATATATATCTATATATATTAAGAAAATATCTTTCTTCGAAATTTTGATAAAATCAGGTGCTCGTCTTGATCTTTGTAATAATAAAGGCGAAAATGTTTTACATCAAATAATTGAGTACAAACGTAAAGAATGTTGGAAAATAGTTAAACATTATTCCTATGATTTAAACTATCTTAAATATTTAATTAATTCAAAAACATATGAACATAAAACTTGTCTAACATTAGCATTTGAACATCGACCAAACATTTATTTTTTTCGCGAACTTTTGTCATATTCTGATGATATAACATTAATCAATATTGAAATGTATCAATCATGGTCAAAAGCATATAAACTTATTAAGAAATTTATTTCGTTATAAAAAGAAAAGAAAAAGTATTTATGATGACAATGTATGTTGTCGATAAAAGACACCATTTTGAAGGCGTTGAAGAACATCATGTGTATTCATTGATGGTATTTGACTTCCATCTTTTGCTTCAAATATCCATTGTACAATATGAACTAATTCAGTATTTCGAATATGAGGATTTACAGCACGTATAGCTTGTTCCACATCTTTTGCATTCACCGAACTAAAACGAAAAAAATAATTGTATCTTTTTCAATAAAACTTTTTTTATTTTACTTTGAATTTTCAATTTTTTCTTGTACATCATGAATGTAACTTTGTTTATCTTCATTTAATTGTCGTTTTAAAATTCGAATAAAATCTCCATAATTATCTTCATCATCCTTAAAAAAGTAGAGAAATTAATTTGATGTATATTTTTACAAGTAACAACCGTGGAAAATAGGTTTTCGATGTTTTTTTGACTTATGCACCCTCTATACCCTCCCCCTTCATCATAATCACCCAACAGATCTCAAATTCGAAGTCCCCGCATAGAAATACCTCTAGAAATGTCTTTTCTGAAAGACTGGCCTTCGATGTTTTTTTGACCCTGCCGACACACAATCAGACAATTTATGTTTACTGGACTCTTCTCTACGAGAAAGCGAATAAAATATTATTTACAACAGAGAATAATTTTGCTAATGCTATTTGTTCTTCATTTGGCTGTTCTTTTTCGGCAGCAGTAACTAATTCAGCAATATCATTCGCTGCTTTATCGGGTAGAAATGATTTTAACATGGCATCAAATTGTTCCATAGTTACAGAACCATTTGGATGTGTTTCACTTTCTTTAATAACACGTTCACCAAGTTGTTCAATAAGATTTTTTGTATTATGATAAATATCTTCATCAGCCTAGAAACATAAATACTTATTCAACAGGAAATAATCAGAATTATTAAATTACTTCTCCACATAAAATTTGATAAAATAATTGACAATTGTCATTATGTTTAAAACGTTTACATGCATAATCTAAACTATAACCCATTTCAATGGCTGTATTATGATTTCCATATCGATTACGAAAATATTCATAGACAAATTCCGATAAAGGTTTTGTACGTCCATCCTGTTTCAATTAAAATAAATATTATCGAATATAAACAAAAAATATAAAATCTACTTGATTATTTGATATACGACGTTCAGTCCAAATTTCTTGTATAAGAACAGCAACATCACGACGTGTTAAACGTCGATTTTTGACTGATTTTGATGAACGTAAATGAAATGGAACTTGTTCACCTTCACCACGAGGTGATAATTGATCAGGCACTGGTCCATTTTGTGATTGATTATCTTCATTACCACCACCAGTAAATTCATTAAGTAATGAAACAAGTTTTTCTTGACTTGTTTTATTTGCTGTAATACTTTGCCAACGTTCAACACCACCATCAATAACTTCTCCTGCTAAATGCCATGCTGGTCTATAGAAAATAAATTTTGATTTTAAAATATATTATATGTATAGAAAGAATACCGTGGAGTCATTCCACCATGACCACCTTCATTTTTCGAACTTAATTCTTCTTTTTCACGTTGTATATTTTGAATATCTTCTTTGAGATTTCTGAAAAGTAAATGAATAATAAATTAATTTATTAATCAAATATTTACTCATTTTGTGTTCGCATTTGTTCGAGTTCTCGAGTTTGATTATCAATCATTTCTTGTAATGCTTTTATTTGTTCAACAAATTCATTAGATTTAACTTCTAATTCAACAAAATCACGTCGTGGTACAACATCATTATAATTAGCTTCCATATATGTTATTTTAGCAAGTGCTTTATCAAGATCTTTACGTGCTTGTCTATATAACAAAAAAAAAGATACATCAATAATTTTACGAGATGTAATACAAACTTTAAAGATATTTTCATCATAATTGTATCTTCTTTTTTCATTCCTTGATCATCTAATCCTTCTTTGATTTCATTACGTTGTTCTTGTTGAGCACGTAAATCATTTGCATCATTAATTAATAATTTTCTTGAATCAAGTTCTTTTCGATACAGTTCATATTGATGTGATACTTCTTGTTGAAGCTAAAAAAAAATGTTTTTAAATATTTAATCGAACTTTATATTATTTACTCGTTTAATATTTGCTTCAAGATTTTGATTTTGATTTGTTATATGACGAATAGTTTGTTGTAAACGTTTTTTTTCTTCTTTTAATAATGACATATCTGCTCGTTCTTCTTTCCGATATTGCATTAATTTTTTATCACATTGATCACTGAGTAAAACTAATTGTTGCTAAAACCAAACTAATTCTATGAATTTAATTATATAGAAAAATTTTATCACTTACACGAAGTGGTTCAAGTTCATTTATTTTATTATAAAGATGTGTTAACATCATTTCATATTCATTTTTAATTGCTGATAAAAGTGGTTTATAAGTTTTAAAATCATCAATAACTGTTGAAAATATTTCACGAAAAACCTGCGGAGGAAAATAATTTCAAATGATAAAATAACTATCTCTTACTTGTAAACGTGAATCATTAGCGACTGAATCTTCAACACCAAGTGTTTTCAATTCACTATAAAGATATTCTTCAAGAGCTGCTAAAAATCTAGGTTTATGTGTTGTATCTAATTTTCCTTTTAAATTTGTTCCCACTGGTACTAGACGACCTTGATTAGTTAATACTAAACTTCGAAAAGCACCACTACCACCACTTGCATTTGCTGGCCACGAATCAATATCACCAATTTGTTGATCAGATACATCCTATAAATAATTTAATAAAAAAAAAAGTATAAAACTAAAATAAACATAGAATTTACTCGAGCTAGATTTGAAGGTGGTAATGTATAACGAGTATTATGAATTCTATATTCTGGAGCTTCATCCGTTCTGAATAGATATATGACAAAAAAAGATAGAAGAAGAAATAATAATGATAAGTTTTTACCTCGAACGAATTGGAGGTAATCGTTGACCATTAGCATCTGTTGTAGTAACAGAATAGTCAGTTGGGGAATACGGTGTTAATTCCATTTAAAGAAAAAACTGTGTTTTTTTTAGTTTGAATATTTTTCTTGCATGATTCTTTTCATCAGTATAGCCATTACACATCTAGTTGTCGAGACATATACCTCTCTCTTTACTCTGGCAACATTATAATGTGGCACCGAAAAAGAACACTCGCGATTTTTAAACCAATAGTGTAGTTTTTATTGATTCTTCTCATATTTTTCTATGTAAACATGAAGAAATTTAAAATTTTTAATCAAGGATTTCTTTATTAGAAATTCAATAGAACAAATTATACCCGATCAGTATCACTTTCTATAACAACATATTTTGATATTTGAATAGAATAAAAAAAGATAATTATTTTCAATTTAAGTTTAATGATCAATGTCAAGCTCTTTCTTTTTATTCGACAATCACTTTTCAAGGCAAAAAAAACAAGTCTTTACATACAAAATGTTGTAATAATAAAATATTCATCCAAAAGAAAGAAAGGACAAGTATTAGACGTAAGATATAATATACGTCGTCGAATATGAAGAATAGAAAACAAAGCAAAAAAAGATTGAATGATAAAATACTACGTTGTCTGTCAATGTAATACGTATAAATAGAAGAGGTGTAGTAAAAAAAAGTGTTCAAATGAAAGAAAATGATGATTGTCGAGGATGTAATACAACTGGCAAAGCAAATAAATAGTTCATTTGTTGCATTTATTTTCGTTTCTTTAATTCTTCAAATCGACGAGCTAAATCATCAAAACCAGGATCATCTGAACCATTATTTGTCGGTGGAGATGGTGGTAATGGCGGTGGTGTAAAATGATCACGTGCACTAGGTACTTGAGGAAATGGATCATTAAATGGTAATCTAGCATCATTGGGTACATTGAAACCAATATGTGGTGTATTTGATGATGATGATGGTGGTGGTGGTTGTGGAATCGATGGACCATAATTAATATTTGGATATTGAGGTTGTTGCTAAAATATCGAAATTTCAATAATAATATTTGACAAAAAATTAGAGAAATATATGGTTCGTGCGTAAAAGAATATAGCAAACAATGGGTATGTCTACCTTGAACGGGCTTTCGAAATCATCGATTTGTTTCAAATTGATCTAATATTTACGAAAGATGTATTTTAGTACACTAGTTTCTATATACTAATTTGTTAAACTATTAAATCGAATAATTCTAATATTTATAGGAAAAACTACGATACATACGTCTTTTTTTCCTGATAAATATATTGTTAGTTGATCTGATTTATCCTGTAATAATATATGCATTACAAATCAATACTTCTATAAGTTCCCTAACTATAATAATAACGCTAAACTGTCACTAAAAGAGATAATGTAGTTTGACTATACTAAATTTATTTTGATGAATGTTTTTTGAGTTATTCAATAAAACTTTTGTAAAACTAAGATTTTTTGTGTCAATAAATTGTATCTTTCTTTCAGTTTTGTTAGTTCGGTTGATGTTAAATAGACAAGCAAAACAATAGGAACATGCATAGAGCAGCCAAATATTAAGCCATAATTTCAAACGAAAATAAAAAACTTACAGTTGAATAATTTGGTGGTGGTTTTTCAAACTATTAAGATTATATAAAATATTTTCATCATCAATGAAAACTCATTTTCAATTAAATTCAAAAGAAATTACCTCTGGTGCACTTGGTTGAGCTGAAGGTACGTTTGGAAAGTTTGCATGAGCACCTCCACCTCCTGCTCCTCCACCATATCCACTACCACTTGTTGATGAATTACCTCCAGTTGATGGTGGTGGAGGTGGTCGTTTTTCATCATTACTAGTTGGATGTTGAACATATCGTTGTCCAATATTCCAGAATTCATCTTGTGCCATAACAGTTTGATCAGGTTCAAATGGAACATTTTGACTTCGACATATTTCAACTAAATATTTTTCAATAAGTAATTTCGGTATTAAATCACAACTTAAACATCGTAATAAATCAACGTCAACCATGCCAATTTTATTTTGTTCGCACATTGTTACATACCTAAAAACAAAATATTTTTTATTGAAACGAAATCTTATTTTTGACAACTTACTCAGGTCCAAAATGTTTTTTAAACATTAATGTTACTTGACCAAGTTCAGGTATATCTTGTGCAAGATATGGTGCTGCCCATAAAATATTTGCTAATGGTTGTTCAACAGCAGGATCAACTGCACCATTTTTTCTAAAAAAGGAAAATATAACATTCATCCACTAACTACTTGTGATTAGAAAAAAAATACATACGGTCGATCTTTGACCAATTGCATTCTCATAAGAAGTGTATCAACATAAGCTTCAACTCGATCCATTGCTTCTATTTTATAATCTTCACGAATAAGATGTTCAACAGCTAAAACAATCAAATATGTTATTAAAAATTTGTTTTGATATACATTCTTACCTATTCGTGCTCGAGGAGTTTTATTATTTCGTATATAATCAGCAACTGTATAACGTTCTTTTGCAACTTGTTCTGTTTTCTTCTTTTCTCGTACATCAAGACGAGCTTTTGCAACTTGAAGAGTAGTTTTAAGATCAGCTAACCATTTATCATTAGGCATTTTTGTAAAATTTTCAAATCTAAAATAATTATCTATGCAATTCAATCGTAAAGTATCTTGTACTAATTCTAAATAAATTTATATACTGTTACTTATGTGTTTGATGGGAATTCAATATGAAGAAAATCTAATTTTGATAACTCATTGAAAACTAATCATAAAAATAAGAAGTCTATTATAAATTTTTTCGTTATATTTAAATCATTGTTGAATAAATTTTTAAATATATCCCTACAAATTTATTTCTGATAATAAATTCTAGACCAAAGTCATACAAATAGCAAAACTAAGATGTTTATTTCTACTGCGAATGTTTGCGTAGTAATAGAAAAATACTAGAATTATCGTTTAATGACTAAGATAAAGTGATTCATACTTCTTTTGTTTATTCTAATGAGTCATACTACTTGACAACTAGCGAATGAAATAAAATTAGAAAAATTATTTTAATGAAAATTTGATTTAGAAAATATATTATATTGAAATATGAATTTATTTTATATTTTTTTAATTAACGTTGATAGTAGCGATAGTATGAATGACTCAGATGCAAACGTTTATTTTAGTGACGTCATATCTTGTTTATGATATATCGCGCATATTTATTCCGTACAAAAACAAAGTAACTCGTCTTCACTAACATACAATGACTACTTCAGTTTCAAGCCATAATCAGGATGATGTGCAATCCATACAACGTCAAATTTATGAGAAAAAAACAAGTATACTTGATTCAACACGTCGTATGCTTGGTTTGATCAATGAATCTGAAGTTGTTGGTACAAATACTGCCGCTGTAAGTTAACTTTTCAATTAATAAATTAGTTTTCTTAGAAAAAAAAAGAACCTTTTATAAATTAAAATTCATATTTTATTTTTATTCTTTATCAAATCATTGATGTTCTTTTATTGCATTGTGTAAAAGCAAACCCATGTCCTTGAGTTTAAGTATAGATATATAAAAGCTAATGTTCGTATACTCGAAAGAAAATTTTCCTTTATCTAATTAGCTAATGTGTATCGACACGAAGAATCCAAATCCTTATTTATAGAAGAGAAAAAGCGTAAGAAAAGTATATTAGCGGAGAATGTTTTGAAAGATTGATGAAATGTGTATTAAGAAGTCTAATGTTATCGTTTACAATATGTTTGATGTCATCTTGAAGTAATATTATTATTCCGTAGTCCCGCCCAACGTATTTATTGTCCTTAGAAATACTATATTTCATTTGTCTAATGTAAAACATTTTTAAGAAAAATAAATAATGTTTGATGAATAAAAAAAGAAATTTTTTTTGAAGTATTTTTATATAAATGTTTGAATTTATTTAAAGGAACTACTTGAACAACGAGAAAAATTAGAAAATATTGAAAAACGTTGTGATGGAATTGATAATAATTTGGTTGATGCCCAAAGAAACTTAAATAAATTAGGTTCCGTATTTGGTGGAATTAAAAATTATTTTAGTCCACCAAAAAGTACTTTTCCAAAATCAATATCGCAACCGCAAATTGCCGCAAAAAAGAAACCAACTCCAACTCTACAAGCGGCAGCAACAGCTGCTGATACACGTCCAACCAATACAAAAGATGATACTGATACGTATTTTGGAAAATCACGAAGTACTATGGATGATATGGAACGTGAAACTGAAGATGGATTACGTAAATTCTTTAATACAAAAATTTCCTGAATAATTTTTTTTCGTAATTCTAGATGATGTTCATCAAGGTGTTAATCGTCTTAAATATCTTGCAATGCAAATGAATCAAGAACTTGAAAGCCAAAAACCTTTAACTGATCGTCTTGCTGGAAAATTGGAAGTACTTGATAATGAAGTAAAGAAGAAAAATACACACATGAAATCAATTTTATTACGTTAATTTATTCTTTCCATATGGATTCTATTTATTTATGATGTATCCATCAATATGTTCAATATTTGACGGAAACTGAATATATATATACTGTTCTCATTTTAATTATGTGAATGTCTTTATTTTCTTTTGTTTCATTGTACATGTAAAATCGAAAAGCAAAAAAAATAAATTCTTCAATAAATATCAAAAAAAAAACCAAAAAATTTTTTTTATATAATTATAGAAATGAAAAAACTGACAGCTGACAATAAGGTTACTAACAGCTGGGTGACATTCTATACAATTACGTGATATATATGTGTATATACAATTTCCAACTGTTTTGCGAACCACATGTGATGTATATTCGAGATAAAGGAAAGGAAACAATATAGAAGTAAACTACTAAATGAGGTGTGAATCTGTTTTTGTAGCTGTTATTGAGATAATTTTGACTGTCAGTTATTCGAATAAAAAGTAGTTAATGTTGCAAACGATTACTAACGAGAAAAAAATAACTCATAAGATTGTTTTCGTAATATATTTTAGATTAATAAATCATGATTAGTTTTTCCGATAGTATCCAAAATGACTCTTCAAAAGGGAAAATTAAAGGTGTTGAAGAACTCATTTCCGACTTTTCTATTCTAACGTCAACATCAATTGTTAGTCTTAATAACAGCCGAGGTAAGCAAACACTACTCTTTTTTTTTGTTCTTTATGTTGCACCTTTCTCTAAAGTGTGACGTTGTGTTTCGTTTGAATAAACTAATTCAGCCACTTGATAGTCGGTCATCATCAACGTTGAGTTTGTTATTCTTTTAAAATTCTTCCATACTCATTTGCTTTACACACTCGAGTGCCCATCATAATATTGTGCAGCGGCACAAAATTCTTTTGCTTAGCAAAATAGAAAAAAGAGACTTCAATAGTTAAATGGAAAGCGAGAGAAAGCGAGAGCGAGAGAGAGAGAGAAAAAGAAATGGAGAAAGAAAAGTAAAGAAACCTTTCGATGCAAACAAGCAAAACAGAAAAAAAACGATAAGTCGTAATTTAGTAAAGTAAATATTATAGCCTATATCAACAAGTTATTTGCTGTTGGTCAAGCTTCTTTTTTCTCCTTGTCATTTATTTGCTTCTGTCTGTCGTTCTTTTCTATTCAAGCAAGAAAAAAACGGCTAAAAATTGACAACTTCAAAGAAGACAAAAAAATCAAAATGGAAAATATATATTGGTTGATCTCTATTCTAATTAGATGTATATATCATATACAAATGATATTGCGTGCTGAAAAGACACAGCGTCCTTCGTGGATAAAAAAAATCAGTTGATTCCTACATATATATAAACGTCATTCTCTTAATGATGATAAGTTGATGGTGAAGGGAAGGAGTATGATGGCTTCTTATGTACTAGAGCAAACGTGCAATAAGCATGAGAGAATAATGTATCGATTTCGATCAATGGCTGGAAAGAACGGCATCTTTTAGATGCACAAACGTCTCATTACTCTTCACTGTTTGTCATTCGATTTCCGATTGCGAGAGAGAGAAAGAGGGGAAAAGAGAAAGAAAAACAGCAAAAGAAGAAAAAGACGTTTCTATATAACACACAATCATCGATTATCAATCATACAGAGAAGACAACGACAAAGACAGGCACGCTTGACAGATTTGATAAGCTGGAATAGAAAAAAAAGATGAACTTCATCACCCATCAGCTAGGATTCATTCTTCTTGATTAACTAGATTTTTTTTTCAATAGAAAATAATGTTTCACTCTGTCATATACGCTTGTTTGACTACAATCGATGTCGTTAAAGTATAGAAAGAGATGATGATCAATGTCATTTTTTCTTCATCTTGTGACTACTACAACATCGGCGTCTCGTTTTGATTCAGAGAAGAAATGAAAAAAAAAAAGTACAAACAGACAAAGATATTTATATTAAATCGTTACTGAGATAGAGACAGAGAAAAAGAAAGGAGAGTAAAGAGAAAACTCTCTTCTGTTCTCTTCCTTCGCACTCTTTCTGCCTCTCTCTCTCTCTCTCTTTCCCTGCGTTTGACACCCGCCAGAGGCAGTAAGCAGCTACAGAGAGAATAGTAATAAAACGGATTTTTGCTTATCTACGCGATACGCTATACATTATCGCTTTCACACAACTCCATACACAGTGGCACTTTCAATCAACATCATCGTTCGTCCCTATCAAAAATGCATATGTTTCCACTCGGCCGTGTTGTATATATGCCTTTGTCAACTTCAACATCTACCTCTGGTGGAACTACAACGACAACTTTATTAGGACCTGTACCTCCAGATTTTTCATCTTCTTCAACATACCCTTTATATAATACTACACTTTTGAGCAATCCATTCAACTTGTGCACAACTGCCAAGTGTAAGTTTCCTTTTTTTTCTTCTCTTTGTTCTTTTCCCTTTCTACTCATGATCTTGACTGACTTGACTATGAAAACACCACGTATTTTTACACAATGTGTTTGCAATCACAATGTTTTTCAATATAATAATGAATATTGACATGCTGCCCGACTCGTACAAATCATCGAGTTGTTGTCGTTTCATATTACTCGTGATCGAATATAACACGAGTAATTTCATATTATGTCAGTATGAATAAATAAAAATTAACTCATATAAAGATAAAACATAGGATGAGCATGGAAAGTTTTAAGACATTTATTTTTATAAGGAATTAACAGAGGATACATCATTATATATACTTTTAGTCGAACACAATGCACTTCAACAAACATTACCAAATTTATCTCACGGGTATAAACGAACGCGTGATGATCTACATGATTCACAACAATCAATTTGGCCAAAAAAACGAGCGAGAATATCTCCAGCACAAACTTCGACATCTTCATTAAATCAACCACCAGCAAATAACAATAATAATAATAATAACAATAGCAATAATGGTGATAGTACATCACCATCTTCAAAAAATGCACTTATGTTATTGCACGAGCTTAAACCTTCTGTTGAATATAAACTTGTTGCACAAACAGGTCCATCACATCGTCCAATTTTTACTATGGCTGTTGAAGTCAATGGTCAAATATTTGAAGGTATGGCTCAAACAAAAAAAGAAGCAAAACAAGCAGGTAATTAATAAATCATATTTCATCATTATATTTCATATTGATGTAATTTAGCTGCTGAAAAAGCTCTTCGATCATTTGCTGATTTACCTTTTCAATTACCTGATGAAATGCCGAGTGAATCTGAAATCCCAACAGCAATACATACTGATAATAATGTAATAAATACGAATACATCATCATCATCATCGATTATAAATAACGATAATATTCAACGAAAAACATCAAGTCCTAATAATATAATCGAACCACGTGAAATTCAAAGTGGTCTAACTCCTCTGTATCTTCTTAATCAACTTAAACGTGATGCACAGTTTGAAGAAATCACTGATGAAGTATCATCATCAGCAACTAGTGAACAGTGTGAATTTAAATTTGCAATTATTGTTGACGGTCAACGTTTTATTGGTTCAGGACGAAGTAAAAAAATAGCTAAAACAAGAGCAGCACAATCTATATTGGAGAAATTGTTTGGCATGTGTTTTGATAAGGAAGGTAAAATATCAAAAATGTATATATTGATTAATTTTAAATCTACATTGCTCTCATGAGACCAATTTATTCTCTTCTATTATTTATTGTTATATAAGAATTGACCTATTACACATAACTGACATTACACTTCATTCTGATCACTATATGTTAAATGAAAGATTGTAGCAGAAGTTTGAACATATATATCTATATATATTGTTTTGATTCCATTAAAGCTCATCAGTTTGCTTTTATATGGTTTTCCAATATATCATCTCTCATCTAGTCTTCTTATCTAATGTTATTAACGTTGAAAGGTTTGAAGTTGTTAACAAATAAGATTTACATACGGAGAAGAAATATGTTGATATAGTTCATTTTTGAATACATAAATTAATCATTAAAGGTTTATTTGACATTTTTTTACAGTATTTGTTCATTATAAATTCGAAATATTATTAATAAAAAACAAGCCTAGTTTATAATTGACTAAATTTATTTTGTTTAGGTGGTATTCCAATAGAAAGTGATAGTCTTCCAACTGGTCTACCATATTCTCGTCGTGATCTTGCTGATCGTATTGCATTGTGTATACAAGAAAAATTCAATCAATTAACTCATAATGATGTACGTCTTCAACGACGGAAAGTCTTAGCTGGTATTGTTGTTACGCGTAATTTTGATCTCGAAAATATAGAAGTTGTTTGTATAACAACTGGAACTAAGTGTATTAGTGGAGATCGTCTTACACTCAATGGGCAATCATTAAATGATTGTCATGCTGAGATAATATCACGTCGATGTCTTATTCGTTACTGTTATCAACAATTAAAAATCTTAATTGAAGATCATAATTCGGAATCGATATTTGAACGAATTCCAGATAGTACTCGATTCCGTCTTAAAACATCTGTTGCTTTTCATTTATATATATCAACATCACCTTGTGGCGATGGTCGTCTTTTTGCACCACAAGAAACAGCAGCTGAACAATCACCAATCAATCTCGATCCAAATACTAAACATATAGGGTAGATTAGTTTATTTTTAATAGTTCTATCAAATACAATTCATTTTAACTTAGACATTCATTGAGAAAATCTCGTGGTTTACTACGAACAAAAATTGAAGCAGGTGAAGGTACTATTCCTGTTATGGCTAAAAATTTATATCAAAGTATGCAAACATGGGATGGAATATTAGGTGGTGAACGACTTTTAACCATGTCTTGTTCGGATAAATTATGTCGATGGAATTTTATTGGTTTACAAGGTAAAACAAATATTTAAATATTTTTGTTTTCTAATATATTTCTATATGACAGGTGCTTTGCTGAGTACATTAATCGAACCAGTTTATTATACTAGTATAATTATTGGAAGTCTTTATCATAGTGAACATATTCGAAGAGCATTATTTTCTCGGATTGAACATGTAAGAAATTAATTAATTAATTAGAAAATAGACGAATTCTTATTTTGTATATCTAGATAATTGGTACTATCGCATCACCGTATGGTTTACATCGACCATTTATTTCTGGTGTTAGTAGCCCAGAAATGCGAACTACTTCTCGAGCACCTAATCATGCATTCATATGGAATTGTGTTGATCAAAAATGTGAAATTATTGATACTTTAAGTGGATTAACATCTTCTCGTATGTTTAGAAATTATTATTTTCTAATAAAATTTATTTATAAAAAAATCTTAGGTGAAGCATCTTTCGTATCAAAAGCAGCTTTATTTCAACAGTGGTTAATATTAATGAAACAAATTCAACCTGACATATCCCCACCAACGATCTATTGTGATGCGAAACAATTAGCAACTGATTATCAAACAGCTAAAATAGAGGTATGTTAAAATTTGTTTTCAATATTATTATTATTTTTCTTTTCATAGATTAATAAAGCGTTTCAAAAAGGTGGATTTGGTTTATGGATTGTATGTATTTATTTTTAAAAATAAATTTTATTAAACTATTTTGTTTTTTTGTGTTGTAAATAGATAAAACCACATGAACAAGATGAATTCGAATTATCTTCTTCCGACGTATTACTTCCTGATCAATCCATTCCATCTGTAGACTAAATTGATAAAATTTGTTTTTATTTTTCTTTATGTTTACTTATCCTGTGATAAAATACAATGTATAATTTGCTGTTTAGTTTTACATTTTGTATGCTTGTTTGTCAATGTATTTGTAATAATTAGACAGTATATGCGCTTTGTCTATGCAAGTCTTTAATTTTTATTTTAAATGATTTTATATAACTACATTTGTAATATCATCAAAGATCATAAATGGACAATAAATAAAGAAAATCTTTAATCTTTAGTTGATTCGAAACAAACAATTATAATCATCAAAAAAATATGATAACTATTTCATTTCATTTACTTTTCCTTTATAACAGCTATTTGTTATGTCATCAGCACATTCCTTTTATTGTGCAAAATGTGCTACTTGTCAATGTCAATGTTGTAAAAATAAACAAAATAAATGTTCACATCCAATAAATCTGTCTCTGTATTTACATAAGCAATTAAATAATTATTAACCTTATTATTTACTCATTCTTATACGACATGAAATTAGTCATAATGAAATTCGAAAACGTTTTTCTCCTTGAAATTGATTTCATTTTTCATTTTTCTATTCATTTTACTTCACTTATATTAAAATGCAAGAATAAAAAATACAAATCTTCATTTGATCATCATCAACATAATAAATGTCAAATAAAACCATATCTTATATGTATACATATATCATTCTAATACAATATACATTATCTACTTATCTTTTATCAAAATTCTATTCTCAAACTACTCATATAATAAATAAAACAACGAAAGTATCATTACTATTTCGAGGGATACACTTATCTAACAAGTAATATCTCAACATGAATATGAACAAGAATAACATATTAACTGATGAACAATGGTCACAATTGTGTGAAGCAGTCAATATATTTGATCAAAAAGGTGATCGGACCATTCTTAATCAAGTATTAGGTTTGTCTAATATTCACTTCATTCCTTTTTTCTTATTTTTCTTCTTCTAGTTTCACTTATGACAACTATAATTTATTCTCTTGATGATGATGATGAGGATGATCATAAAGAAAATGAACTTGCAATTACTTTAATTGAAAGTGAAGTTGCACAACTTATTGATGTTAATGGTTAGTTTCAGATACATAAACAAAGAGAAAAATATATTTTTTCTATTTATAACTTCCTAGGTGGTTCTAGTTGGTCTTGTCGACGTCAACGAATTCAACCTTTTATTCAAAATAATCAAACATTTGCAAATTATCTCATTAATTTAGCAAGAGCCAAATCACTTGATGCAAATAATACTGGATTCATTCCAAAACAAACAATTAAGTTAGTCTCTATCTGAATATATATAAATAATTTGATTATATATTTAGAAATTGTTTTGCAGGACAATTAAATGAAAAGAAAATGGCAGAATTGTTACAATTTGTAGATATGGATAATAGTAAGATAATTTCTTTTTTTTTCTTATAGAATTTCTTTAACTATTTTGTTGATTTTGTGTTTATAGGTGGAAATATCGATTATAAAGGTAGAAGTTTATTTAATATTGTTTTTATAATATTTCTGTTATTTATAGATTTTGCATTATTGATGTTCATTATGAAATAATTATCTTGATATTTGTTTGATTATTTCCTACTAATCATAATATAACTCTTGTTTTCTTATTATTTTTATTTTGGAATAAAAAGTGATTACATAATTGAATCTATTATTGTAATGTACATAAAAAAAGAATATAGTGACAATATTATAATTTTTTTTGTAGAGAAATGTGACCTGAAGAGAAGTTTAAGATCTATATTCACACTTATCTACTTCGAAAAATGATGTGAAGGAATAGATTCTCTGATTTCGAGAAATTTTAGAAAATATTCTTAGTAAAAAGAAAAAAACTAAGTTGTGTTACTTGGTGATGTGGTCACAATTTAAGTTTTCTAAGGTTGAAGTTATAATGCCATCTTTGGGTATGGGTGTGGATGCGAATAAAAGACGTGAAGAGATACTCACACCATTAATAGTTAGTCTTCGTATAATAGCCTTTGAAGCAATCAACAGTACATAGTGACACATTACAGTCATGACACATATACTGTGTAACGTGTCGAAGATTATGGGATGAGCACACCAGAGCGACAGAAAATATGAATGGAATGTGCACGAATAAAACGATCAATAAAAAGAAAAACGAAGAATTATATCATATTGGCACTATCTAACAAACGATGAGAAGCTGTTCTAAATACTTGAAATGTATAGTAGTACGACCTTTATTCGATAAATACATCAGCACACATATATGTATTGCCGGGAGCGAAAGGGTTAAATTCTTTTTTTTACTTTTAGATTATTTGTAACAATAAACTAAATGGTAAGTATTTAGTTACAATAGGGCGACAGACAGGAGTGAGGTAGGGAAGAAGTGGCAGATGGTAACAGAAAGTTGCTGTCTCTTCAGATCACACGAAGCGAAAAGGGTTCGTATTTTAACCGTGTACGGCTTTAAAGATTCCGTTATTGCACCATTTACGGATCGTAGACGGCTCCGTTTTGATGGATCTGGGTACTCTCGTGTATAAGACGGCAACAAGAACGTCGTGTTTCAGGCATAAAACGGCTAAAAAACGATATGGATACAGCCCATCGTTATTCATCGGATACGACTTCAAACGGCACCGTTTCCGTTCCGGCAAAACTACATATACAAATCTAGGTATACGGATTACAGTGTTAAACGGCGAGAAACGACATTCGTTCACAGTCGTCTCCTGCACGAATTCAGCAGTTTTCTAGCTGTTTCCTGCTTTAAACGGCGCCAGAAACGGCGTTCGGAATCATCGATCTGGGCGTTCGCTCTTCAAACACCCAGAACGAATTTTTATGAACAAAAATAATACAACACAATGATGGAATCCATATGAAACTGCAATTAAGAGTGACTCATGAACGCAAGAAGAGGGAAACGAGTAAATAAGATTTAGTAATTTCATATTAGAAATTCTATTTTTTTAAGACTAAAATTAATAGTCGTTGCAATTGAAGGAGCAAAATTCTATCACAATGCACCAAGAGATATTATTTGCAACTTAGCAGATATTGATGAGAATGAATTATTGAAGACATCACCTGATTCCGGAAAATCTCGTTTAGCTATTGTTCTTTGTCGGGATAATACTATTCTTTGGGAAACATAAGTCTTATCAAATACAATGAATTCTATAAGTAATGATATAGATGTTTCTTATATATATATATATATATATTTTCGATGTTTAGAGGAAAGAAAGAATCCCACTGCGAATAATACCGCAATAGCAGTATCGAAACGAAAACGGTCAAGAGATATACGTATGCAATTGTTTTGCTTTTCTTATTACAGTGAGAAATACATATGTATTTTAGAGAATACTTCAAATAAACAAGTGACACGGTCAAACTCTATACACACAAATGATTCTGCTATGCTTTTTGATCAAAATCCTTCAACATTTGATGGTAATATTGGTTATTCCAGCAGTTTTATTTTGCCGGCAACGTCAAATATATCAACAAAAGATTTACAAATCTCTATGGTATATATTATAGAATTACGTTACTACGTTTAAGTTAAACAATATATTGTTATTTTTTATTTGAACTAGGATTTAACTCAAGACGAAATCTTTGTAAAAAATTTATTCGATGACTCTGACATGGTTCGAAATGATTTTAGTCTTAATATGACTCTGAACACAAGTGATGATCTGCTCAACAATTTATTTAGTGATATTGATATTATTCCAACTGATCATAATCTTAATACGACTCCAAGCACGATTGATGAACTGCTCAATCGTCCTTTCGATGGCACAACTTTTTGATTATGGTAATTTATGGAACTAGTAAACAATTAATATATGACAATACTAGTAACATTTCTAGATAGACTATTTAATTTTTTTTTAAATAATACTCTTGTTGAAAAATAACTTTTAATGAAATTAAACTTAAGAATCAATGCATAATATTACACAAAGAATATTTATATATATATATATAGAAGGTATAAATTCTATTCAGCTGTTTTTTTTGTATGGTAGATATAAAAAGATATAGAAGAGCTGACTCGATCAATAAAGGCTTTCGTTTTACAGAGTGAGTTTTTTTAATATACTAAATATTTGTTATATAGAATTTAGTCTATCTATACAATTTGTTTCGATTGTTTTATTGTTATAAGTATCACGTGTTCTTATCATTTAACACTATTGTTAAAATTTTCATATACTATTCCAGATATCTACTGACTACAACGAATAAAATACACATAAAATTGATGAATTAATATGAATAAATAGACACGTATAAATGACAGTGTATTAATAAAACGATGTTATACTTGAAACTGAAACTAACTTATGTAATACTAGATAGTTTATTAATTTATTAGAACAACAATGGATTGTCGACCTAAGATTTTCTATTTTATAAATTATCCATGATAAAATCATAATGGAAATATTTTTATTATTGCTTATCACTCTTGTTTATAGTCACTAATTAGTTAAATACTGTGTACAAAAATTATAGGTTTTTTTGAATATTAGTATAAAGATGAATTCTCAATTGAACTAGAATTATATTTTCATGGTCACTTGTAATATTTGATAAATATCGACATGAGTTTCGAACCTAGATCATCCTGCTGATAAATGTATCAACAAATACCGCTTTAAAAAGTAGATAGGTGTATCTTCTTATATTGATTGACAGTAGTGATATGGCAGCTATTTACAATTTGAAATGTATAGAAGACCGATTTTTTCCACTTACCAGAAATAAAAAAATATCAGTGAGATAGTCCAAACACATATTTAGAGATTGAAAATAGAGAAATATTTAAAAAGACGATGGTAGAAAAATAGAAAATATAATATTAATTTCCAAGACAAAGTCGATTCGGTTTTTATGTATACCAATATATATTTGACTTAACATCTCTTCTATATCCGAACCTTTTTAAATCAATCAAAGCTGATACTGTAAAGAAGGTATACAAAAATCAGTCCGTTCTAAGTTTCATAAAATTTACATTGTATATCATTCTTCTCTTAAAAAATTTACAATTGAAAGATGTTATGATTTAATTCCATATATATATAAACAATAAATTCATTCGATCTTAGAAAATGAGCTTGTGCATCATCATAATGGAATTATAACTATTGGTTATTATATTTTAACGATACTCTTTGAAAGCGTATATGATATGCGACTTTTCGATTAGTCATCAAAATATTTTGAGTATTCTCTGGACATCCACACATTCATATAAAATATTGCCATAAGAGATCCGTACTATTTCTAATTTCAGTCAATAAAAAAAGGAACAGTACATTTTGTCCTCTATTGATTCTACAAGACATCTCTTTAATACAAGGTTTTGCTTTGAAAGATAGACACACCTTTTCCTTTGTTATCAGCATTATCCTATGAGATAGATATATCTGTCTTGTCTGGTTGCTCTAGCGACTTTTAACAGTTCTCAAAATAGTATGTACATATTGATTTAAACATCAAACATAAAAATCTGTGAAATTACAAAACAAGAGAAACAATTCGATGAATTCATATCCAAGACTGATGTTGAAATATTTTTGACTTGCTCCTTTTATGTTATCATATTCACAAGCCATATTTATTCACGATTAGTGAAAAGAAAGGTTCAGGCACATCTTTTTCTGTGGAAAAAATACACACACACACACGCACACACACAAAACATAATCGCTAGAAAGAGTATGAACGAAAGACATTAATTATGGACTAATAAATATATATAAGTTTGAATATTTAAGTTATGTATATATAGAAATAAATATATATATATTTTAGAAACAAAAAGCAATCATTTTTACTATCGAAGAGGATATAAGAAAATATTTCTGTCAACGATTAGATGAAGTATTTTTAAGATCTTGTTTTACTTTCCATAACATAAGTTCCATACAAGAAACAGCATCTTCGATTGAATCATGGCCTTCAGCTAAAAAATAATAGAATAAATTTTTTTATTTAATTCAAAGTTTTTGCATACCATGTTCTTGAATAATTTTAGTTAAATATTCAGACATTAATGTTCTTAATGCACGTTTATATGGTCTTCCTTTTGCATGTGGAAATACTAAAGATGTATCAACAACAGTTTCATGTACAATCTAATATAAATAAAATAATAAAACTATTTATCATTTCGTAATCTTTACCTTCAATGCTTTTAAATCACTTTCTAATGAATGACCAATAAGAATTGATTTATTATTAAAAAGTTTTAATAAATGTCTCTGTACATCTTCTAATGTAACATTACAATCTTGTAATTGACGCTCAGTTATACCTGACCAACGAGTATTATAATCAAGTACTTGACGATGTGGTTTAACTAAGGTTTCATATATTGATTGTAATTTATGATTAATAACACTAACACGAACAAGTTCAAGACCATTAATTGTATAACACTACAAGAAAAAACTTATTTTTGAAACAAAAAAAAAATATTTATATTTATACCATTTCACAATCAAGGGCAAAAATTCCATAACCTTCATCGGCATTTAATTGTTTTCGAATCGGTTGAGTTTTAACATAACCTGATAATAATTGTGTATCATCACTTTCATTTACATGATAATCAGAAACAGCACAACCAACTGAATTTGTTTTTGAAGAACAACATGAATAAACTTTTTCAATTTGACCAGCAACTAATTTAAAAAAACGAAATTTTTATATAAAAAAATTTCCCTTTTATTCTAACCTCGTTGTGTTCGAAGTCGACCCCAATGATAAATGCATTCTTCTCGTTTCACATATTCTCCTTCATTAGTAATTTTATAAGTTTTACTACATCGACAACACGTACGAGTATTTGCTAGAAAAGCAAAATAAATAAATAAATACGTTTTTAATATCAAAAAAATATTTACGATCTGATGAAAGAATTTTAGTTGATGATGAATAAATTGGATTTTTATTTTTTATTAAAACTTTATCTGGAAAATCAAGTGAAAATGCTGGATAACCATTTTCCATTAGATCTTTATCAGATGCTTTATAAACAAGTAACAATGCATATAATTCATTATCTAAATAGAAAATTTTCGAATTAGATTTTGTCTGAAATGTGTTTTTTCTTATTAACCTGTTAATGTTTTCATATCAATTTCTTTTTGTTTTTTAATACCAAAACTAAGATTTTCCGTTCTACCACCAGTAAGCATCGCTGAATGTGAAACAACAAGTCGTGGTGCATTCGTTTTTTTATTCGGTGATATGATTTCATTTTTATTTGAATTATTTGCTTCTTCAGATCTTAATTGTCTTAAATGTTTTGCAGCTAAATTTAAATAAGAATTTTTATTTGTTGATTTATCAAATATTTCTTTTTCAATTGTTTGCGCTCGTGTAGTAACAGGTATTGTTGTTGTTGATGTTGTTGCAATTTTTTTAAGTTCATTTAAAAAAAATGTTAAATATTCTTGTCGAGTTTTAAATAGAATTTTATTAACACTTGAATTTGGATCAACTAACGGTTGAAATACTAATGGAGGTGCTGGCTTATTAACAGTTGAATGAACTTTTGGTTGATGAGCAACACGACGACCATCAATAGACGTTTCTGCTCGAGTAACACTAGTAGAATTTGTATCATTTTGAGTATTTACTAAGGATGTATAACGTGAAACAAATTGGTGAACAGATGTTGGTGGTACTGCAGAAATTGGTTTTTTTGGAGATGAAAATGCTTGGTCGAAGAGAGCTAATTCATCATCTTCATCACTAGTTTTTGTTTTTATGATTCCATCTAAATCGAATCAAGAGAATTTGATTTGAATAAATTTCTCAAATATTAGATTTTTTTCAAGAATTGTTAAGTTTAAATAAATGTTTTTTGTTCTCTCTATCTTCATCAAACCTGTTGTATATATTCAATGCAATGATTTGTAATTGATAAATAATGAGCATTTTTATTTTTTTTTATTTTTTTATAAATAGAATTTAAAAAAAAGTATATCATAGATTTTACATTATGGTTTTTCTTTATTGAAAATATGATAATAATAAACTTACTTGTAGTAGGAATTTTCTTTTTAATGGTTGGTACATTTTGTTTAGTTGTTGGAACTATTCTAGCTTTCTTTTGAGGTATTTCATTGGTTCCATTTAATGAACGTTTAAGAGTTGTTGTTGTTGTTACTTTCTTATTTGAATTTGCTTCAGTATCAACGGATATTGTTGATGTAACAGGAACTTTATCTAAATCAATATCCATTGTACGTACTTTTGATGGTATTGTTGTTGTTGTTTTCTTTGGAATTCGTATATTCATTGGATTAGTAGATGTAATAATTTTATTGGTATTTTCTATAATATTTGGTTTTACTGTTGCTGTTGGTTTGTTGATTACTTTCGTGAGTGGTTGAGTCTTGACAGGAGGAGTGACTTTTTTGGCTACTAAAAGTTTTCGTTCATCAAAATCATTATGATCAGATGATGATGATGATAGTTTCCGGCGAACAGGTGGTGTTACCCATGAATGTTTATCATCCGTGATAGATGGTTGAGCTGGTTTTGGAATATTATTTGACGTAACAGGTTGAAATTTAGGAATACTAAATTTTTAAATATGTTTACAAAGTATTTGAGAGAAAAAAAATATTACTTACGTAGAAACTTTCGGTTTTTGTTCTTCTATAGGTTCAGATTGAACTAGAGATGTTGGAGGAGGTGAACTTGATGGCGGAGAAAATGTTGCATGAGCATAATCATCAGAATCAAAATCAATTGCTTCTAGATAAATGTATAAAGTTTTATCAACATATGATTATAGTAATGAAAGAATCTTACCACTTTTAATAGTTGTTAAAATTGGTGGTTGATATTGCTGAGTTCGTCTTCGTCGTTCAAGTTCAGCAAGAGGTGTTGGTCGATATTCATAAACACCTTCTACAGTATTTGTTGTTTGAGTTGGTTGAGCTGGTTGTGCTGGCTGAGTTTGTTGTTGCTGCTGTATTTGTGTATTTATTGCTTGTGCGATTTTTTCTGATATTTCATTATTGTTATTAGTTGTTGTTGTTGCTAACAATGTGTTTGAATTTAATGCATTAGCAAAAGCTGCTGTTAAACTTTGTAAAATTGAATTCTGAAACATAGATGTTATATCAATAGAAGGTGTTGAATTTGCTGGTGTTATTGTTGCTGCTGTTGAACTAGCGGCTGCAGCTGAAGATAACTGATTAATAAGTTTATTAAGTGTTTCATTTGCATCTATAATTATTCTTAAAATTTTTTTAATATCTTCATCTTTTTCAAAAAACAAACCTGGTGGAATGTTAATTGATGATGATGATGATGATGATGTATTTGTATTGAGATTTGATTGTGATGATACTTGAACATGTTTAAAATGACAATGAGGCCTTGGACAAGAAACACGAGAAAAAAATGGACATGGAATATCACGAAAATAGTTAGCCGAAGGAAACATGATCTGAAACTAAACTCATCCACAATAATTGAAAAAGAAAAGCTACCTATGATGATGAGTGTTGACAAATGAAATTATTTGGTTATTTTATCTACCAATCTACTTTTGCTATCGATCCTCTATAAAATTTATTCATGATCTAGTTACATGAATCATTACACTATTAATTACTTATGCAGTGAAAATGAAAATTATTTCACATTAATCAATATTTTGTATCGTATTAGGCAATCTCGCTTACAAATTAAGATTATTCGTAATATGACCTACTTCTCACAGGATAAACGAAATAATATCATGTAACGCCATCTTCGGTTTATCATCCGAATGCGTTCTGTACTCATTTTAAATTATCCATAATATAGATGAACGATTGTATTGAATTTATGTATAAGGATTTTTTTCTATTAACACTTGTTTATTCAATTAAATAATAAAAAAACAGTTAGCAAGCTATCAGTTATACAAATGATAGAGATGCAAGTATCGAATTATTGGCATTTTGATTTACTCTTTTACTATATGTTGATTTGAAATACTACCGAAACGAAGTGCATCATCGACATCGAAAGTACGAGTAGAAGGAAAGAACATTGGTTTGATATAAAGTATTTTATGTCTACATGATTAACTTGATCGGTGATAATGTTAATATGCATTGAACTTGTATGTATTTTTTGCCAAGAAATGTGTGAAAAAGAACTTTGACTTTTGACTATTAAATAATAAAGATATGATTTTATTGACCTTCATTTATTCGATCTATACATAAAACATTCTTATTATTGACACTTTTTGTAAATTAAACTATTCATCTGAATGGTTCGTTTTTTTTTCGCTCAAGTATGTTTATGTTATGTTGTAAAATCAAACCTATTTCACACATACATCCTTAGTTAGTATTTTCTCATTTATTCAAGTGACTATTTATTTGATAAGAAATACTTTTTGTCTCCTTCATATCTGACAAATAAAATATTTATCTAAAGTATTTATTTACATTTTTACTTTTGTTTATTATTTCAATTAGGAATGAATTTGTTTTTATTGTTACTGATCTTATAAACATTCTTGGAAGTAGACTATTGTACACAAAAATAAAAGAATGTTTCTTTACAATTTATAAATAAACGGTTAAGATTATTATTTATCTTTAGAAATACTATGTATCAAAAAATAGAAAATCATGAACATTCTCTAATAGTTTTTTTTACTACCGCGTGTGTTACGATTGCTTAGCTACTCATACATGCATTCATGTTATCTGATTCATCATCTTCCTCTGTCCCGCCTTATTCTTAACACATAGTCATGATACAATCAAAAAAATGCTTGTAATGTAAAATATAATAAAAAAAAAAAGTACATGCCATTTTCTACCCACAATGCATTGTAGAGATAAAAAAAATATGTTATGCGATATATATATATTGTAGGTGTAGTTGTTGTTGCGTTTTATTAATATTATGATTATAAAAAACACACATAAATCTTCACATATTGACATTAAAAAGAGATAGAAGTAAGCGAAAAGCTTTTTCTTTTGTTTTTTTCTCTCAAATAAATCTTATAGTCGATTATTTATTTATAATACAAAATCTGATTTATTTTTCTAAATTGATGAGAGTTCGATACAAGGTCTCAATTATGAATAATTATTATATATGTCTACAATAGTAGTTCAACAGATTATGTAATCAAAGAAGCGTATTTCTTTTTTTTTCCTTCTCCCGATTTTTTTTCTATCCTACTGAACACGTCAACCGAGCAATACACCATATACTACTCATGTACAATATTGCACTTCGCTGCTTACTCGTCATCTTTCACTGACTCGAATCAACTGCATTAGTTGCCTTCTTTTCTTTCCGCATATACGCGCATATCTATCTATATCTATATGTATATGTGTGTATTATGTATATATATATTTATACAATCGATGGGAGTCGATATTCATAATAAGATAAGTATGAGATTTCTTCATTTTAGATGATTTTGTTATTATATTAAGAAATCGTTTGAAATGTCAGTCTCATCAAAGAATTTCTCTAGCAAAAAATCAGTTAATAATGTAGTGGATAATAGTAATGATCCAGCTGAAATGAAATATTTGCGTCCATCAGATATTAATTCAAAAGATCGTATTGCCGACGCTACAACAGCTAATGAATGGGCAGCAAAAAAATATGTTTGGGTACCTGATGAACAAGAAGGTTTTATACGTGGACAAATACGTCAAGAACAAACTGATGGACAATTATTAATTGATTTAGAAACTGGTAAACGTATTACTATACATAAAGATGATACACAACGTGTTAATCCACCAAAATTTAGTAAAGTTGAAGATATGTCAGAATTAACTTGTTTAAATGATGCATCAGTATTATTTAATTTAAAAGAACGGTATTATTCGGGACTTATCTATACATACTCAGGTTTATTTTGTGTTGTTGTTAATCCATATAAACGTTTACCTATTTATTCTGAAAATGTTATTGATATATATAAAGGAAAAAAACGTGAACAAATGCCACCACATATATTTGCTATTGCTGGTGATGCATATCGTTTAATGTTACAAAATCGTGAAGATCAATCAATTTTATGCACGTAAGTTATAGAAGAGAATTAAATAAAATGACTTCGTTTTTCTATTTAGTGGTGAATCTGGTGCTGGTAAAACTGAGAATACAAAAAAAGTTATACAATATTTAGCTTATATTGCTGCAGCACCGAAAAGCTATCAACGAATGTCAGGTGGTAGTATTAGTCAATACCAGGTAAATTTCAAAAACTATATATATTTGTATTATGAAAGAATCTCTTCTAGCAAATAAATACAAAATTATCTGATGGATCTGTATGTAACGAAAAAAAAAAAGAACCTAAAATTAATTATTTAATATACATATATATTTAGGGTGAACTTGAAACTCAACTTCTTGAAGCTAATCCAATACTTGAAGGTAAAAAGTCTATTTGTAATGATAGAAATATAGTTTATCTTTCTTCTATAGCTTTTGGTAATGCTAAAACGGTGAAAAATGATAATTCATCACGATTTGGTAAATTTATTCGTATAAATTTTGATACATCCGGCTTTATTGCTGGTGCATCAATTGAAACCTATTTATTAGAAAAATCTCGTGCTATTCGTCAAGCTAAAGATGAACGAACATTTCATATATTTTATCAATTATTACGTGGTGCTAATACGAAAATGATTACGGATTATTTATTAGAAGATTTTACACGTTATCGTTATTTAACACATGGTAATATAACAGTAACAGGTATTGATGATGCACAAGAATTTCAACATACAGTTAAAGCAATGCAAATAATGAATATATCAACTGATGAACTTAATTCAATATTTCGTACAATATCAGCTGTTTTACAAATGGGTAATATGCAATTTAAACAAGATCGTAATAGTGATCAAGCAACATTACCAGATAATACAGTTGCACAAAAAGCTTGTCATCTCTTAGGTATACCGGTAACAGATTTTGTTCGATCATTTTTAAAACCAAAACTTAAAGTTGGAAGAGATTTTGTTACAAAAGCACAAACACAATCTCAAGTACGACAAAAAAAATTTCTGTGAAAAAAAGTTTCATTTATATTTCTTCTTAGGTTGATTTTGCTGTTGAAGCAATATCAAAAGCTATTTATGAACGTATGTTTAAGTGGATTGTAGCACGTATAAATAAATCATTTGATCGAAGTAAACGACAAGGTTCATCATTTATTGGTATACTTGATATAGCTGGTTTTGAAATCTTTCAAATGAATTCATTTGAACAATTATGTATTAATTATACGAATGAAAAATTACAACAATTATTTAATCATACAATGTTTATACTTGAACAAGAAGAATATCGTCGAGAAAGTATTGATTGGGAATTTATGGATTTTGGTCTTGATCTTCAACCAACAATTGATCTTATTGAGAAAGTAAAATCAAATTTTGTATTTTATTGACGAATTGTTTTTTTTTGTTTTTAGCAAATGGGTATTTTAAGTTTATTAGATGAAGAATGTTGGTTTCCAAAAGCAACTGATCGAACATATGTTGATAAAATAATAAATGCTCATGCTCAACATCCAAAATTCGGTTGAATATTATATTTTAACGAATTTATTTAAACAATGACCTTTTTTTTCTTCTTTTGTCTAGGAAGACCAAATTATCGAGCACCAGCTGATTTTAGTATAATTCATTATGCTGGTAAAGTTGAATATTCAGCTGAACAATGGTTAATGAAAAATATGGATCCATTAAATGATAATGTCGTAGTACTTTTACAAACATCGAATGATCCATTTACACGTGAAATATGGAAAGATGGTAAGTTATAGTTTTTCTTATTTCGACAAGAAAAAAAAATAATTTCATATTAAGCAATTATATCGAGAATGAGACCATGTCTTGTTCTTCGATGTTTTTCTCTAACACCTTATCACAGTGAGTTAAGCATGATATTTGAAGTGTAGTGTGTGTGTTATTGAATGGAATTAATTAATTAATTTAATTCTATGCTTTTGTTTTTGCTTTAGCGGAAATTGTTGGTTTATCAGCAACAGATCAAAATGATGCCGCAGCAAATTTAAAATCAACTATAAAGAAAGGAATGTTTAGAACAGTTGGTCAACTTTATAAAGAACAATTAACGAAATTAATGAGTACATTAAAAAATACGAATCCAAATTTTGTTCGATGTATTTTACCAAATCATCAAAAAAAGGTTTGAAGAAAACAAAAATTCGATCTTAAAATATACTGACTTGGTTTTTATTCCTATAGGCTGGTGTTATTAATCCACCACTTGTACTTGATCAATTAAGATGTAATGGTGTACTTGAAGGTATTCGTATCTGCAGGAATGGTTTTCCAAATCGAATTCTATTCCAAGAATTTCGTCAACGGTAATAATTATTCATATTTCATTCTTTAAACCATAGTAATTAGCGAGCTTTTCCTTACGCTCATTCTATTGTGTGAAATATACAGTATCAGATGATATTCGATTGATTGTAATATTATTCTATTTCTTTGTAGTTATGAAATTCTTTGTCCAAATGTTATTCCAAAAGGATTTATGGATGGCAAAGCTGCGGCACAAAAAATGGTAAGGTTCATTCTTTTTTGAAAATATAGAATTTCATTGGAATCTATTTTAGATAAAAGAACTTGATCTTGATGAAAATCTCTATCGAATTGGTCTTACAAAAATCTTCTTTCGTTCAGGTGTTCTTGCTCATTTAGAAGAAGAACGTGATCTTAAATTAACTGATATTATTACTCATCTTCAAGCTTTATGTCGAGGTGTACTTGCTCGAAAGTAAGTTTATTTATTTGAAATATAGAGAGAATTATTTTTTTCATTTCAAAGAAATTATCAACGACGTTTTCAACAATTAAATGCAATTCGTGTTATTCAACGTAATGGTCGTGCTTTACAGAAAATTCGAAATTGGAGATGGTGGCGTTTATTTACAAGTATAAAACCATTATTACAAGTAACGCGAACAGATGAAGAATTAAGTCAAAAACAAGATGAAATACGTCGGTTAAGAACAGAAATGGAATCACGTGCAGCACAAGTACAAGAAACTGAACAAGTTTTACAACAAGTTCAACAAGAACGAACTATTCTCAATGAACGTCTTATGCATTTCAATGAAGTTTTAGTTGAATCAGATGAAGTAAATTATTTTTCTTCTAGACAAAAATTTATAAATGAATTTATTTTTTTTTATAAGAATTTACGTCGAGTACAATCACGTAAATATGAACTTGAAAATATGTTACAAGAAATGGAACAACGTTTAAGAGAATCAATTGATCAAATTAATCATTGGGGTACTGAACGAAAACAATTTGATCAAAGAATACATGATTTAACTGATCAGTAAATAATTTAATAGATTAAAAATGAAAATTTTTATTGCTTTTTTTAAATTTTATAGACTTGAAGAAGAAGAACAAACTCGTCAAAAATTACAAATTGAGCGTGTACAATTAGAAGGAAAAATAAAAAATCTTGAAGATATTGTAGCTAGACAACAAAATGAATTTGCTAAAGTAAAGAAAACTATTTTTTAACCAAAAAAACAACATGCTTATATTTAGGTACAAAAAGAACGTAAATTTCTTGAGGATAAACTTCAAGAAATTGGTCATCTACGGCAAGATGAAGAAGAAAAATTAAAAAATCTTCTTCGAATTAAAACGAAACAAGAAAGTCATTGTAATGATCTCGAAGAAAGATTAAAACGTGAAATGGAGGTTTGTTATTTTTATTTACCAAAAAAAACGCTTATCATCATCTGTGAGTTAACTTGAGCGATGTGCACATATAGATATTGAGTAGGGTGATGTCAAGTAATCCGAAAAAAATTGACTTGAAGTTTATTGATGATAGAAGACATAATAAGTAAAAAGTAGAAATATTAGAGACAATCCAATGAGCTTATTTCATTGAAGCCACCAGAAGCGAGAATTCTTCAAGAAGCTCGGCATGATCGATGTCGTCGTCGTAGCAGCGGGTGTGAGTGGGAGTGGATGTATAGGTATAGACTACTCTTCTTCCACATTAGCACCCTCACCCATACCCACCCTCAAGATACGTGTAATCGCTAAGCATTCGGAGGAGTTTGAATGACGTTTTAATTCGCTTATCATTAGTATGTATGGCTGTTATGATTCATCAGAAAAGATATAAGTTCGATATATTAGACTAAACTGAATTGAATGATAGATTTTGTTTTTGATATTAACGTAAATCGCATATCAAAAGAGTTGTATGTAGAAAATATTTATTATATAAACTAAATCTTTTCTTTTTAGCTTCGTCAAAAACTTGAATGTGAAATTCGACGACTCGAAGGTGAAAATCAAATTATTCGTGATCAACTACAAGATCGTTTACACGATAATAGTGATTTACAAGGACAATTACAACGAACACGAGATGAATTAAAAAAAGCTATAACAGATATTGAAGGTGATGCAGCAACAAAAGCAGCATTTCAAAAACAAATACGTGATTTTCAATCAAAACTTGATGATTTACAAGCTGATATGGAAGGTGAACGTGAATCACGTAAACGTTTAGAGCGTGAAAAACGTGGATTAATTGATGAAATTGAATCATTACGTCATGAAATTCTCGATACAACAGATATAAGTCATGAAATGCTTGAACGAGAAAAAAAACGTGAAGAAGAATTATCGACATTAAAACGTTTATTAGATCAAGCACATAAGGATCGTGAAATCACCGCTGCTGATTTACGTTCCAAACATGCGAAAGAAATTGATGAATTAACAACTCATTTAGAAACAACAAAAAAACAATTACAAACATTTTCCAAAGATCGTCAAACATTTCAAAATGATATTAAAGATCGTGATAATCAAATAAAAGATTTAAATGCATTAAAACAAGATACGGAAAGAAAACGAAGACAATTAGAAACACAACTTCAAGATCTTCTACATAAATTTAATGAAAGTGAAAGAATTAAAACTGAAACATTAGATAAATCACAACGTTGTCAACAAGATATTGAAAGTTTAAATGCAGCTTATATTGAAGCTGAACAACGTTTACAAAATAATGAACGTACTATAACAACACTTAAACAAGAAAAACAAGAATTACAAGAAAGTCTTCAAGAAGAAAATCGTCAAAAAATGAATGTTTTACAAAAGATTCGTCAAGCAGAAGATTTACTTAATGAATTTAAAGATCGATTAGAAGATAAAGAAGAAGAACGTCTTAAAGTTGAAGCAAAATTTGGACAATTATCACAACAATTTAATGAATTACGTCATGAAAATGAACTAATTAATGTTGAACAAGTTGAAGAATTACGTCGACAAATCCAACGTGAAAAAGATACTATTTTTGAAGAACTTGAAAATGAAAAATTAACTAATATAAAATTCTCGAAATCAAATCAAAAACTAACAAATGATATTGCTGATCTTAATGTTGAATTAGAACGTTATCGTACAATTGCACAAAATGTTGAAAAACAACAACGTACATTTGAGAAAAAAATGCAAGATGAAAAAATTCTTCAAGAAAAATTACGTCAAGAACGTGATAAAATTGAAAAAGAATTACGAGAAAAAGAAACTCAACGTTTAAATTTATTAAAAGATTTAGAAGAACGAAATATGATCTATGAAGAATTAGATAAACGTTATAAACAATTACGTGAATATGTTGATAGTACAAGTCAAGTTACAGATGATGTTGGAAGATATATTCAAGAACTAGAAAAAGCTAAACGAACTCTTGGTAAGTTTTGCTTCAAATCTGAAAATTATCGAAGATCGTATAAAATGATAGATTGTATAATGCATGGAGGAGTAGGGTTCGGGTTTTTTCATCCCGATCCCGGCAAAATATTTATTCGGGATTTTTGATACCGTTACCATTTTCTGTAATTACAATTCATCCAGACTCAAAACCCATTAATGTGTTCATTCAAGATTCCGTAGTCCCATCGGAAGAAAAGTCGGGATTTTAATCCCGCTCGCAACGGGATGTGAATCGGGACAGTCCCGCCAAGCCCTATCGAGGAGGACCATACACTGTTAATCATGATGAGATAGTAATCAGCACTATGTTGCGCATCAATATAATCTGAATGCGATCAAAATCATGTAATAGACTCTTCGTATCTGTAGTAAGCGAACAGACAAATATTCATTTACTCGTTCTTATCCTTGAATCTATTTACACATATTATTAAATTATGTTATTTCTAAATCAATAACAACTGATAGTTTTTAAATACATTTTATAGTGAAGATGAGAATAAGTAAAGATGTCATTATCTTTTGTTGAATAGATACTTATATTTAGATCTTACTAAGTTCTTAAAAACTAATACTTTTTTTTTTGTTAATAATAACATATTTCCTATATTAGTTCTTAAGATTAAATTGATAATTTCATTCTTGTCAACATGCAATTCTATGTAATAATATTTTTTTAAGAATCAACTGTTGAAGATCAAAAACAACAGATAACTGAATTAGAAGATGAATTACAGACCTCTGAAGATGCTCGTTTACGACTTGAAGTTAATGTTGGTGCATTGAAACAACAAGTCGAAAGACTTGCACTTGATTATAATGCTGAAGTTGAAGAGCGTGTACGTTCAGTAAGTAAACGATTAAAAGAATGTGAAATTGATTTTCAAGAAGAACAAAAATCTAAACAACAAATTGTTCAACAACGTAAAAAACTTGAAATTGATTTACAAAATGCTTTTCTACAAATTGAAGAAGCTAATCGAGGAAAAGAAGAAGCTTTACGTTCTAGTCGTAAATTACAAGTAAATAAAATTTAATGTTGATTAACAAAAAATTCATCGAATTGATTTTTTAGGCTCAAATACGTGATTTAACACGTGATTTAGAAGAAATTAGACGTATTGATACTGCAGCACATCAAACTGCTAAAGATTGGCAAGCAAAAGTAAAAGCAATTGAACAAACTATTCAACAATTAACTATAGAAAAAGATACTATGGAACGGCAACTTCGTCAAGCTCAATCTGAACGTAATGAACTTCAACAAGAAATAGCAACTCTTAGTAGAGAATGGTAAATGAAGAGATATAATTTGATTTATATCTTTTTTTTGTAAAAATATTTTTCTAGGGGTACAGTTATGGATGAAAAACGTCGACATGAAGCACGTGTTGTTCAACTTCAAGAAGAACTTGAAGAAGAACGAACAACATCTGATTTAAATGTTGAAAAATTAAAAAAATTAGCAATGTCTTATGAACAAACGTTAATGGATATTGCAACTGAAAAAGGAAATAATGAAAAACTTGAAGTATATTTTAATAAAAAAACATTTTTCATTTATTATTTTTTTTTCGAAAGATTGTTGTTGGAAATCTTGAACGTCAAATTCAAGATTTACGTAAAAAATTAGAAAGTAATGATGGATCAGTAAGTGAAGGATTAAGATCAAGAATTACATCATTAGAAGCAAAATGTCATACATATGAAGAACAACTTGAAACTGAAGTTCGGTATGTTATATTCTTATAATTTTAATGAAAAATAAAAATCTATTATTTATAGCGAAAGACAAAAAGCTTTACGAAATGTACGTTCACTTGAAAAACGTCTTCGGGAAGCTGGAATTGTTGTTGAAGAAGCTCAAAAACAAGTGAACAGTTATAGAGAACAAGTAAAGTATTATATTAGTAAAATTTCAAATTAAAAAATCTTTTTTTAGCTTGATAAAGCTAATGTACGTGTACGTGCTTCAAAACGTACAATAGATGACTTAGAAGAAAAATTATCTGAAATGAAACATCGTCTACGTCGAGCACAAAGAGAAAACGATGAGATTGAAGAAAATGCTTTTCCACGAAATCGGTAAAGAACTAATCATTTATATATTTTTTAACAAGATTTTAACTATATAACATTTAATAAAATAATACAATATTTTTCTTTTGTATTTTTCTTAAAATAATATTTTATCAGAAGAGAATCATCATCTGTATCTGATTTATCATCACATCGAGCTTCCACTATAAATGAGCATCGATGAAAAAAACCTGTTGAGGTATTCTATATCATATCACCTGCTCTTTTCTTTTTACATGCTATACACATTAATATTTCTTGCTTTTGCATATATATTAAATCTCCTCCTATTATAGTCTAATGGATAGTTCTGGTCCTCAAAGGTAAGATATACTGACATAAAAACCGAAATCTGCACGGTATCAAATCTACAAAAAAGAAATACTCTAAGAATTGACAAACTCTAAGCTTCGCGCATGTGCATTTATTTCTCTATTGAAATTTTTTCGAAAATCGATTTATGTATAAAATATATTTTTGTTTTCAGTCCATCTACACTTCATAATTCTGCAACATCTTACATAAAAGCTTTTGTAACAACAACGAAATTTTATTCTGAAATGTCAGATGATGATTTTCAATCTGAAGCAACAAATACAACTGCTTCAGATACTCTCAATGGTGGAAATACATCTTTACGAAACAGTACAGCTGATGATTTTAATAATGGAAATCGTTAGGAGATAAAAAATATAAATATTTTTATTTTCCATTTCATCTGCATGTATATATTTTTTGTATGCTTTGTTTTTATTCGAATTATATAATCGTAAATATATTGTTCTCAGGTTTTGGGCTCTATTTTTTCATTATAGCCTAGCCCAATTTTTCTTTTTGTCTTTTTTTTATTTCTCATATCATTAAAACAAAAAACAGAACATATTATGTAGAAGAAAAACGAACATTCCATCTGTATGTTCTGTTTTATTGTTTTAAAGATTTCTAAGTCGGTTATCTTCCAAAAAACTTCTTTTGTATTTATATTATTACTTTTTATGTTATCAATCTGTTGCGTGTGTTTTTTTTTTGCTTTTTAACATAAAATATAGCCTTTCATATATTCTTTAATATATATGCAAACGGATATTATCATGCAAAAAGTATATCCTTTTTTGTTTCTATGTAGTTAGTCAAGAGAGAAAATGAGTTTTTTTATTGTTTCTTTTCATTACAACAGTTATGGCATATGAATATAAAAGCGAATATAAGTAATAAACAGATTGAATTGAGATAGAAAAGTAATAATTGACATATAAGTAATGTACAAGTATAAGCTATTATACGACCGATAGAACGAATGGCAAGTGATTGAGCAAACTTGGATGATGAAGAAAATCTAGTTGAATTGCACAAAGAATCTAGATACATAAATATTTTTTAATGATTCTATTATTGTTCTAGTTTCTAAAATGCTTACAAATAGCAATTGTTGACCATAGACCAATAACTATTCCAAACGAAAAAAATAAAATATATTTTATAATTAATGGTGATATATAATTTATATATTGAGTTCGACTTAAAAATAATAATACTAATATTGAAGAATGAAACAATGTTGTCACTGATACAGATGTCTATTTTAAATAACAAATAAAAAACAAATTATTTATTATAAAATTCTTCACATTTACCATCAATGAAATACGTTCAATAATAAAAGGAAGTAATGTACTAGACAAAGTTGCGCCTAATCCATAAATAATCATCATTTCAACTGTATGACGAAGACCAAAAAGACATGTTACATCAAACTAAAATAAACATATAGATTTTTCTCATAAAATTTTCTCGTTCTTACTTTAATAATACTACCAAAAAGATAACCTTCTTGAAAACCAATAAATAATGCAAATAAATAATGACGACACCGAAGAATTCTTTTTGATGATACTGATATATCGTTTGGTGTATCTTCATTGGAATAATATAATATTGATAAACGTCTACTCATACTTAATATTGATGTTGTCCAATCAGTACCAGCTTGTGGTAATAAACTAATTATTGTTAATATAAGTAAAGTAACAAAAAATATATAACGTACTGGTTCAGTTTGCCATTCTAACAAAAAATAAATAAATGATTTTTAATTATATAATCATTGTCATAATTACCTTGTCTTTTTTCATTTAAATGCATTGTTAAATTAACTAAAATAGGTTGTGGTGGTGGTTTTAATAATCTTCCATAATCATCAAGTTGATTATTAAATTGATAACATGGAATTAAAAGACATGGTTGTGCACCAATTAAAATATATTCTCGTCTATATTGTTGATATAAAACAATAGCAAGTAGAAAAAGTCCGCCTATTGTTAATGCTAAATGACATAACGAGTTATAAATAAATGCAAATACATTAAGTCTTGTTGTTAATTTTTCAATACTTTGAATTGGCAATGCTGTTGATAATTGTAATATATGATCATATGTTTTTATTATCATACAACTATAACTAACACCACTAATCGTAGCACTTAAGAGTAACAAATAATAATATGAATTAAAATATTGCATTGTTACCCATGCACCAGTAAACATTGTTGCGAGAACGATTAAGATTTGTGAACAACGATCATATGCAATAACACTTGATATTGTCCAACGATATCGTGAAACATGTATACGTGATGCATGTGCAGCTAGAAGAAAAGCTCCAACAAGTGCACATAAATGAAATGTTAATAATGTTTGAAAACTAATTTCATTTGAATAGATAGATGTTTGTAAAATTTCAGTTGAAAAAAGACTAGCAAGTGCAAATACAGATGCAAATGATCGAACAATTACAATACGATATACAGATGTCATTGGCATTGTTGATATATTTGAACAATCATTACTTTCACCAATAGATTCAGGTGCTGTTAGTGAACTTCGTGTTGAGATAATATTTGGTGGTGGTGTTAATATTGAACGTGATTTATGATGTGCTGGACGAAGTGCATGTACAGGTGAATCAAGTAAAATTGTAGCATTTTCTAATAATAGATCACTATCAGGTGAACGTACTGCAGGTTGACTTAAACTTCGCTGTAGATTATTAGCTTTATAATCGGAATATTTATCATTAATATGACGAAATGATCGAGTAGTTCTAAGATTATCATTTAATGAACATACTGATGCTAATGATGATGATGATGATGATGATATCATTTGTATATGATTATTCATAGCCAGATGATCATGTTTTGATGTATTTATAGCAATTTGATAGCTATTACGACGTGGTAACATATCATGTATAATTGGAGAAAAATATCGACGATGATAAGGTGAACTTGCAAAAGTTTGTATAAAATATCCGTCTTTGTCAGTCATATCTATTTAGTTTTCTGAATAAGATATAAAAAAAAAGAGAAGAAAAATATTGTCCCTTTTTTTTCTAATACTAAATTTATCGTGATCATCGAAGCACTTGAATAATCTACTCAATCATCCCTTGAGAAAAATTGTCTTTCTATTTTTTCTTCTTGTTCTTTGTTGATGGGACAATGTCTCTATTTGCCTTTCCCTTTTCTTCTATTTCTATCTATCTCTTCAATTATTTTTTTAGTCATAACATTCAACTACTAGGAAAAAGAAATATATATATATATATCTTTATATTAAAACTTTTAAACAAGTTATCTGTGTAAACATAGAATCTTGTCTGTTAGTCATTCGCATCAGTGAATGTTAGTATTATATTTCTTCTAATTCTTCGTAGTCAACGTCTGTCAATTATTCTTTAGAGATTAGCGTGTATGAAAATGACATGTACGCATTCACTTGACATGCACAATTGAGACATTAACATAGAACACCTACCTATATAATATACTATTTTACTAAAAAGTAACGATGTTGAATATCTTTATTTTTTTCTTTTTTTCCACTAATCCAATGTGAATAAAGATCCATCGTTTACTATTTCTGTTATATTAATAACATAACACAACCGACCGAATCGTCCTGATCTGATAAACAGAATCGATCATAGTAGCGGCAAATCTCTCTACAACTCTTTCTAACTTTTTTCGTTCTAGTCGTCATCATTATCATCATCACCATCTTTGTCAGCATCATGTTCTCTTACTACTCTTTTCCTTTTGTATTTACGCGTTGTAAATTGTAAAGAGAGGAAATAGCTCACTTGTTCAGCATTCTTTTTCTCACCCCCATTTTTCTTCTCTCTTCTTTTATTCTATGGAGTCGAGGAGTAAGCATAGATATATAGATAGAGATAGAGAAGAAGAAAAAGATGAAGAAGAAGGGGAGAAAGATTCCGTTTGCCTTGAGTGGTACTAGTTGGAGTCCGACCACCACCATGTTCGATTGAAGTGGATCTTCGATAGTCGGCAAGCTTGTTTGAAACAAAAGAATGAGTCGATTAGCGATGACGGGCCAACCTCTTGGTTAGAAAAACCTCCCACAATGTTAGTGGTATGCATGTTCATCATCAATTTCATTATATCATCATTCTTTCTCCGATCAATTCCACTTAGATTCTTTCATGTCTCGTTTTTCTACACATAGCTTTCGCTTGACAATTTAACAGATATTTCTTTTTCTCTTGCTCACTCTCAACATACTATTGACTTGTTGAGGACTTCGTCTTTATATATATATATATATTTTTTTTTTCATTTTCTGCTCTATCACAAATACAATTGAATCGGAAATACGCCTGTATTAACATATACAAAAATATTTTATAATTTATAAAGCATGATGAAAAATAAAGAGAACAACTATAATATAGAAAAGAAAAACAAGTGTTACATGAAGTAGATCTTGTCCACTACTTGAATTATGTGGTACTTTTGTTTTCCACTCTAACTGACTGATATAGGGTGAACGTATAGTACGTGCTTCATTCCATGCATGATAAACAATATAGGTAGTTTTCTTATCAGGTCCACTAATAATTGAATTATGTCCTGGTCCAATAATAACATTTTCTTTTGAACGTGTTATTCGAGGTCGATCTGTTGAATCTTCTATATAAGGACCCATTGGTGAATCCGCAATACCATAATCAACACCATATGTTGGAGTTTGCCAGTTACTTCCACTATAAAAACATGTATATACTCCTGATTCTTCTTGCCAAACAGCAGCACCTTCTAACGTATACCAATCATATACATGACCATAAATAGTTCGATTAGATTCATAAAGTTGCCAATCATGTTTTGCACGTAGAACAACTTCTTCAACACCAGCTAATCGTGTCATATTATCTATAAGACGATCAACTACAATACCTGTTCCTACACGATATCCATTATCCATATCAAGAAAATCTCGACTATAAAATAAATACCATTGTCCATCTTTCTTATCTTGAAATGCATGAGGATCAATAGCAAATGCAAGTTCTGTTACATTTGTCAATTCTATAGATTGACTATCATTATATGGACCTAGTGGTGATTTAGATGATGCAACACGTAAACGATGTTGTTTTTCACCAAATCCAGCAGAATAAAATAAATAAAATATATTATCTTTTTCAGCTATTTCTGGTGCCCAATATTGATCTGGTTGATCAGGTTGTTTTGTCGCATATAAAACATCACCGGAATAATTCCAAGTTATTAGATCATCGGATTTAAGTGATGGAAATGTACCTCCACTTAAACCAAGGCCAGTACCAATCATATAATATGTTCCATTAACTTCAAATGCATATGGATCTGCTAAATAACCTGTCCACACTGGATTTTTAGGATACTCATCAACACTCTGTGGTACTAGAACTGAATGAACATCAATGAAAATAATAAGAAATAATAATAATAAGCTTATTGTAATTGTGTATGTCATCGAGTACAGAAATACGTGGTAAAAAACGAAAATAAAAGAATGAAAAATGTTGATAAAGAATGCAGTGCTTTTATATTGACTTACAAGTATATCTCTTTTTTTTTATTTTATTATGTCTCCAACTTCAACATAATAAGATAATAATCCTAATCTCATATAAATAATAAACTTGTTTTTTTGTATTTTCAAGGTTATAAAAAAAATAGTGAGAAGTTCATTGTTATTTTTCTTTTGTTTTATCTAATGAATGTACAAGAGCGACAGATATGCAACATCTTTGTTATAATTGGTTAAATAGATATACCATTAGATAAATGTTGATCTATGATGCATCTTCTTCTTTCATATCTCTTCTTTTTGTTTTGTATTCGTTTTGAAAATGGATTGTGATTCTGAAGGTAGAAAAGTTATTGTTTGTGATAATGGAACTGGCGTAAGTATTCTCGAATTTTGAATCCAATAGAATTAAAATCATATATGACTTTAGTATATCAAATGTGGCTTTTGTACATCAAATTTTCCTGATTATCATTTTCCATGTATGGTAGGTCGACCATTGATTCGTTCTCGTACTAAAGTAAACAATATTGAAGTTAAAGATATAATGGTTGGTGATGAAGGTATTTATAAAAATATGAATATTTCCATTTTTTTTTTCTAACATGATCATTTTTATCTAGCACAATCAGTTCGACAAACACTTGAAATAAATTATCCTGTTGCAAATGGTATTGTTACGAATTGGGAAGATATGGAACATATATATACATATTTATTTGGTCCAAAAAAAATGAATATTGATCCACGTGATGCAAAAATTTTATTAACAGAAGCACCACTTAATCCAGTTAAAAATCGTGCTAAAATGTTAGATGTTATGCTTGACAAATTTCAATTTCATGAATGTTCATTAGCATATCAAGCTATATTAACTTTATATGCTCAAGGAATTTTAACTGGGGTTGTTGTTGATATTGGCGATGGTGTGACACATATTTGTCCTGTTATTGATGGATTTTGTTTACAAAATTCAATTGCACGACTTAATATTGCTGGTAGAGATATAACACAATATTTAATTCGTTTATTACTTCTTCGCGGAGTAAGTATCATATTTAAATAGAATTATTCTAATGAAAAAAAAAGAAGATAGATAGAGTTAATCTTTTATTCATAAGTAAAACATAATAGGATTAAAAAAATATATAATTCAATAGATCTTCTAAACCTATTATTCTTTATCTTGGGTTTTAGTATGTATTCAATCAATCTGCTGATATTGATACTGTTCAACAAATAAAAGAAAAACTTTGTTATGTTGCTCATGATGTTGATCAAGAACGAAAGTTAGCATTAGATACAACTGTATTAGTTGAAAGTTTTACGTTACCTGATGGTCGTATTATAAAATTATCTGGTGAACGATTTGAAGCACCAGAAGTTCTTTTTCGTCCATCATTATTAGGTTTAGAAGTAAGTGGTGTTGCTGAACAAGTATTTAAAGTCATAAATAGCGCACCAATGGATGATCGACGTAAACTTTATAAACAAATTGTACTTAGTGGTGGTACAACAATGTATCCAGGATTTGGTACTCGTCTTGAACGTGAATTAGAAAAACTTTATCATGAACGAGTTCTTAAAGGTCATCCAGATAAATCAGCGAAAAATATTATTTGTATTGAAGCACCACCACGTCGTAAAAATATGGTCTTTTTAGGTGGTGCTGTTTATGCTAATTTAGTAAAAGATACACCAGCACAATGGGTATCTCGACGTGATTATGAAGAAGAAGGAGCTGAACGTTGTGTTCTACGATTAAATCAAATATGTCCACGATAAACGAGAATGATTATGATTTTTTAGCATCTATTTTAAACGATAATTCCAATTAGTTATGTCTGATTTTTTTTTGTGAACTTTTCTGCTAGTGCAATATGTTTTTTATATATCCGTTTGCGTATGTGTGTATCTTTGCTTTTATATATATATATATTTTTTTTTTCTTTGGTAATTCTTTTCACTTACTTACTTATCATCGAATGAACTGCACTTGTAGATTTCTATATATATATATATAAAATACAATGCTCAATCGTATTTATTGTGCATCAGTTATATTGGTTATATTAGGCATTGGATTTTTAGTTGGTGGTATTCTCTTAATCGCTCTCGGTGATTCAGTTTTAAAAAATGCGATAAAAAAAGTATTGAAATCTTTTCTCTTTTATTGATTATTCTTATTTTATTTAATCGATAAGGAATGTCAATTGAGTTCTGGAACATTTGCATATAAAATTTGGCGTGATCCTCCTGTACCATTCTATATATCAATCTATGTATTTGATCTTAATGATACTGAATTTCTTAATGGTAGTGCAAAACCACGTTTAAGACAACGTGGACCATTTGTTTATAAGTAAGTTCAATAAAAATATATATTTATTCGTATTGAATTCTTGTTATTGTTTATTTTATAAAGAGAAGAACGAAAAAAAATAAATATAAGAGATTATCCAAATGAAACAATTTCTTATCAAGAAACCCGTTCATATACATTCGTTCCAGAACGATCGGGTGAACCAGAAAACGTAAATATTACTACAGTTAATATTGTATATATGGTAAGTAAGATATTATCGAATCAATCGTTTTATAAATGTATATTTTATAGACATTAGTAAATTATCTTCAAAATGAACATGTTCCTAATATAGTTCGGCGTATGATTGGAGATTTATTAAATAGTCAAGAAAAACCAATTATGCAACTTTCAGTAAAAGATTATCTTTGGGGTTATGATGATCCATTATTAAAAATACTCCATCATGAATTTCCTGAATTGGTTACTGATGACAAAGTTTCAGCTTTCAATGCATCGGTAATTTTATTCTTATTTAGTTTAAGTAACTATTTACATAAGAGTTTTACTCATAGCATGTTATCAAAAAACATTTAGATAAAGAAACATGAAGGTTTTTTTTATATTTTAGGTAAGTCAAGCAGGATTGAATACATTTCTAATTAATAATGGTGTTGGTTTTAATGAAAATCATGTTGAACGTATTAATAATGTGGGTGCAATTGAACGGTTTAATTTTGGAACAAAATTACCATATTGGTCAAATGACTATGCAAATATGATAAATGGAACAGATGGTTCACTATGGCATCCTGATGTAGATGAAAATGAACGAATCTTTTCATTTATTCCTGATATATGTCGAGCAGTTTATCTTGATTTTAATGAAACAAATCAGAATACATTTAATATTGAAACATATCGTTATACATTACCAAATACTGTATATTCAAATTCAACAGATAACGAAGGTTTTTGTTTAAATTCTACGACTACTAATAAAACACATGAACTTGATTGTTTACCAAGTGGTTTATTCTCATTAAAATCATGTATACGTTGTATGTATAATAATTTAAATCTAACGATGTCCTTCTAGTTTTGTTTTTTATTTAGTAAGTGGAAGTTCAGTATCGATACCATTACCTATTATTGGATCAAATCCACATTTTCTTGAAGCTGATTCTACAGTACAAAAATCAGTTGAAGGTTTAATACCTGATGGAATCAAACATCGAAGTTTTATTGATATAGAACCACTTACAGGCAGTAAATATTCAATAGAATAATTAAATAAAAATAGATCTCTACTTTTATATCTATTAGATGTTATGAATGGATCACGACGAATACAAATCAATATAAATGTTATCAATGATTCATCAATCACGTATTACGAAATATTTATTTTTTTAAAATTAAAATAATAATCGAAATTTTTTTAGAGCAATTAGTCATGTACATCCAGTTATTTATCCTATGATATGGCTTGATGAAGTAAATACAATAGACGAAGTAAATAAAACTATTTGAATTATTCTTTTAGCATGCAGAAATTGATGATCCCAGTGCAAAATTATTTCATAAAAAAGTTACAACACCAATAACAGCACTTAATGCTATTAAGTATGTTTTACTTAGTATTGGCATTGCATTGATTCTTGTAGTAATTGCTTTAATAATGTATCAACGACATAAAGTATGTTATTGAAATTATTGTTGAAATTATTTTCTAATGATTATCTTATAGAAAAATATGTCTGGTGAAGTTTTTCCACGAGTTGATGATACTGAAAGATTATCATCACATTTTTGAAAAGACAAGAAAATTGATGATTAATTTAAATACGTATAATCTATTTTTGTTTCAATGTTCATTACTAAATTCAAATTGTCTTTCAATTTCATACTATTTTCTTAATGCAATTATTTTTCTTTTGTATATGTATCTATACATAGTATTGTTAAGAATATAAATTCTTCAATGCCACTTTTGACTGTAATTTTTTTTTATAAAATAATGAACAAATATTTTTTTTATAATAAAAAAAATTTTTACATTGAAACTAAGATTGAGAGTGGATGGGTATTACATTATGCTGATACTCGCACCTACAGTCTCGAGACAAGACTGTATATGAATGGCGTTATGTCAGTATAAGAAATAGCACACTAAAGTGGTGTCGGTATAGTCTAAGTTTATGACATACTACGAACACAATATATATTTATTTCATATCTTGTACGATAGGTGAGATAGTAATATCGGATAGTTTAGCATCTGGTTTGTCGACTATTGAAGGCTTCTGTTCGTCTTTTTGCAGTGAAATATATGTGGCATGAATAAAGCCTAAAGGAAATCCGCACATTGTTAATATGATGTTCACTAGTACTTTCCAGTTGCATGTTCGCTCATGAATTAAAACGCCAAGTGGTGGGAGGATTAGCGATATTAATATTAAAAAACAACTCATTGCCCATGAACTTGACATTGTGATTCGAATAGATGAAAATGATTGGTATTTGAATGCGTTTCACTTCTATCTAAAAACGAATCTTAATCATAAAACGTGGATGCATCAATGAAAGCCATAAAGATCATGTGTTGATTTTGTGACTATGGTGTTTTTTTCTTTTTTATATTACTTAAGCAGATATTGATTATTTTGAGCAGTTATAAATTGTTAAACTGTTAAAGGAACAATAAAATATATATTAAAAAAATTCGATGAAAGCCATGTAATGAGTGACTCAAGATAAGCCAGAGACGCTCACTAATATGTGAAGTACGATTATTCTTTGAAAGTAAAAAAATCAAATAAAAAGAAGTAAAGTGAGCGAACGTTGTACCTCGTTCTTTACCGCTTACACTATTTGTCAATTTTAATGTCGTAGATCTCAATGAGTGTTCACGTCGGAATGAAAATCCGCGCTATCTGTTTTCAAATCGTGCTGATAGTCTACTGTAAAGTTTTCAGCTCGGAAAATGATTCTCAAGAAAAACTGTTGTTTCTGTAATGCATCGTTCACATATATTTATTCTAGTAGAAACAGAGAAAAAAATATGACGTTCTTCGTGTCTGTCTTCGTTTGATAATTGAGACAAAAAAGCGATTGTATCGCATGGTGTAGCAACCACTACCTTTTCTTTATTTTTCTCTTAAAGTGAGGAAGAAGGAGGACTGACTGTTTTTATGTTTTTTCTTGGTCATGATGACTGTCGTTTGAAGCGGTACACACATGAGGAAGAAAAATCTGCCGCTTTTCTTCTTTGAAATAAATAATCCTCCGTTTTTTTTCTTTTTTTTTGCACACCTGTTTGAAAATGACGACAATGACAACGATGAGAAAAAATGAGGATGCCCTGCTCGCGTCCGCTGCTAGAATGTGAGGGTACTCCTATGTTTCCTTGGAATAATCGTGATTTTGTTCTCGACTTAATTTATTATGTTTTTTAGTTGAGTTTATTGCTGTACGTATAATAATCGTCGGAAGAGAAGTAATGAAGCGAAAATGCTTAAACATATTCATACAAATCATTCGTTGACTAATCGAATTAAATTTTGACTAAAACAATGTGCTTTGTATTGGTATTTGATAATAGATACTTCGACATGTTTATACAATCATACTGCAAAAGCCCGATTTTTAATATTTGTCTAATCAAATATACACAAGTTTTTAACAAGAAAAATTACAAAAATTATCTATTCCGTATCATTGCTTTTTTTCATGAAAATCAATATTGTGTGTTGGAAGTTTATTGAACATCAATCACTCAGTCAAAATATAAGCTGTTAAGAATTTTAAATATTCGAATTTCATTTCAGAAATAAATCGTAGTAAAACCAGGAACAGGTTCAAGCGATTATGTACAAGAAAAATTTACGAACGCTTGAATCTAATCAAATCTTGAGGGTGTGGTTGTTACGACCATCTTTTATCCACATCCACACTTAAGATAGATCATATCCAACGACATAAATTTCTTCTTACCGCTGAATAAAATGGACTATAGTGACGTAACCCAAGAAAGCTCAGAGAATTGTAGGGTTCTCAAAAATTCATCGAATTGCACAATTTGTTCGGTAAATTATCAAATCTCTCCTCTATATCCAACGAATCTTTACATTCACCTGTTTATCGTTTATCGCTTGTTTGATAAGAGGAGTAATAAAACATAAAATGAAACATAAAAACAACATTTTGAATTACTTCCAATAACGAATATCGTATTTCATTGTATCAGAGTAATACTTTTATCCGTTTGAGAAGCAAGTATGTAAGCTACCAGTCAGAAACGATCATTCATTCTTATTCATCATTTTATAACATTTTGTGTGACTGATACGAGTGACCAAATGAATTTTCAACAAAGTTATATCTAGTGGAGATTGAGTAAAGTTGATAATCTCCTTCTATTTCGTCAAAGGTATCTAAATTCATAATCTATATCGAAAAAAAATGATTTTAATGCACATTTCAAATCCCGTACGATTTATACTATATGAAATACTGTACATATTACACTTTTTTGAAAAAGTCGGTATAGTATTCGATTGATTTTATTCTTCTTGTTTTTTTAGAGTCCAACGATTGTGAAGATATTAAAATTACATTTTTGATCTAAGTACTAAATGCTCTAGTATGCTGTTTGTTTTAAGTTTGGCGTTGATTTTCTTTCTAACAGCTGCTTCTGAAATGTCAATATCATCAATAACTCCTATCAATGGTTTAATCGAAGGATTTTATTGGTCTGCTTCGAATGCAGTCAATGGTGAATATGATTTCTTTACTAAACGCCAACGCGATCAATTGATTGCTTCAATGAATTATGAGATCAACTATTATTTTCATTGTCCTCAAGATCGCGAAGATGATCAATTTACAATGAAATTATGGAATGCACAGAAGACTGCTGATTGGTCTGATACAGTTTCCAAAGCTTCGAATGTTTCTATTGTTATAGGCTTACGTCCACGTTGGATTGGCACTGTTCAAAATTCATTAGAATCAATTCGATTAAAATTAACTCAGTTAGCATCGATTGGAATTCGTTATTATATTTTATGTTGGGATGATACACCAGGAGCTGGTACGATCGCACAAATGACGCTACAGAAAGATCTTATTGATGCTCTTGTTCGTCAAGTAACCAATATAGAATTAATCGGTATTATTCCTGCTTACTATGCTCGATCTCAAATATCTGATGCTACAAATATTGCTTGGGCGAATCAACTTTCGATTTTAAATCAAATACCAAGTCATATTCGATTTTTCGTGACTGGAGCAACAATTGTTCCATCATCTATTCGAATCTCAGATATTCCATCATTGGTAAATCGCCAATTTATATTCTTTGATAATTGGATTGCAGTTGATTCAAATTCAAAAGTAACAATGACTTGGCCTCCGAATCGTGATCCGGCTATTTATAAAGCAAATCAATCAGTTTCGGGTTCGGTCTTGAATTTAGCATATCCACCTGAGAGAATTATTCATCAGATCTATGCTTTAAAACAACGAATTAATAATCGATATTCGAATATTAGTTCATATCTAGCCGCTGAATTTTGAGCTATATATCTTGTAAAAAATGGTTTTTATGAATGGCATTCTTTAGAACAATTAAAAAACAATTTGAAATCATTGATCGATCATGGCTACGAAACCAATTCAAAAATTATTCAACACTATCCATTTCTTCAAGGAATCTTTACAAATTAGAACAACTTGTATTTCTTAGACTTAATTTGATTAATAAACTAATACTTTTTTTGATCATCTTTGTCATTTTTTCTCTATAACAATAATGATAACATTGTCACCATATTCTTTTTTATGTATATTCGACTAACAGATTCAATTGCATCATCACTTTTTATTAAGAAATATAAATGAATAAGAAAACAATAGTTATATTATGATTAGTAGTAACTAATCGAACAAATATCAAGATAATTATTTCATAATGAACATCAATAATGCAAAATCTATATATGAAAAAAAATATTATGAAAACAATAATAAATAAACTTCTACCTTTATAATCGATATTTCCATCTATAAACACATAATCAAGAAAATAGTTAAAGAAATTCTCTAAGAAAAAAAAGAAATTATCTTACCTTTGTCCATATCCACAAATTGTAAGAGTTCTGCCATTTTCTTTTCATTTAATTGTGGTGCAAAACAATTTCTAAAGATATAATCAAATTATTTATACATATATATTCAGATAGAATAGAGACTAACTTAATAGTTTGTTTTGGAATGAAACCAGAATTATTTGCATCAAGTGACTTGGCTCTTGCTAAATTAATGAGATAATTTGCAAAGGTTTGATTATTCTGAATAAAAGGTTGAATTCGTTGACGTCGACAAAACCAACTTGAACCACCTAGATAGTCATAAATAGAAAAAACCAAATCTTTTTCTGTTTGTTGATGTATTTGAAACTAACCATTAACATCAATAAGTTGTGCAACTTCACTTTCAATTAAAGTGATTGCAAGTTCATTTTCTTTATAATCATCCTCATCATCATCATCAAGAGAATAGATTATAGTTGTCATAAGTGAAACTAGAAGAAGAAAAATAAGAAAAAACGAATGAAATAAATATTAGACAAACCTAATACTTGATTGAGAATGGTCCGATCACCATTTTGATCAAATATATTGACTGCTTCACATAATTGTGACCATTGTTCATCAGTTAATATGTTATTATTCTTGTTCATATTGATGTTAAGATATTACTTGTTAGATAAATGTATCCCTCGAAGTAGTAATGATACTTTCGTTGTTTTATTTATTATATGAGTAGTTTGAAAGTCGAAATTTGATAAAAGATAAGTAGATAATGTATATTGTATTAGAATGATATATATATAAATGTATGATATGGTTTTATTTGACATTTATTATTATTATGATCAAATGAAGATTTGGGTTTTTTGTTGTATATTAATCTAAGTGAAATAACATGAATAGAAGAATGAATAAAAAAGAGATTGGCGAAAAATAAAAGCAATGAAATACGAAATATTGATAATTGTCGAAATTCTTTTTGTTTCATGTAAGTTAGTGTAGAACCGTAGGTTCAATATTTATTGTAGAACAGCAAGAACAAGAACAAGAACGATAGAGAGAACAAGATGTAGAGAGATAGAGCACGGATGAATACGACATCTTGAGGGTGTGGGTGTCTTGTATTCCTTCAGTAATATTCCCACACCTTCGATGCCATCTAATTATAATGAATGATACAAACGATGTTACGGATAAATTAATTGATTCAGGTATATACAATCGAAATTCTCAAAATGTTTTTTTCGAAAAAAAGAACATTAAGATTATCGGATGAAGTGAGAAACTTAAATACAGATAATCGTTAAGAAATCAATATTATGATATGTATATACATATATAAATCAAAAGCAAAAGAAATAGATTTAATTTTTATTTATTCGTATTGTTTTATACGTTGAATAAAAAAACATTTAAAAGTTATTCTGTTGTTGTGTTGAATACCTAATTGATATATGTTTAAAATTTTGTTAATTTGTAGAAGAAGATTACAATTGAATAAAAGAATTTATAATTTATACATTATTCTTTCAGTTAATCTGAATATTTGATCAATATTTTTTGCGATGTTTACACATAGATCAGTATCATATTATACGTTTTCGTGACTACGAATATAAAATTTACGACATCAGGTTTTTGTCAGGGGAAAATTTCTTGATTGATCTTTTTTCCGTTAAATAATACTTAGGTCCGATAAAAAGTTCTTTTTAACTGTGCATATCGATGGTTTGTATGAATATATACTATAAGTTTCTCCAAAATTGTGAAGCTCTCTTTGTTGATCATTTTGTTGAAAAGAAAGTTCAAACTCATTTAATCATTACATTCTGAATTATCGATCAAATTTATAATTATTTTTTTATAAATGTTCGAAAAAAGGAGCTCTTTAAAATCTGGAAGACAAAAGTATTTTCGTCAATTGGATATGCATAAAAATATTGAGATCTGAATTGAGAGTGAATAAAATCGCCGATTTTTGAGCGATTTTCTGCTACATATACTTTTATTATTACTGTTTGTAAGTATAAATTGTGTGTATTAGAAGCACATGTGATATTATAAAAACAATAGAACAAAAGACATACAAAGTATGAAGAAAAAGTATGAGAGAACGAAAAAACCAAAACAATGTAAAGAATAAGCAATGAATATGACACGCGTTCGATTCATTTGATTGTGTATAGATTATTCGAGCGTAAACCACATTACCAATCGATAAAATCATATTTTGTTTTTATAACAACATTTTAAAAACAATTTTTCTAATAGCATTTCAAGTCTGACATAGATTTAAAGAATCACTCGCTGCATTTTACTAAATAAAAAAGTCTCAATTAATTACAGTATTTTATTTAAAATAGTCTTTTAATAGCAATGTTCAAAAAATCTATTTACTGTATCGAAATCAGTAGTTTTGAGTGCATTTTCAGATAATGAAGATCATTTAACATTTTTTGTAAGGATATAAAAATTAAAATAGTATATCTATAAATTTGTACAACATAGGAATATTAAGATATAGCGATTTGTTTGATCATAGAGCTTCCCAACTAATGACATCATCTTCCCATATGAATTCTTTCGAATATATAATAATACTTATCAAAAAAATAACAAATTGACACAGTCATATGTTCAAGTTATGAAGTTTATTATATGAAAAAATGGACAAAAGTTTTTTGTTAATCAGCCCCGAGTTGTTTGATTTGTCGAGGTTGATTCCTTCTTCCATAGTCACTAAAAAAATAAAAGTGTATTATAATTGATTAATTTATCTTATGCATGTAACATACGTCGTTGGAACATAAACATAAAGACCACAAGTATAACCAGAACAACAATTAGAACCATCACCATTAAGAGCACAACTATTACCAGGATTATCACAATCACCATCTTTACCAGCAGAACAGCATTTTAATGAGCATTCAAAATCTGCACTAAGACTAGGAGCCAGAACACCACTAACACCAAGATCAAGACCAAGATTGTTAATAGTATTGAGAAGTTGAGTAAGTAGCAGAGCAAGAGTATCACCAAGACTAGCAATATCACTTTGAGCAAGAGTTTGAGCAAAAATTCGAACAAGTCTTGGAAGTAGATCAAGACCAAGGCTTTGAATACTATCATGCCCAAGAGTCTGACGAGTATTTTGAGGAGCACTTTGAGAGGCATCAAGAAGTTGACTAAGAGTATTACTAAGATTTGTCTGACGCTTAACTAAGCGATATCCTATTGTTTCGGTGAATGAATTTTGTGAGTAAAATGGCACACAACACGACAATGATAGTTTTGTTCATGGCAATATACTTTGAATTGCAGCTGAGTTTTGTTTATAAGTGAATTGAAATAGTAGAATTGTGCAGTTTTCCTTCGGCTATATATACTTCAACCGACAAGCAAGAAAGTATTTAAGTAAAAATAGTTTATTTTAGATGCGTAGACAATACGGCGTAGACTGGTTTGTTTTTGACAGTAAGAAAACCACATCTAGATTGATATTTAGAAAGAGAGAGGTAGTTATCTATTGTTCTCATATATGCGCATGCGCTTAAAATGTTCCGTAAGTATATTTTTTCATTCGCACAGGACAAAAAGCAATCACCTTTTGTTTACATGGATATATTCGTTAAGCGAAAGATACATTTATCCTTTGTTTTCATCAACGTGTCCAAATAATGTGATCATAGGGGAGTAAAATCATATATTTCTCTTCAATATTTTTGAGTAGAAAAGTGACATATTTTGCTTAGTCATTGTATGCTTAATTTGTAGTCATTAATATCTTTAAATATTTATATTTATTAAGTAGCATTACAATAAAAAAAGAATCTAATCAATTTTTGATATAAGAACATCTCAATGATAATCTAATTTTGATCAACACTATAAAATTATAAATAATGTTGTTAATATATGAATCGTAAATACATGAAAAAGTTGTTGAACGTTGAGATGCTGTACCCACTTGTTCATAGAATAGTATTGTTTGACTAACTAGAAAGATTCTTGATCTCATACTTTAAGCATATACATTAGTTAAATTGAATTGTTCATAAATATATCATATGGTAATAATGATGTTTTTGATCAGTCTACAGTTGACATAATAAAAGAGAATCAATATACCTACAATTGAAATTGACTTTCAAACAAACGACAATAATCATTTAGATATAGTCTGCTGAAGTAATATAACATTTATCACCTTCAGTATTACATATTTCGCCAGCAGCATTACTAAGTCCTACTATACCACAAGCTATACGACATATTTGAGCTAATCGTTCAGTTACAGATGATGTAATCTGTTGACGAGAAAAAAAACCTGCTACTTATTACCTCTGGCAAATATTCTAGATAAAGTTTTTCGTTCATTTTTATTTGATTAAAATAAGTATCAAGTTTTATGAAAGTAATAAGGAACGCAGTATGCTTACATGAGGTGGGTGAGAGTATCTCTTATTTATCTCAACCAAACCCACACCCATACCCTCAAGCTGGTTTAGTTTAGTTCAGTTTTTTGTAAACCATAACTCCATCTCTCCGCTGCCATCACATAATCTTCGTAGATCTTGTTCAGATTTATAAACTGTTACTGTTTCCCAAGTATTTTGTTCATATAAACTAGCTAACTGATCGTTGACCATACGAATATTATATCCACGAGAGACGAAAAAATTAAGATATTCATATGGATCAGACTTCTTATCTCGCATCATTCGAGGACTAAATTCTGATATAATATTATGAACATGATAGTTATCGAATAAATGATTACCACTTTGTACTGCATATAATTCAGATCCTTCCACATCGATCTTCATGACATCGATATTCTGACTAACTAGTGTATCGAGCCGTGTACTATTAATAATTTGTCTGATTGAATAACCATTAGGTATTAGTGTATTGATATTCTTTTCGGATGATATTCCACAAATCGTATGGCCATCTCCAATATTACCATTGTCACTATAGAGTATACATTGTTGTGGTATAACACCAAGACCATTCGGATGCACAATAACATTATGTGATGTTTGAGATGCTTGTAGCGAAGCTTGCATTAGCTTCACATTATTAAGCATTGGCTCTATTGCAATTACTTTGTGACCGAGTACTGACATAACCAGAGTGAACCAACCAATATTGGCGCCAATATCTAAGAAAACAGCGGGTTTCGATGAAGAATTTGCCAATAGTAATGAAATTAACTTGGTCTGATGTGACATCCATGATCGAGATCTAGCGATTGAATTGGAGACAATATCATTAGACAGTAAATGCATATAAAAAGGACGAGAATTCAGAAATGTCAACTTGACAGCATTACTATTATTCAAGTAAGGATAAACTGGCGTAATGATCTGAGCGGGCGTTGTTAGCAGAATCATAGGTACTTGTGTTGTTCTCTGCATGAAGGTAAGTCCAATAACTATTAAAATAATTAATAAAACTATGAACGATATTAATCGACGAATTTGACGGGAGAAGAGCTGTTTCATTATTGATCTACGTGTTTTAAATAATGTGAAAAATACATTTGCATTTGTTGATCAACCGAGAACGACAATACGCTCGACTTTGAGTCATTATATAACAGAACAAAGTTATTTAAGTCAAACGTACAAGTAGTCAGATTTTAACGAAAAAAAGTAAAAAAGTTCTTATCTATGTGATAAAAAATGCCAGTTAACCAACAAGAACAACTGATAATTCTCTCACGGTTAAAGAAAAATATACGTGCTCCCGAGAGAGAGCATGTGTCTTTTATTTTCAATGACTAAAACAATATTTGACAATGAGAAACGTGATACTAACAATGTTGATATATGCTTTACTATTATTTACATCGACATCTACCTTGTATATCGATGTTGTCTATTTGCATTTCCTTTATGAATACCGACCCATCCATTCTGAAAATTTGTTCAATGAATGAATTGTATCCAGTTTCATTTGATATATAAACATACACAATCATCTTTTGTTCACACGCTCAAGATGGTAACGATGAAATCAAGATAATTAAATAAATTGAAAGAATAAAACAGACCCATCAATTTTTATTTATATTAGTTTAAAAACAAAAAAAAATTTGAATAGTTAAATTTTGCAGAAGTTTCATTAAACTGATAACATTTTTTTTTCGCAAATAATTACTAGAAGAAACTGACAAAAAAAATTCATATGAAAAAAAATTTAATTCTGTTTATAACCTTATTGTCATGTAAGTTTTTTTTTCTTGTTAAATTTACTTAATAAAATATGATACAAAAAAGTTTTAAGCATTATATGTTCACAAATTAAATTCTTCAAGTTCATCGATAACTGTTCTATTTGGTATTGATCGTACTGCATTTGTAACTACTTTTGGTCTTTGTAATTTGTCATTTTGTGAAGAAACTGAAGTGGAATTATTTGCTGTAGATGATGGACCAAATAATGAATCAAATGAATCATTTTTAGTTGGTCGAGTTGATTGACTTGATGATTTTGTTGAAAATATATCTTCAGGTTCTTTAGTACGAGATGCTGTAGGTTTATTTGAATTACCATTAAAAAGAGATTCAAATGGATCCGCAGATGGTTTGGTTGTTGTTGGTGTTGTTGTTGGATATGCTACAAAAGATTTCATTTCATATAAGTAAAGAATAATTTGATGATAAAAATATTTACTTGTTGTTGAACGTGCTGGCTGAGAAGTAGTAGCAGCAGCTTGTTTTCGTTCTTGTTGTTCATCAGCAACTAATTTAGCAAGTAGATCTTCTTTGGCTGAGTTGTCTTGTTTATTTGATCCAAACATATCCGTCCATTTTTCATCTAGTTCACGTGTTGCACGAGGTTTTGGTGCTACTAATGGTTCAGCTATTTTAAGATTTGATGATGCTGTTGTATTTCCACTAGTTCTTGATGATTTATATTTTGAATCGTTTGCAGGTTGAATAGGTGGAATAGGTACAGGTGGACGTTTTGGATTATCTGTACTAGATAGATGTTGTTCGCCTCGTTGAATAGTTGTTGGTGGTGGTAATTTTTTCGATCCTGTTGCAAAGAAAGTGTCATCATCGATATCACTCTTGTCTTCCTCTACACTCTTTGGTGTTGATAATCGACGTGCGACAGGTTTTCCTTTCGGTGGTAAATGACCTAAAGAAGAAAACAGTTCAAATTAATCATTAAATACTCTTTGACTTATAAGAGTTTGTAAACATAAGAATAGTTGCTATGTAAAAATAACAAACAAATAAAATATTTATATTCTTTACTTTTTCTTTCCTATTTTTATAAATTAATTTCTTCCTATTTCATCTGCTGAAAAAAATAATTACTTTAAAAAAAAGAAGATGTTGTTATACGTTTGGTAACTACAACAACAAAATTTTTTACATAATGAATCAATTCATGATTGAAATTTTTAAAGTGTGAAGCATTAGAATTTTGTCTTGAATTACAAGAAGGAAATTGAATAGAACTCAATATTTCTTCTTATTTTTTGAGAATCAATCTTACCATTTTGTATTGTTGATGGTTTTTCAATATTAGATGAATTTTTCGTAGTTGACGTATTTTGTTGTGGTTCTTTTTTCGGAATAGTTTTATTCTTTTCATGTTTTGGTGAACTATTATTTGAAGAAGATGGTTGTTGTTGTTGTTGTTTTGGTTTTGATTTCTGTTCTTGATCATTTGAAGAAGATGGTTGTTGACGTGGTTTTGGTTTTTGTTCTGGTTCTTGTCGTTTATCATTTGAAGATGATCGTTGTTGACGTGGTTTTGATTTTTGTTCTGGTTCCTGTCTCTTTTTACCAAGATCAACTGTTCCCTCTCGTATACGTGGTGGTGTATTATGAAGTGATTGTAATGAACGTGCTTTTGACAAGCTCGATGGTGAATCTGATCGATTTGTACCACCAGGACGTTGAGCATACATGTGCATTGAATCCATTTGTCGTGTTTTATCTTCAAATTTAACTACTAAATCCTTATATTTTGTAGAACGAGCATCTAATTCTCGTTTTAATTCACGTTGTTTTATTAATTCTTGATTAATTTCATAGCGATGATTTTTTTCTAAATTGTCAATATATTTTTGCTATAGTAAGAAAAACAAAATATGTGTATTAGTAATTATATATTAAATTAAAGAAAATGAAATTTACTTGTTGAGCTAATTTTGCTTGAAATTCTTCTAATTTCTTATCTGTTTCATTTAATTTTTCTTTTAATTCATAACGTTCTTCAAGATTTTTTTCTCGTACGACCTTTTCATATTGATTAAGACGTTTTGATTGATCTTGCAATTTTTCATCCCGAGCTTCAATTTGTTTTTCAAGTCTTGCTTTTGTTTCACGTTCAGTAGCTAAATTTTTTTTGATATGATCTACTTCTTTTGTATAATTTTGTATAATACTATGAACGTCATAATTTTTTTCTTCATGAGTTCTAAGAGCTTTTTCTTCACGTCTTTGAATTGTACGTAATGTAGCATTTTCCATACGTTGTGCTTCTAATTCACGACGTAATTCTGCAAGACGCGATTCAAGACTTTTTAATTTATAATCATGTGCTGATAAAACACGTTGTTCTACTTCAGTTTTAGGTGATGCTGAAACATTTTCTACACGAGAACGAGGTATAGTAAGTGTTCGACGAGGTTGTTGTGGTCGAATAACTGGTAATAATGGTTGTTTACGTTGATTATTATTATTATTATTATTAGTTTTAGGTTTCTTCTCTGGTTTAACTATATATGATTTTTTCAACTCAGATTCACTACCACGACGAGGTCCATCAAATGTACGCTGTTTCGGTGGTGGTAATGAACTGTGTTGTTGTCTTCCATCTGTACTTTCTTGATCATCATAATCATGATCTTCATCAAAATCTATAAAAAGAAAAATTTTAAAATCCAGAAAAAGAAGTTTGATTTTGTTTAACCTGATTCATAAACTTTTGATTTGCTTGATTCAGGTCTTTTTGTCATAATTGGTGATGCTGCTCTATGCCCGTTTGTTTTTACTAATGTTTTTATTGTATCTACTTTCGCTTATGAGAAGAAAAAGAATATTTAAATAATAAAAAGCTTTTTACTAATTTGAATAAGAATACATACGTTTTATTTCTGGTGTTGAAAGTCTTCGATCCTCAGGTGTTGTTGGACGTTTGACAACTGGTTGAGTTTTACTAGTAGCTGCAGTTGGTGGTGTAGCATCTTGTTTAGATTTAATTGGAGGTTTCTTTTGTTCATCATTTGTTTTTTGTACACCAAAAAAATCATCAAAACTATCAACTGATTCTTTACGTTCGGGCATTATGTTTTACAACGATAAGATTATTTCTTCTTTTCTTTATATTATTGTTTTTGTCGTCGCCTAGTAGCCAGTATGACGAGTGAGAGAAGAAAAAAGAATTATCTATCTAAGAAAAAAAATGCTAGACACTGTTACCATATATATATATATTAGAAAAATTCATGTTAAATATGGAGAAGGAAAACGAGCTCTTACTGCCATCAACACTACGACAATGCCCATAAAGGTGAGCAGAATGGAGTAAAGAAACCAAGGCAACGTTCTCGTTGATGTGCGCATGTATGCGTGTTCATTTCTACTTGCATAAACCATTTGAATGAAGCAGAAGAAGAAAAAAAACAGCATGATTGTTATCATACCGAAGAAAGGTGAAAAAAGGAAGAAAAAGAAAAAGTCTTTTCATTCGAATTTAATATTGATGTCATCTTTGCACACAAGTAAATTGATTCTTTTTCATTTCAAAATACAAAACAAAAGAATGATTCATTATTTATGCATGTATAATGAAAGAGGCGCGATATTCATTTTATTTATTTATTTTTTTACAGAAACAAAAAAATGAAAATCATCGTTTGCGACCAAAACGTAAGAAGCCGGTGTCTCGACGAGATAAATGATCGAGTTTGTTGCATAGAATATGCGATGATTTTCCATGACATGGAATAATATAATAATTATCTAATGGATTTTCTTCCGTAGTTTTGAAATTATCCAAATACTCTTCATCATTTACTTTTCCATTATAATTAGAAAATAATGCTTCATTATTTGAATCAATACGATAAGCTAAAAGGAAAAAAGAAAAATGTCAATACTTATCTTATTAGAATGATTTATTCTGATAAGTATTAATTAAGTTGTTCTATACTTGAATATTTAAGTCAATCATTATATTTATCGATTATAATCTATATTCAATTTTCTTTTATTTGTAAAGGAAAAAACGACTTACCAGAATGAATTATAAAAAGATTTAATACTACCAAAAGAATCAAAAAAGTATTTGAAGACATTTTGTTTGTTAAAAGAATTGCCTAGAATATAAAAACAATAAATTATCTATGCGATTAAATAATGACATAAACGATCATATTGAGAAAAAAACAAATGCATAAATATTCGCAAACTGTGTCATGGATATAACTATATTGATCAATTTAATTTTTGTTAGACTCTTTATAAAATATATGATGATTAATTAGTTGATATGAAACGATCACATGAGAATAATATAGTATAGATTTGTATCACACATCTATCTATACTTGGAAATTTTTTCAATAGACAGACTAAAAATATGATTGAGATAGAAACGTACAGTAGATTAAAATATATGAACATATGGTGTGTACTAATAATACTAAATCCTTCTGTCTACTAACAAGTGAATAATTTACAAATATTTGAAATGACAAAGAATTTTTTTAATAAGTAAATAGAGACAGTCGGATATGATTTAGGTTAACAGTATGATAAAAAATTTTTTTTACCCTTTCGTTCTTTGTTGAATGCCGCAAATGAATCAATATTCACATTTTTTCGCCTCCTGTTAAATCGATTACTAACTTATTAAGTCAATAGTTCACTTGAATTAATAGATCATTTTCCGTATTCAATTACTAGTAAGTATCTGATTTATTTTTCATTAACAATTTGTACAAGCAAAAAAAATGACAGTAACAAGAAAAGAGCTTTCATATTTCACACATCTTATTAAAAGAAAGACCAACGGCATTAACACGTTGAAAAAAAAATATAACAAACAAGGCAAAAATACACTTATATCTGATCAGTAGAGTAACATAGAAAAAAAACAATTCAAAATGATGAAACAGCTGTTCCAATTAAACCATCAATAATATCAATTGAATCAGTTAATGTATAGAATAATTGTGAACGATTTTCTCTTAAATATTCTAAATATGCTGGATAATCATTACATTCATTTAAATGTTCAATATATTGAACATGATGATTGAATGATGAAGATTTTATTGTAGGAAAATAATACGGAAAATTAGTTGATTTAGATTTTTTAAAATTATCTAATAAACTTCGTGCCCATACACGTGAATCTTTTTCAAAAGCAACCGGACGATTATAAAGTGATGTACGAGTTAAATAATCATTGGGTGATAATTGTTTTGAACCTAAACAATTAGAAAAATAAATTAAGCAAAATATTAGGTAATTCCAACTTTGGTCGAAAAGAAAAAATGCCGAAGTATAAAAAGATCGAAAGGTAAAAATATCGAAAGATAGAAGTGTGCGTGTGGGTGTAGCTAAATATAGATGCATATCTATATTTACACCCACCCTCAAACGTCTTTCTTTATTTTTCCCATTAAGTTGTTTCGAGCACCCAAAATCTTATCATTTTCATATTTCGACTCGATATTTTTCCTTTTGACCTTAGTTAGGAGAATCAAATATTATATCTAATTTTTCTTTTACCATATTTTAAATAATTTTCTTCACTTTCCCATTGGTATGTTTCATAATTATCTTGATCATTTTCTAAATTATGTGTACGTATAGAATTTATAATATCAGTTGATATTAATTCTGGATTATCTTGTTTATCATCGAAATCTGTTGAATTTAGTAAATCTGTAATATCTGACATTTTTTTATTATTTGATTCTATTGGTGATAAGTAATCAATTGATTGACAATCACTTATTGATAATTTTGATATGGCAGGTGAATGATATTCATTATTATCATCATCTAAGGAATCAAATATGATAAGATCATCATCATCGAGATTAATTGAACTCATATTTATTTTTTTTAAATAATCTAAAAAATAAAATACAGACGGAAATTTTATTCAATTGAATGTTCTAATCTATCTGTTGATGAACGTGTTAAATTTACTAAAATATGAGTATATAAGTTTTCTTTATGTACACTAGTTATTGTATAATTAAGTAGATCTAATTGTTTTATACCATCACTTAAATATCGACGCCAATTATTAAGTAATTCATAACTATTTTGAATTTGATAAAAGAAATTATTAAAAGATTTGATAACAACTAGTTTACCGATTTACAGCACGTTCACGTTTTTCATGACGAATCATTTTATATCGACCAATAAAATTTGGTGGTCGACTTAAATAATAACTTGAATTACGTATTCTAAAATAATTAAAGATCAAAATTATAACAAACTCTTTTTGCTCATTTGCATATACAAATAAATTGATTTTTTTTAATCAACGAACCTTTCTGCCATATCTAAAATCAAAATTAATTTAATAATTTAAATCCTATACTAGTTTTACCATCATCTTCTGCCTAAAACAAATAAAAACGAGATAATTATTCAATTAAATATGAAACAAGAAAATTTTCTTACTCCCCAACCCCAATATAAATTTGACCATCCATTAACTTTCATAAATTGTTCTTTATTCAGCGCTAATACACCACCAACCAAATGATTATACATTAATCTTAAAAAGATATTCAGTGCAAAAATTTAGTACATAAATATTCGACATACACATAACGTAATTCATCAACAGCTGGTGATAAATGTCTAGGAGTTTTTGGATCACATTCATAAACATTATAATCATTCTCAGGTAAAAGATCAACATCATGAAATATAAAACAACCAAATGATGAACGAATTTTCAGAACTTCTTGGAATGCAACATTCATTATTGCACCTTTATTAAAGGTAATATTGCCTATCTAAAATAAGAGTAATAGCTATGGATACTGTTTACATATGTTATTTAGTCTACAATGATGAATATCAACATAAACTTTGTTCAAGAATCTCTTCAAATTTGAGTGTTAGGTACTCGAAACAAGTTACATGTACATCGATCCTCAAGTTCATGCAGATGTAATAATTCTTTAGTAGCTGTTATAACTCAATTTTTTGTTTTTAAAAAATTATTACCTGTTCTACAACAAATATTTGATACGACCGTTTTTGTCGTTGAAGAAATGGGTGTAAATATTTCAATAATAATTTAAGATGATATTCTCTATTGCGAAATGGTATAATAATTGCAAGATCTTCACGAGATTTACAATCATTTGGTGAATAAATTCCACCTACAATGTTTTCATATAATTATAATACTTAAATTCAATAAATTATCCTACCTTTCTGTACATTAGGATTATCTGACCATTCTATATGTTCTGACATAATAATTTCTTCTTTACCTCCTACTAAAATAAATATTCTGGTACAAAAACACTTGAATATTCTGAATTTACCTAGAAGTGTAGATGGATATAGTTGACAAACTTCATTCAAATCATTTTTATCTATTAATATATATTGATTACCAGTATATTCATAATATGTATTACAAACATGAATAATAATAAGAATACTGATGATGATAATTATCTCCGGTATATATTCATTTCTTGTTAAACGATTAAATTTACCTCGAGTAAACATTAATCTTGAAAAATAAATAAATAAATAATTGTATTAAAAATAAAGAATCTTTATCGTATTAATTTAAAAAAATTCATAATTAAAAATATTATAAAAAAAAATCGTATTGCAATTAAAATATTATAAATAATTTAAAATAGTGTTGAATTTGATGAATCAGCTGATCTAGGGTCGAGCCAACACGGTTTGACATATGAATGTGGATTGACTAAATCAGAAAATGATGAATAAGACGAAGCTATAGCACCGAAAAATCCAACAATTAATGATAATATCAATAAAGCAATGTCCCAATATGGTATAACTCTATAATTTAAAAAGAAATATTACAAAATATAAATAAATATGATATATTTTTTACCTAAATACAGTCTCTGTGAATCGTTCATGAACTAATTGAGTTGATCGTACTTTAATCAAAACATAACAAAACACCGGTAAGATAAAACCTAGAATTGACACGGTAGAACTTCCGATAAATGAAAGTATAGCACCAAAATGTGGTATAGTTTCAGCCATAAATGCTAAGAATAAGACAATGCCACTACGTAATGCAGCACGTTGCCAACAAAAATGTTTTGGTACACGTGTAAGTTCTTCACAACCTTGAAAAATAGGATTTAATACTATTGTAAATGCCATTGCTAAGTGACCAGTGATTAATATTTCAACGGAATAACGAAGAAAATTTTTTGGTAAATTCGCTAAAATATTGTCTTTGACACTTGCTCCATAAACAGAATATCCAATAATTGATACAGGTACATAAAAAACTAATAAAATTATATAAGATATTATCACAGATATATGAAAACGATGTGGTTGACGCATATCGACTTGAATCGTTGGAAACATAGCTGAACCACCCCAAGCAAAAAACATTGTTCCCATAGAAAATGAAAATGATTTAAATGTAATTTCACTAGGTGGTGTTGATCCTCTTTTGCCGTAATCAACAAGTGCACTAATCGTTATAAATACGCAAGCAATAGCTGTACAAACCATTGCACCAATAGCTATAGGCCTATAATACAAAAACAAATTCATTTATTAGCTGAGAAAAAACGAGTAAAAAAGGTATAGTTAGACATATTCATGCAACTTAAATGATATATGAAATAGTTAAGAAAAAGCTTTCCATTCGATTTCTAATTATCTTACCACTATATCTATCATATATTACTGTAAAAAAAGTATTCGACATCATACAATCGGTCGAATATTTCATAGATCTTATCATCAGTGATGTGTTCTAAAAACAAAGTTGATATTCGAATGCTCTTTTCAGATAATTTCTCAATCGAAATAAGTCAGATTATAAATTAAGTATACGAAATAATTATTTTTCTTCATGTAATCTTACCAACTATCTTTTGGTGTTCCAAGCCAACATGGTCCAAGAAGAACAACTGCAACAATAATAATCCATACACATACAGGAAGATGTGCAGGAATATTGTCAAATAAACTTTGAAGATTTTGAGCAGCCAATAGTAAAAATACAACACCTGTTTGATTATTCAAATATGTCTTGATCAATTTAACAAGTATATACAAAAAAATTCACATTCTTCACTCAGTTTTTAAATGACATCACTAATGAATAAGTCTTGCACCCAATAGTTGAAAATAGATGACAAATATTAACACATATCTATAGAATCAATATGTAAATATTTGTCGAAAATGAAATTTTATTTTAATTTACTTTCCAACACGTCCACAACCTTCAGTAGCGATTACTTGAAAGGGTGATCGACTACCTTCTTCACAATAAACAGGATTCATTTGTCTTAACATTGTCCAACATTCACCTAATTTAATACCACAATAACCAGATAACATGCACAAAACTATAGTCGATATCATTCCATACCATCCCGCTTGATCCATAGCTTTAGGTAATGCTAAAAGACCAGTACCTGCCATTTCTCCAGTAATAAATATAGCAGCTGTGAATACAGTGAGACCTCCATGCTAAAAATATTTTTCAAATATACAATATTTATTTTTTTTAATTTTTCTTACCAGAATATTTGAACTCGTCGGTAAAATTGGGTCTTGACAGCTACTATCGAACGACATAAATTCTGCAATAAATCTACAAAAAGAAAAAACTAGATCAGTTTTTTTTTGGTGTTTTGTTTTATCAAGAGAAAGAGAAAAAAAACAGGGACTAGGGCGGGCAACAAATCTACATAGATCAAAAGAAAAATGTGGAAAGGATTGTGATTGTTTATTTAAAAATAAGCTTTAAAGTCCGGTCGATTTGCATATGGAACTTTTCCTGCATTACATTCATCGTTATATTTGATCTAAAAATATAAAAATAAATAAATAAATAAATAAAAAAGAATTTTAAACATACTCGATGTTTTTGTGCAAAATATTGAAGTAAACCACCGGCTAGAAGAAAAAGTGCAGGTGCGAGAAGTATACGTGGTGATGTATATAAATAACGATAAGTATTTTGTTGATAAGCATAGAGTCGAGTATTTTGTGGATCAACCTTATCAATAAAAGTAAAAATATCTAATTAAAAGATTAAATTTTATATACGTACAAAATGACCAGGTACACTATTATAAAATGGATTTCTATAACGTTTAAGAAATTCTGCTTTAGTTGCTGAACGTAATTGTGCACGTTTTTGAATTAATTTTATTTCATCAGGTGTTAATTCCCATTCAGCTGGGGGTACTTGTACGGGCATGTTTTGTCCTGAAAAGATATACGAAAAGTCTTCAAATGATTCCAAAGAACAAAGGTAAAAGTAAAAACTGATGAAAAGAAGAAAACTATTTTTATACCATTGTTGATTAATTGTAACCCTCATTTTTCTTCTCAGAAGATGTCGCTAATCTTTGAAGAAATGAATAGAGGAATAAGAAATATTATAAAGGTTCGTACGTGGCTTGCATTGCTATATTGTTTTGTTATTTTGATAATATAGTACATTATTGAAATTTTTTTCTTGAAAGAAAAAATGCCAGCTAATCAATCAAAACGTAAACGAGCTGTTGAAGTTCATAACAAAAAAGTTACACAACGTGGTAATGTACCAAAATCAAGTAAACAAGTTGAAGCCAAAACACCTGTTGGTCCATGGCTTTTAGCTTTATTCGTTTTTGTGGTTGTTGGTTCGGCTGTCTTTCAAATAATTCAAAGTATTCGTATGGCTTAATTTCGAACAAATATTCATTGTCTATTATATATTCGTTTTTTCTCTTCTTCTTCTTCTTCTTCTTCTTTTTTTGTTTTCAAAATTAATTAAAGAATGAATCGTTGAAAATATGCATTAACAAGCAAAAAATTGACTAATAAGAAACAAATATTATCTGTCAGTTTTTACTCTTTATTCTCTCGTTCTTATTATCATTGTTGTTATTGTTGTTTTCTTCTTATTTGATATCATTGTATTTAACTCATCGACGCTATATATGAATATAAAAGCATAAATATTGTCTCAATTCTTCATTTTTTTTTTCATTACAAACTGATGATATGATTTATTTTGTTTTGCATAATTTGTGTTTTGAACGAAACACTATAAACACAAATCTAAAGCTTAGTGTCCAAAACATTAGTGAAAAAGGATACAATCTATTTTTTCTTGACACGAATAATATTTATATAATTGGTACGACAGAAAAGATAATAAAACAAACATGAACGTTTCATATTTCAATATAATAAATAATATTAATATTTTCATATGAGATATTGAATAAATCAAACTCTTTCTTCTCAATTAACAGAATATTCTATAAATAATGATTTATAACATACGTATATGAATTGGAGATAGATATTGAAAGTTTCGTTCCAAATAAAATTAAATCATTTCTATTATTTTATCTTATCATAATGTATTGTCTGCATTTGAATACAAAAGTAGATATGTCTTAAAATGATGTGTTGACATATTCCAAAGTTGTAGTTAGTTTTTTTGTTTTTGTTATCTATTTACATTTTGATTAACTTGAAAGTCCATGATGATAACAACAATGCAGTTTACTATTATGGTTTTCAACGTCATAAGTATGCATTGACAAGGCATTTATGATATGACAATAAAAGATTTCGCTGAATAATAATTAACAAATAGAAGTTAAAGAAATGATTCAATCAAATTTGTGTCAAAACTTAATTTTAATAATTAGTCATAAAACTAACAAAAATGGTATGTAAATCAAAGTAAGTCTTTAGGGAAAAATAAAGAGTACTATAATACTGCTCATTATTAAATATTCTATTGATCTGAATACTAATAAAGATTTTAAAGCATAATGCACTAGAAAAAATTGATATCGATTGAATAGCTAATGATAATTCTTTAATGATATAGATAACTTCCTCTATTTCACTACATTAGATATTCACATTTTACTGAAAAATAAAACAAGTACGATGTTTTTCGAAATACTTTCATATTTCAAACATAACTTCAATTAAGTTTTCAATTCGTGTCATTCCAAAAAGGCGCAAATTAAATTTAGTTGTATATTATCAAAGTTAAATATACTTTATTCTTATATTATTAGTTCAATCATAAATAATCTATATCTATTATACTTTAACTAATTTCTGATCATTCAATGCTTTTTACTTTATTCTGGACTGTCGGATGGTTTACATCAGAGGTACATTTACTTTCTTTCGAACTAATATATCATACTGTAGCTGAAACAAAACTTCAAAAGAATCAGAAATCTTTACTGGAAAAGTGTACTAAATTGATAAATATTTCAATGTATATAAAAAATCTATAAAGATTGTCTTATTTTTAAGATCTTTCGAATACAAAAAGCTTTCACAAGAAAAAATATATTCCACATATCACCATTGATATATTCTTATAGATATCTTCACCAAGTTTCTATTTATATTCAGTCCAAACTTTATGTTACTTTTTAGCTTCTCTATTTATATAATTAATGGTTTCGTGAATTTCTAATATCATGTATTATAAGATAGATCAGGCAAGAAGATCTCTATATCTCTATTCATTGACAAATAAATAAAATCTACGTGGTATAACTTTGTATTGGCTACTAACTATGAGATCGTACTTATACCAAATATATAATCATATCATAATGTATAATTTAGATTCTGAAGAGAAAATATATTGAAGCATTGCGTATGTGTTTAAAATAAAATGAAAGCTAAACTAGAATGACATAGAAGTCAAAGTTCTTATACCAAATACAATGCAAAGCACATTATTAGTTTCGAGCTAGTAAGATAGATGAAACACGAAGATTATCGCACCATAAAATTGCAACTTGTTATGTATATGAAAAGAATGCAAATCATTATTCCACAATCTGTATCAAATCTTGACGAAATATTCTCAGAGAAAGATATTAATTCCGACTTCAATTATGTTTCTTACACTTTTTTCGTAGTTGTAAAACCTTTGTTGAGAGAGACTGATGTCTAACTTTTATTTTAATTATATTCAAGTCCAAGAAAAACAAAGTCTACAAAAAATAGTCTTTTCTTTGAACATCTTGTACAAATGAGCTAAACTGCATACTAAAACTTCCATCATGAAATAAATGAGTTCAATTTCGATATTTTTATTTCATATTTCAACCATTGCTTTGTGAGATTTCATTTTCGGGATGATCGTGACACACAATAGCAAATTTAATACCTACATTGAGAAAGTAAAGAACATACCCTAACACTAATATGAATTTAGAGTTTTGCAATATATTTCTTACTCGATATTATTGGTTATTGTTAATTTTGAAGTACGAGTCTTTTTGTACATAATTATTTTAAAAACTAAGTTATTCTTGTCTTATGTTATACCGTCAAGAAATAGAGAGAAAATAGCAATATATATATATATATATATATATATATATATATGTATGAAGAGAATCTCTAAGCAAGAACTATTTGTTTCGTACAAGTTTATTTCACATACAATGAATACTGTCAAGTTGATGAAGTTTTTCACATAAAAAATGAGTTCGTTTTTTAAGTATTGTAAATATTTATTGGTCAATATTCTGAATATTTGTGCTGTTTGATAATAATGAAAAAACACTTTTGTTATATTTACAGATTAAAGGCGAAGAATTGACTGACGAAAATCTTCGATCAACTTATTTGAAGGTCCCATTACTCAATTTAACGGAAGCTATTAAGAAAACAACAAGCTCCGGTAAATATATGTCATCTTGTCCAACCGGCGTCACTTCACATACTACAACACCATTTGGATTGACACCTGACGATTTAGCTGCGATAAAAGCGTATACTTCTGCGTGTGGTCTATATAGAGACCTTAATGCAGCTCTTCGAACTGAAAAAATCGAAAAGATTCAACCTTGGTTTTCTTATTTAAAACTCTTCGATACTGCAATCAACAAAATACCTCCAATAAAACGTCGTTATTGTCGTGGAATAACAGTTTCTCCGAACAGTTCGTACACAGTTGGTACTGTTATAACTTGGGTAAGTAAAGTGACAGAAAAAACTGAAAAATAAAAATCGAATTGTATGTATTAGAACTTTAAACCTTTTCAGAGCAAGAAGTACTATTTATTTTTTCTTAAGCTTACTTTGTTTTATATTCTTGATAGTGGGGTGTTACATCAGTATCTACTGAGCCAGCTACATGCCAGAGCTTTGGAAGTAGTGGCACTTTATACAACATTAACTCTGTTTCGGCAAGAAATATAACAAACTATTCCGCAATTCCTTCCGAAGCTGAATCAATTTTATTACCGGGCACTAAAGTAAAAATTACCAAAATGGAACATGATTCAACGAAGGATGTTCATGTAATTGAGGTGGAAGAGATTTCATCTAATTCTACTGGTAAATCTATTTTCTTGAAATTTATTTGTTTTAATATAAAGAGTTCAAGAGTCAGACAAGATTAAAAATTAACTTATGTAAATAAAATATGAGAAGTGAATAACTCGAAGCAATTCTTCAAAATAGCAGTGTAAATAAACTGATAAAGTCATGAAAATTTTTAGATGGAAACGTGACTGTCAAATCAACAACCACAACAACAACAAGATCAACATCCACAACAACGACAAGAC